CTCACAGGCTGTCAGTCATGATAACCTCCACTCACCTCCAGAATGACCCTCACCGACACTCACTCTGTCTCACTCTGCCTCTCCTTGGCAGAATTATCGTCATAAGATTGGCCTCAGAGTCTTGCAAACTCGATTTCAGTGAGTTGCGACAAGACAGAGAGAGGAGCCGAGTTTGTGCCTAAATTTTGCTGATAAAGTGAAGTGGGTTTATTATTATTATTATTGTTGTTTTCGTTATTGTTATTATCTTTGTTTTATTATTATTGCTATTATTATTCATTTGTGTGTGTGTGTGTGTGTGTGTGTGTGTGTGTGTGTGTGTGTGTGTGTGTGTGTGTGTGTGTGTGTGTGTGTGTGTGTGTGTGTGTGTGTGTTCGAATTGAATGCTGATTGTGAGAGGTGAGAGAACGCATCCTGGGTTACCTGGTGACTGGGTGAGGCTACATACAGATCACGACACCTAGGAAAGAGAGGAGAGAAGATTAGAGGAGACGAGAGGGAGAAGGAGAGGGGGAGCATCGGCCAGGAGAGGAGACAGAGAGGGAGGGAGACGAGAAGAGGAGAGGAGAGGCAGGCTGGTGGAGGGCGTGAGCAACAGAGTAATGGGTGAACAGTTAAAGGGGATGGATTTCCAGCACATTGCACGGCGAGGGCGACCAAGATGGATCACAGACAGGTGGAGGTCAACACGGGTACGTCACACCACCCCACCCTCTACCACCTCACCTTTTCTGCCACCTCTCACATCCACCACCCCACCACGTCTACCACCCTACCACCTCTACCACATCTACCACCTCTACCTCTACATCTACCACCTCTACATCTACCACCTCACCTCACATCTACCACCCTACCACTTACATCTACCACCTCTACATCTACCACCCCACCACCTCTACCTCCTCTAGCACCTCTACATCTACCACCCTACCCCTACATCTACCACCTCTACCACCTCTACATCCACCACCTCTACCTCTACACTACCACCTCTACCACCTCACATCTACCACCCCTACATCTACCACCTCTACCTCCTCTAGCACCTCTACATCTACCACCACATCTACCACCCCACCTCTACATCTACCACCCTACCACCTACATCTACCATACCACCTCTACCTCTACATCTACCACCCTACATCTACCACCTCTACCCTACACTCTACCACCCCACCACCCTACATCTACCACCTCTACATCTACCACCTCTACCACCTCCTACCACATCTACCACCTCTACCTCTACATCTACCACTCTACCACCTCTACATCTACCAACTCTACATCTACCACCTCTACCTCTACATCTACCACCTCTACATCTACCACCCTACCTCCTCTAGCACCCCTACATCTACCACCTCACCTCTACATCTACCACCTCTACCTCTACATCTACCTCACCCCACCACTTCACATCTACCACCTCTACATCTACCACCACCACCTCTACCACCTCTACCTCTACATCTACCTCCCTTCATCTAACACCTCTACCACCTCTTCCTCTACCACCTCTACATCTACCACCTCTACCACCTCTTCATCTACCACCTCTACCACCTCTTCATCTAACACCTCTACCACTCCTTCCTCTACCACCTCTACCTCTACCACCTCTACCCACCTCTTTCCTCTACCACCACTACTCACACACACACACACACACACACACACACACACACACACACACACACACACACACACACACATGAGCTACATTATACCACACCATACCCCTCCCTCTCTCTCTCTCTCTCTCTCTCTCTCCACACGCTAAAAGTAACTTCGCAAATTATTATGGTCTGTGTTGTTAGAGTAGGCTGGTGAAACTTATGGTTGAGTCTCATCTTAGTCTGGTGGATCATGGTTGTGTTATAGTATAATGGTTGAGCCTCATGGTAGTGTTATGGGATAATGGTTGAGTCTCACGGTTGTCTTATGGTATAATGGTTGAGTCTCATGGTAGTCTTACGAATAATGGTTGAGTCTCATGGTTGTCTTATGGTATAATGGTTGAGTCTCACGGTTGTCTTATGGTATAATGGTTGAGTCTCACGGTTGTCTTTGGGTATAATGGTTGAGTCTCATGGTTGTCTTATGGATAATGGTTGAGTCTCATGGTTGTCTTATGGTATAATGGTTGAGTCTCACGGTTGTCTTATGGTATAATGGTTGAGTCTCATGGTTGTCTTACGAATAATGGTTAGTCTCAAGGGTTCTATGGTATAATGGTTGAGTCTCACGGTTGTCTTATGGTATAATGGTTGAGTCTCATGGTTGTCTTTATGGTATAATGGTTGAGTCCTCACGGTTGTCTTATGGTATAATGGTTGAGTTCATGGTTGTCTTATGGTATAATGGTTGAGTCTCAGGGTTGTTCCTTATGGTATAATGGTTGAGTCTCACATTTGTCTTATGGTATAATGGTTGAGTCTCATGGTTGTCTTATGGTATAATGGTTGAGTCTCACGGTTGTCTATGGTATAATGGTTGAGTCTCATGGTTGTCTTATGGTATAATGGTTGAGTCTCACGGTTGTCTTATGGTATAATGAGTCTCATGGTTGTCTTATGGTATAATGTGTTGAGTCTCACGGTTGTCTTATGGTATAATGGTTGAGTCCATGGTTGTCTATGGTATAATGGTTGAGTCTCACGGTTGTCTTATGGTATAATGGTTGAGTCTCATGGTTGTCTTATGGTATAATGGTTGAGTCTCACTGGTTGTCTTATGGTATAATGGTTGAGTCTCATGGTAGTCTTATGGAATAATGGTTGAGTCTCATGGTTGTCTTATGGTATAATGGTTGAGTCTCACGGTTGTCTTATGGTATAATGGTTGAGTCTTGTTTGTCTTATGGTATAATGGTTGAGTCTCATGGTAGTGTTATGGAAAATGGTTGTCTTTTTTTGGTCGTGGGTGATGACGATGTAAGATGGTAGTTAGGTAAGAGATCTTTTATAGGATGAGAGAGGAGAGATTAGTTATGGGTCATTTAGCAGAGGGTGTAGAGAGCTCCATTACTGTGTGTGTGTGTGTGTGTGTGTGTGTGTGTGTGTGTGTGGGCGACGTTCTCCTTTACGTGTGGTGTAGGTCAACCTAACCTTCCTTCCTTGCTCCCTCCTCCCTACCCCCTCTCCCCCCTCTCCATCCCCTTTCCGTCCCCCTCCCTCCTCCTCCTGCGTCTTGTTGCTACCTCTGTGTATGTGTGGGGGGTGTTGTTTATGTGTGTGTGTGTGTGTGTGTGTGTGTGTAGGTCTCCACAACACCACCACCTTACCTGTTGGTCTCCCTCCTCCCTGCCTCCTCATTTACATGGTGTTCAAGTGGGATAATTTGCTCCTCCTCAACTCTTACCCGGGTTCTCAAGGGCGTCAGCTGTGGTTAGTTACGGCCCCTCTTGTGTAGTGAAACCTGAGTGAATATGTCCGTAGGGTTATATACACCACGTCATCCCTCTCCCAAACACACACACACACACACACACACACACACACACACACACACACACACACACACACACACACACACACACACACACACACCACACACACACACACACACACACACACACACACACACACACACACACACACACACACACCACACACACACACACACACACACACAACACACACACCACACACACACACACACACACACACACACACACACACACACACACACACACACACACTCCACACACACACACACACACACAGAGTAATAATAATAAACAAGGAGTCAATTCAGTGAACGTGATCGTTTATATTGGAATGTTGTTTAATATTTGTGATATGTTTATTTAATGAGTTTTGGGGGAATGTTTAGTGTGTGTGTGTGTGTGTGTGTAACTAACAATTACCCCTTCGTCCCCTCCTCCTGCGTCATATAAATACAACATACAGAAGACTCTAGCCCACATACGCCTATCTCTTTTGATGATGATTATTATTATTATTATTATTATTATTATTATTATTATTATTATTATTATTATTGAGTGACGTGTTGTTTGTAGTTACCTGATGGTGTGGATAGTGGGTGTGTAGTGTTCCTTATTGGACAATGGTAACAGTAGTACGGGTAGTAATAATGGTAGACAGTGGGCAGGTTAATCAATGGTAGAGGTAATGGTGGTCGTCGCAGCTAGTTTTATCCTTGTGGTATTAATGGTAGGTGATAAATGCCATGGGATAATGGGAGTAATGGTGCTGGTTGTTATGGTCGACATTGTTAATGGTAGTGAAATGTGTGTGTGTGTGTGTGTGTGTGTGTGTGTGTGTGTTTGTGTTTGCCCTTCACCTCTCCTCTCCCTCTCCTCCTCGGCGTAGGGTTGCAGATGACGCAGCAGCAGCAGGAGGCAGCCACCCTTTGTTTGTATACTTGCCTCCCAGGTGACCCACACAGTGAGTGGGTGAGTGGGGTGGTGAGTGAGTGACTTGTGGAGTGAGTGGGGTGGTGAGTGAGTGAGCTAGTGGGTGAGTGGTTTAGTATAGTGAGTGAGTGCGTTAGTAGAATGGGTGAGGATTAGTAGAGTGGGTGAGGGAATGAGTTCGTGGGTGAGTGGGTTAGTATAGTGGGTGGGTTAGTGAATCAACGGGTGAGTGAGTGAGTGGGATGAATCAAGGAGAGAGAGAGAGAGAGGAGCTGTATTCGTGTGTCGGTATGAACACTAATATATAATTATTTGGGGTGTGTGTGTGTGTGTGTGTGTGTGTGTGTGTGTGGTGTGTGTGTGTGTGTGTGTGTGTGTGTGTGTGTGTGTGTGTGAGCTTCGGCTATTTTATATCACTACAGCAACATGTAATAATACTGTATATGTAGTGGAATAACTAATAATACATATATACCTTCTAACTGAACGTATGAGCGGGAATACCTGTTGTCGTGTGGTGTTAATAACTGTAATAACGACATAAATTTCACTCAACGACGCTGTCAGACGACACCAAAATTAAAACAAACAAACAAAAAAATCTACGTACGTTTAAAATCAGGTTTGACTTACTCAGCATTACTCCATCGCCAGCACCACAAGATTCGGGTTATCACTTAATTTTTTTGTTCTTTTCGGTAGTTGTTATCGTTAATCCAGTGGGTGTTTTGTTGTTTTTTTAGGTGAGTTATCAGAATGTTACGGTGTTTGTTTGGTGGTGGTGACGGCGACGCGTGTTTGGCGGAGGTGTCTGGCAGCGTCGTACACACGGTAGCACCTGCAACCTTACACTGGCGCGCCCTCCCTGCCTCCTCCCTCTACTCCTCCTCTCTCTCTCTCTCAGTCCCTCCATCCCTCCCTCCCTCCCTCCCTCCTGCGTCGCGCCGGGTCCAACAACCTCCTCCTCCTCCTCTTACTCTTCCTCTCCTTCCACCTCCTCCTCCTTCCTCCATCCCCGCTTCTGCACCCCTCCAACCTCTCTCTCTCTCTCTCTCTCTCTCTCTCTTCTCTCTCTCTCTTTTTTCTTACCCTTCCGTTCCGCTTTCTCTCTCTCGCTCTCTCTTTCACTCACTCTTGCTCTTTTTTTCCCACTTCCTTCCTCCTCTCCCCCTGTCACCCGTCTGGTTTTTCTTTGTTTGTCTCTCTCTCTCTCTCTCTCTCTCTCTCTCTCTCTCTCTTAAAGTCCCTTATTTTATGCATTAGCTCAGATTTCGTCCAGATTTGAACTATATGGAAATACAGACAACGGGATACTGTTGGAAGTTGTAGAGAGACAACGGGATACTGTTGGAAGTTGTAGAGAGACAACGGATACTGTTGGAAGTTGTAGAGAGACAACGGGATACTGTTGGAAGTTGTAGAGAGACAACGGGATACTGTTGGAAGTTGTAGAGACAACGGATACTGTTGGAAGTTGTAGAGAGACAACGGGATACTGTTGGAAGTTGTGAGAGAGACAACGGGATACTGTTGGAAGTTGTAGAGAGACAACGGGACACTGTTGGAAGTTGTAGTGAGACAACGGGACACTGTTGGAAGTTGTAGAGAGACAACGGGATACTGTTGGAAGTTGTAGAGAGACAACGGGATACTGTTGGAAGTTGTAGTGAGACAACGGGATACTGTTGGAAGTTATAGAATAAAAATAGAAATGGCATATAAACAACAGAGGACTAAGTGGGCGTGTTTGCACCAGCAGAAACAAGGGAGTGGGCGGGGTAGGGTGGGTGGGTGGAGTGGGTGGGCTGGAGGAGACGGCCCGGGAACCTCGTATTAGCGGGTTAATTAGCGCGTCAACACCTCACCTCCTTTACACACGCTCCACCTGACTACCTACCATTTTACATCTGTTGACAAGACGAGAATTGGGAGTTAGGAATCAGATTGGAATGATTGGGAATTAGGAATCAAGTTGGAATGATTTGGAATTAGGAATCAAGTTGGAATGGTTGGAAATTTGGAGGAATCAGGTTGGAATGATTGGGAATTTGGAGGAATCAGGTGGGAATGATTGGGAGTTAGGAATTATGGAATCAGACTGGAAGTTAGGAATCATATTGGGATGATTGGGAGTTAGAAATCAGATTGAAATGATTAGGAATTAGAAGGAATCAAGAGGAACCAGGTTATAAAATGATCGGAAAATCGTATCAAGAATCATATACAGTATATATATATATATATATATATTGTTTTTTTTTTCTTTAAGACTTCCTTTAGTTTAAGATCAGAACCGAAGACTCGACAATTAGGTTACAGATAATTAAGTGAAATCACATCAGGAAGCTTAACTTATTTTGGGATTAGTGATTACGATTAGATTACAATTAAAAATTACGATTACAGATTAGACGTCGTGGAGTTGTTATTGTTTACATGAGACGAAAATCATATTATTATTATTATTATTATTATTTTTTTTTTTGGGGTTATAACTGTTTGTGTCGTATATTATGGTGTGTGTGTGTCGGGGGACTCTTCAACCTCTTCTTAATAATGATCAAAGTTGAAGAGCCGCAGCCTATATAGGGACGGGGACCTGCTGCCCTCACACACACACACACACGTACGTCAATACTTATATCCGTTAAGTCAGCACCGCCGCCTCCATTTGCTACAATACGGTACTGTCTACTTCACATTATCCGCTGTGTGTGTGTGTGTGTGTGTGTGTGTGTGTTGTTGTGTGTGTGTGTGTGTGTGTGTGTGTGTGTGTGTGTGTGTGTGTGTGTGTGTGTGCGTCACTTGCAGTCATCTACGCCTAGAAATTAACACCCGCTGATTTTGGTGCAGGACTCGGGTAATTAATTTTCCATTGACATCTGGGAGGTTGTCGTCGTTGCGTATTCAGTAAATTTGATCATAAATGTGTCCGGTCCTCGGCTCAAACTTGCCTCTTAAGTGCCTAAGTTGACGCATAAATTACCCTCTTTTAGTTTAGTTGATATATGTTGCACCGTGATTATGTTTGCGGAATAATAGCACACACACACACACACACACACACACACACACACACACACACACACACACACACACACACACACACACACAGGTAAATCGGTGTAGGTTGGTAGGAAAAGTTTGGTCGCTTTGATCGCCTCCATGGGACTACCGGCCCTGTGTCCTGCTCCCTCGCTCACCACCTGTACTTGTTGTGTGTTGTTGAGGCGCTTGTCTATATCACTTGTGAGATAATGGCGAAACAATACTCGATGGTGTAAACTGTATTGAACACGCCGAAGGTACAACTATAATACTACATAATATGGTAGTACAGTTATGGTACAGTGTAGGTAGTAGTGGTAGTATAGTGGTACAGTGTAGGTAGTAGCGGGAACAGCAGGTACAGGACGGAATGGCTGCCACTTCCGCCTCCAAACATGTCACTATATTCTCTCCCCTTTGGAAGTTAATATGGCAGTGCCGGAGCACACCTGTATACACCTGTACCACCACTCGGGGACACTCACGGTGACGGACGGACAGGTGTGTGTGTGTGTGTGTGTGTGTGTGTGTGTGTGTGTGTGTGCGCCAAGTACACACACGACCATGGATACACTCATCAACTCACCGACAACAAGGACCCGCCAACACACGCGGTCTTGCAAGTCATATTAACCTGTCTAGTGTGTGCAAACCCCGTGGTGAGGACCCAATTGCATGACTGTCCACTGCTGTAGTCACCAGGTGTTAGTGGAGGCTCAGGACAAGGCAGTTTCTTCTCCCCTCCTGTGCCACAAACACCTCATTAACGCGTAGTAACGTAAGTGCTGTTTAAAAAGTGACAGGGTAATGTGCTGGCCATATAACGCTTTTATTACTGTACTCCTCTGTGACTCGAAAGACTGACTGACTGACTGACAAAGATAATGATTGCTGTATCCTCACTCTCCCCTCGTGTGGGTAAGGAAGGAAGAGCAGGAGGAGGAGGAAACGACACTGAAAAATTCAACAGAGAGGAGAGTTTCACCTTACCGAGAAAGGGACGTGACCAATGTGTGTTTGTGTGTGTTGGGGGGTGGAAAGAGCTAGGTAAGGTAGACAAGTACCTGGTGTAGAGGTCTACCTGTGAATAATTAAGCGCCATGAGTATTGCAGCAAGGTTTATACAGCGTCTCCACTACTCTACTCGCTTACTGTATTATTGGCCAACGTGTACAGTGCCACTCCTGTTGTTGTTGTGTGGAGTAAAGTATAATAATGGTGGTGTGAAGTAAAGCTTAATAATGGTAGTATTGTGGAGTAAAGCTTAATAGTGGATGTTGTGGAGTAAGGCAGGTCACTAGGTGGACCTTTATCGTTCGTGTCTAAGGTTGTTGTTATTTCCCGCGTAATGTACCATTAATACTGTCTTCACTATCAGTGCCGCCTGCCGCCGCCTCCACCTTCCGACCCCCGTCACCCGCCATCACCTTCCTGACCGCGTGACTGCCTTGCCGACCCCTCCCTGACACCTCCCTCTCCCGTCAGTCGGCCTCGGTCACCCTCCAGTCGTATCATCTGGTTTATTCAGCCACTTGTACTATGTAAATTACTTGCATCTGTTTTGAATGATAATGGCACTCTGGAGGACATAGGTGAGCCAGGGACATAAGGCAACACCTCACAGCTACACCACCTAATGAGAGAGAGAGAGAGAGAGAGAGAGAGAGAGAGATCCTCAGTAACACTAAAGATGAGACAACGATGAACACCCTGACACTTATTCATGTATATTCGTTCACGGAAGTTTGCCTGACTGTTTACATCTGATTCTGGCGTGGTTCGTGACTGAAGCGTCTGACATGAAAGGGTCGGTCGTTCTCGTGGCTGTGGTTACTGGCCGCTGAATGAGGTAGTTTGGAGAGTACAGTAGTTATCTTGCTCTAAATGATAGTTCCTCCAAGATTATCCACTAGATGACTCTGTAATTCCTTGGGTGATTGAGGAAGGTGTGAGGTGAGGAAGGTGTGAGGGAAAGGAGGTGAGAGGAAGAGGTGTGAGAGGAGAGAGACGTAAGAGGTGTGAGGAGAGAGTGGCGTTAGGTGAGTGGGAGGGGGGTGGTGTGAGATGTGCAGAGGGAAGAGAGGTGTGAAGAGGGGGAGGTGTTAGGTAGGGGAGGTGGGATCCTCTGGCACGTGATGGTCGCTCCTCTTGAAGACTGCCACACCAACACCCTCCCCACGTCTTACTCCCCTCCTGTGTCATCCTCCTCCCTGTGTCATCCTCCCTCCCCTGTCATCCTCCCTCCTGTGTCATCCTCCCCTCCCCTGTCATCCTCCCCTCCCTGTCATCCTCCTCCCCTGTCATCCTCCCCTCCCTGTGTCATCCTCCCCTCCCCGTGCCATCCTCCCCTCCCTGTGCCATCCTCCCCTCCTGTGTCATCCTCCTCTCCCTGTCATCCTCCTCAACCTGTGTCATCCTCCCTTCCTGTGTCATACTCCTCTCCCTGTGTCATCCTCCCCTCCCTGTGTATCCTCCCCTCCCTGTGTCATCCTCCCTTCCCTGTGTCATCCTCCTCTCCCTGCATCCTCCCCTCCCTGTGTTCATCCTCCCTTCCCCTGTGTCATCCCTCCTCTCCCCTGTGTCATCCCCCTCCTCTCCCCTGTGTCATCCTCCTCCCTGTCATCCTCCCCTCCCCTGTGTCATCCTCTCCTCCCCTGTGTCATCCTCCTCCCTTCCCCTGTGTCATCCTCCCCTCCCTGTGCCATCCTCCTCTCCTGTGTCATCCTCCCTCTCCTGTGTCATCCTCCTCAACCTGTGTCATCCTCCCTTCCTGTGTCATCCTCCTCTCCCTGTGTCATCCTCCCCTCCTGTGTCATCCCTCCCCTCCTGTGTCATCCTCCTCTCCCTGTGCCATCCTCCCTCCCTGTCATCCTCCTCTCCCTGTGTCATACTCCTCTGTCATCCTCCCCTCCCTGTGTCATCCTCTTCCTGTGCCCATACTCCCTCCCTTTGCCATCTCCCTCCCCCCCCTCTCCCTCCTCCTCCTCCCTCTCCCCTCTCCCCTCCCCTCCCCTCTCCCTCCCCCTCCCCCTCTCCTCCCTCCCCCAACCTGCCCTCGTGCTGTATATTGCTGCCTCATGAACTTGGACCAGCGACACTCCTCCACCTCAAGGAAACTAATGCCTTCCTTAAATGTGCTGCCCTACTTCTTCCTTCCTCCTCCTTCTTTCCTTCTGTGTGCGTGCGTGCGTGCGTGCGTGCGTGCGTGCGTGCGTGCGTGCGTGTGTGTGTGTGTGTGTTGGGAAGCATGAACTGGAAAATTACAACTTTCATGAAAACTTTGTGGTGGAAATTGAGTTTGAGATAAGATATGATTTAACGTTTAAGTTTGTTTATATGTAAGAAGGGTGTAGTGAGGTGGTACACAGTGCTGGGGGGGGTCGAATCTTCTCTAATCTTACTACTTTCTGTGTTGTCCTTTGCCTTCATATTCTTTACTGTTGAAGGCCAGAAAAGAAAACTTAAAAGAGGTGGGTGTGTTAGGTGAACATTTCTTCCCGGTATGTAACTTTTACACAAAACTCCGAGTGGTACGGTGGCTAAATTTGGTGAGGAATTGATACTTTTTGTATGCTAAGTCACACAACCAGTTAACAAATTACCTAATCAACCATTCAGTCAGTGAGCCAATCATGATGTTAATTCACTGGTGGGGGTGAGGGGAGGTGACCTGGAGAACCCTCACAATAGATAGGGAGCCTAGTGCACATCTTGGGTGACCTCCTCCCTCCTCCTCCCTCCTCCCTCCCTCCCTCCTCCCTCCCTCCTCCCTCCCCTCCCTCCCCTCCCTTCCTTCCTCCCTCCCTCCTTTCTTCTCTCTCCCCTCTCTCCCTTCCCTCCTCCTCCCTCCCTCCCTTCCTTCCCCTCCCCTCCCTCCCTCCCCTCCCTCCTCCCCTCCCTCCTCCCTCCCTCCCCTCCCTCCCCCTCCCTCCCTCCCTCCCCTCCCCTCCCTCCCCTCCCTCCCTTCCCTCCCTCCCTCCCTCCCTCCCCTCCCTTCCCTCCCTCCCTCCCCTTCCCTCCCTCCCCTCCCTCCTCCCCTCCCCTCCCTCCCCTCCCTCCCCTCCCCTCCCCTCCCCTCCCTCCCTCCCTCCCTCCCTCCCTCCCTCCCTCCCCTCCCTCCCTCCCCTCCCTCCTCCCTCCCTTCCTTCCTTCCTTCCTTCCTTCCTTGTTATAATTACACATTAAACCACCAAGTTTTTCTTTGTGTTCCTTTTCTTTACCTATTGTGTTTTGTTTTACAGAATGTCAGTGGACAATATTTGGAGGATGTGAAGAGTCTCCTTATTGAACTGGATGAGGATATGCAAAGCTCTCCGAGTGTCCCTGCCAGCATTGTTTACTGACACATCCACAAATGCATCATTGTCACAAGATTGCACTGACATCAACACTGTACCAACCCAAGGAGATGATGTGAAAACTTTCACAGATAAAGTGGAGCATCTCATTAATATCAGGAACACTCTTGTAGAAGCTGCCAATGGTGAGTTAGTCTCAGTTATATTCTGTTTTATTTAGTAATTGCAGGAGGAAAAAATTACTTAAAGTTTTTTAATCTAATGTTTAAGAACAGTGATTTCTCAATTGCTCTTACAATGATGTTTTTTGACGTTGTCATTGACTACAGTATAATGTTCTTTCTACAGAATTTGAGGAGCATTTAGAAGAAGCTGTGACTTTGCGTTTATCATGCATCAAGCGTGAGCTGTATGATTTGGTATGTACTAAATACTTTTACAGTATCAAATTTTAGAGAGACAATAATAAGGTTTTAAGAAATAACATGTGGAATTCTACTTGCAAATTAAGAGAAATGGCATTCTTTCATATATTTTTTAACTTCATTTCTAAATACAGCTGGAGTGCAGCAGTTAGGTGGATACAGCGCTCGCCTCCTGTTCCAGGGGTCGGTAGTTTGATTCCCTGGCACTGATTCACTCAACTGTAAATGGGTACTTAAGTTGACAACATAGAGAAGTGAATGGGGTTGAGTGCAATACCGGCCCTGCTGCCTCCTTGTGTGCTGTATGCACACTGTCCCTAATGGGCAGTCATGCCTATGGTACCCTTTTTCATTAATTACAGTAATAGGAGTCATGAAAATTACAGTACAGTACAGTACAGTACAGTACTGTACATGTAATCACTACTGTATACTGTACTCAACATTTGAGGCATTTTATGTTTCATTTCACTGTTACAATTAACACTTCTTAGCTAACTTTATTTGACACTTGAGATTGCTCATGTTTTACAACCTAACACTAGACTGATTTGTACTATATATACTGTACAAGTAGCTCACTCACTCATTGGAGTTGAAACACATTCGTCACTAACACAATGGTGACTGGAACTTTTCAGATGATCAGTTTTGCTCTCCTGATATGTCCAGCTCCCTAAAAAGACACCACAGTTACCATAAAATTGCTGCTGTAATATATTTTTTTTTATACGTTGTACTAGTCTACCATGAAACAAATTTAATTTACATTTAATGGTCTTAAAAACCAAATACTGTATGGTACAGTAGTTAAGTGAGTTATAAATGTTAGGTCAGGTGTATTATGTAATGAACCAATGAATTTGGGCTCAAAGTAGCCTTGGGATTGATGGCTGGGCTGGACAATCCAGTCAATTAAATGATTACGAATTTGGAATTAAAAGGAAGAGCTTGGATGCCAAAGTTGCCACTGAATGCAGAGTATCATGATCACATGTTGTCACCTCGACAAGCAGTTGTCAGGCTTTTACCATTCTGAATTCAACTCTACTCACTAGTTTTAGATCCAGCCAGTCTTGAACAACACAAGAAAGAGGGAAGGTATCTCTGTCTCCTGACTCTAGGCTCCATCATGTAGTTCAAGGCACCAATGAAATGGAATGTGGTAGGGAAGCTTATACTGTACATGAATGCTCTTTACAATCCTGAATTGCTGTAAACCTGACTTTCCACAGACCAAGTTGACTGCAATAAAGTTAACTGCTAAAGACAGTGAGGGAAGCACGAAGACGTCTTCCATTTCTGAGGACTTGACCACTCAATTGGAAACGCAGCAGCAGTTTATACATGAGTTTATGGATATTACTACCAACATCAACTTGGACGCTCAGTCAGAAAAGGTTTGTTGTTCACCACATTGTCTTCACACAGTATCATAAAGATAATTACTGTACTCCAAAGTGAGTGACTATAAAGATAATTGGGTACATTTAACAATATGGACAAAAAGTATATTTTTGATAATCAAGAATAATTAAAATCAGTACAGTAGTAATAATATGTTATCATAAATGTTACTGTATTTGTCTTGTATTTGGTTATTCAGTAAGGCTTCAGAAGAATTTACGTTACTAGATACAGCATTTATTCTCTTAAGAAAATTCTGTTTCTCCTCAGATGAAAATTCTCAAAAATCAGGAGATGATGGTCCACAAGATTCTTGAAGACAATAAAGAAAAGCTACATTTTGTTTGCCAAGAGCATATGGAAGACATGAAAAATGTTTCTAGTCTCTCAGGTATGGACGTGTAATATTATCAACCTTTGTACAGTGCAGTATATCTTTTTGCTTTTTTCTACCTTCAGAACTCTTTGTTGCATAAACATTATTGTAAAGTACTGTACTGTATGTCTCTTCCGTATTTGGTGAGTAACTCTCTTTATGGAAAAAAAAATTTCGATGGTAAATAAAAACATACAAGAATGTAAGAACTTAAATAATATGTCTGAGGCATTAAAAAAATTATAGAAATACCTGTACTGTACTTATTTTGAATATTTCAGGATAGGAAGAACTGTACACTATTTTACATTTAAGTCAGCCAATTTTAGTATATATCCAGTTATATTCAATAAATTTTTATGGCCTTGTTAAACTTGACAAATGTGGTAAGATTGATACTGATCATAGAGAGTCATTAGAGTACCCAGTTTCTGTATTGTGTTATGTTCAGCAGACTAAAAAAGATTCCTATACAGATGCTATCAAGTACAGCAGTGAGCTGATGTTATCCCTGGAGAAAACCTTATCAGATGAAGTGTCATGGGTGGAGCAACAGTATAAAGAACTGCTGGAACAATATAATTATGAGCAAACCCTTCACACACAGTCACGGTCACTCACACTGGAGGAGCTCAAGAACAGGCTCATTGTCTTGCTCAGAGGCACAGCTACACAGGTACAGTACTGTATTGGTTTTTGTTGTTATTGTAGCCCCAGTTTCACAAGGTTCAAAGCCAGTGGACCTGGAACATTTATTGAGAACTGCCTGACTGGCATCTCTCATGGCAGTTCAGTTCAAGCATTGTCTGTGTTGGGTGAATGTCAGTCTTGTAATGACTAGATTGATTTGTAGCGTGTTGGACAGCTTTTCTATGTAGAGAAAGTGGATTTTGGGTGAGTTAGATAATATGATGGAATAGGTTTAAGGAAGGATGGTGACCACAGTGCATTCTGCAAAGATATACTGGATTCTTGCATTCATTTCTCTAGATAGATTAGTTTCTGAGATGTGGATATCTGCTGCAGTGTTATTCTGAATGCTGTTTGGTTTGGGTCTTTGATTAGAAGAGTATGCTAAGCTGGTATGTAGTCTAACCGTACTTTAATTCATATTTATTGTTAGTTAATAAGTCTAGATTTATAAAAGTGAAGTAAAGTACAGCCTAAACAATCTTAGTTCAAACATTAGCAATGCTAATATCTAATTAAAGACATTTTTGGCACCAAGAAAATGTAATGGAGAAATATTAGCTCCAGCCAGGGTAAAGTACATTGTCTATTGTAAATCAGAAAGATCTTGTTGTTCATCATTTAATCCTTAAACAATTTTGCCTTTGATTTAGACTGAATTGGATGATCTTAAATCTCATCAAAAATGTGAGTTGATGAAGCTTCAGGAAGAACACGGTGCTGAGGTTCAACGGCTGGAGAGACAACTGGCAGTGAGGGATCAGGAGACACTGGTCAGTAGAAGTGTTTGAAGTATTTCCTTAATAAAAGTTAACTTGTTGCTTGATTAACTATAAATTCATTTTAAAGTAAGAGTTTCAGATTTTATTTTCTAATAATTATCTGAATCACTTTCCTTTTGTATTTTTTTAGGTTGATATATCTGTATTTATACTAGCGCCAAATTCATGGTCTGTAAACACTCACCATACCACAGTACAGTAATGTCACCTGATAGATGCCTTGAAATAGCTTACTGTGTTACTCTTGGACTTTAATCATATGAGCAGGGGAATCTTTGACTGGTGGAGCTTAAACTTTTATGTGTATGGATATTTGGGTTTGTTAACTCCTTAATAACTGGTGTTGAGTGAATGCGTCTACAATAAATACAAAGTACGCACAGCTTTCTCCACCGTAGTTGGTCCACAGCACATTTATGACATCCCCTTGAAAAAAAATTACTGTTTCGGTCTATGCCTGGACAAAGTGGTCAGGTGTGTGTTTTTTTTTTTTTTTTTTTTCAGGTCATGTGGGCTTACATGATAGTTTCTTCTTTTTGACTCTTTTTAGAGTTTATCTTAAACTGTTCATTAAGGTACATTCTTGAGTCTTGGTTATGAGGAATATTCATCATACAAACTTGAGAATCAGGACTTAGGCAGTGTGTTGAAATACTACAGTATTCTTACTTTATTTCTCCCTCCCCACAGGCTTGGATACTTTGATATATAATGTACATTATATTCCCTCTCTGTTGTACATTACTGTAGTGCATTCCAGTCTTAAATATTTACCTTTAAATAGATGGGTGTTACTTAGTACTGCATGTTTATTATAGTATAGTATACAATATGTTGTATGCAGCAGTTGCTTTGGTCCATTTGAAGGATATCATGATTCTTGTGAATTACTGACAGTAAATTATCTCTGTTTCTATTAATTGAATTCTTAGTCTGTATTCACTATGAGCAGAGTGACATGGAAAGTTTTAACTTTGAGTTTGATATATTTACCGTACAGTATATGATTGACAGGATATATAGTAAACGTAAATTGATCTTTATAATTATAGAATTTTCCTTTTCCTGTGTTAACTCTGTAGTTGTAAATGTTGGTGTTCATAAGATCACAGCTCAGTTTCTTATAAGATATTTTAGTATAAAGGCTAACTTTTATAGTCAGTGACCTTATTGAACAATGAGAACTCACAATGAAAAGATGGTCCTATGCTAACAAATTATGTCTCTCACCTAGTAAGATAAGATTTTTCTTTAGCTTTTGCAGCTTGGTAGTGCCGCATTAAATTAGCCATATTATCATGCACTTGCAGTAGGGAACAATTGTAATAGTGACTGTAGTTAGACCTTTGTACTGTGAGCTGAGATGAAAACTTCAAGCTTATTTGTGAATATGCATTGGCACAGAAAAGACTAATTTGCTTTGGTTGCCTTTCTCCTTATTGCTGCTTCCTTAACGAGTCTTTTTGCATTAATATTAGATGGTCTTGTACACATCCCAATTCTGGTATATAATAATTAAAACCATACTACAGTACAGTACTTTCTCATTCCTTTTTTTATTTGTTCAGTCTACAATAGAACCATGTTTGTACACAAGGTTGTGACCCAGAGGAATATATGTAAATACAAAATTGAGCTTACAGTATGCAAATACAGTACATAATGTAATGGGAAAATAGGGTTAACTTACAGGCACCAATGAGACTATCCATTTAGTTATTCTTGCCCCTTTTATACCATACTTAACTTGTCTGTACTTGTGGAGGCAAACGCCATCCCTTCCTCACATTCTTAACAGTGCAGGCAGCTGTTGACTGCTTATGGTACTGTATATTTGTATAACCAATTCTGCTTATAGTTTTTTTAGCAATGTTTTTAGTTTTAGCATATGTTGATATTTTAAAATGAAAACAATCAGGCAATGATTTGATTGAGTTAATCTTTACAGGCATCAGCTTAATTAGAATTAATTTGGGTGAGGACATGAAGGAGGATGTTTATCCTATATGTGCTCTGGATTGTAATTAATCAAATTTATCCACAGAAAACAAATACAGACTGTATATCAGAGTTAATTCTATTCACTGAGGTGCAAAACTAACCCAATACTGTACCTGTAAAATGTTTGAGAATATCCATGATAGTTACCACTTTCTCCTACATCAAATGTACTGTAGTACAAACATCTATTCTTATCCCTGTCTTAGACTACACACATACACACTCTCTCTCTCTCTTTTCTTAATTTAATTACATCCATTTAATCTTTTGAGTTTGATTACTGCAGTATGTGTGTTCATCAGATTTTTTCTTATTTTTGGGGACAGTTCTTAGTACTGTACAGTATAGGATGTTCAACATTTATCTCCAAGTAAAAATTGAGAAAACTTATAAGTTTGACTTGAGAACACAATATATTAAAAAAAATTTAAAGATACTGTAGATGCATGGAAGATTTTTTTTAAAAAGAAAAGGTAAAACCATTATTAGTTCAAAAGGTAAATTTGATTAAAATCAGGTTTGCATTTTGCACAAGTTTACTGAATTGATGATTTCTATTACTATAGTGGTAAATTTTTTATGCCTAGATATTTGGGAAATTCTAGTTCTACCTTTTGGTGTTTGTACATTGTATTGTATCATAATTGGCATTTTATTTACTGCCATCCTCTATGCATGCTTCTGGGAGTCAGATGGCCTTAGATGATGAAGTGGAACAGCTTCGTGCTCAAATTGACCATGACCTAAATGTCAGGTCCTGCATCTCTAACTCATTGTGCTCTGAGCTTGAGAACATCAAAATTCAGGTTACGCAGGTACTGGATGCTTGCTCCTCTGTGTCTTGGCTTTTTCTTTGTGTGTGTGTGTTGGTCAAGAACTGGTACTATATTGACTGTAATCATGAATATTTTACTTTCACCTGTGTTAAGTGTTGTATGTGGTATTAAGCACATCACTTTCCAGTATAAAGCAAGACATAAAATTGATTTATGTGCAGATATGCTATTCCTTAATTCTATATGAATTTGTTTAATATTTCATTTATTGGTTAATGTTTAATTTTACATTTCTTATTCCATAAAGAGTTGCTTCTAAAGCTTTAGTGTATGCAATTGGGCACTTAGAAAGAATGCCCCCCAGCTTTATTTTGCATTACTTATACAATGCTTCTGAATGCTCTTAATACAAAATTGCTGTATGCAATGTAAGATTTAGGTAAAAGAAAAGAAGTAAACAAGTACATTTAGGATATATGTACTGTATGTCATTGTTTATATGTGTATTATAATGTTACCACAACCCCCCAAATATTATTAGGGTGGTTAATCTGTAGATGAAATAAGCTGGAATGGAGATTCTTCAGGTGATCTTTTATGAAATTTACATTCTATAGAATGAATGACATTACAACTTAATTTGAGTAAGGCAAGTATAGGTATGTTTGAACTGATTGATGGCATAGTGTATTTGTGTATGAGTATTGTATGGTTGGAATGAATGAATGTACAAGTGTCTTCCATGACTTTAGTGTTCAGAACCCTAGTGCATCATGAATCAATCCATTTGTTAAGGAAGTCTATTATAACAAGTTTTAGTTATTTTGTTACATAGATAGACGATAAACATGCTGTTATGTTCATGTATAATGTGTTTTGCCTTGCATGTTTTGGTTGTGTCCAGTGTTCTAATCACCAATTTTTCCTTTTATTTATAATATGATATAATGATGATATTGAGTTCAACTGTGATTATTCCTTTGTTCTTGTACCTTATAAACCTTTAAAAAAAAAAATTTTTTAGTAGGACATTTGTGAAATATATATAAATTTTAATAATGAAGCTATTTTTTGAGTGAAAATAACTTTGCATTAATTTTCTCTTCTGTTTGAAATATGAATTAAAAGCATTTAGTGAGACATTGTCCTGTATTATCTCTCGTGCACCATTGTCCATCAGCAGCGTGTTTACATGTAGTGCACAGCTGACCTTTACAGCTTCAAACCAGACTGACTGTTTTTGATGTCACTGTATGTATTAAAGCTGTGTTTAGTTAGTCCTCGATTTATCTGTCTTTAAGCTTATTGTTTAACCTTATATTTTGTTTATATTGTGGTAAAATCCATGAGCTTTGGATGCATTTCTGTAGAGGGTCTTCATTATGTATAGAGGATGCGGATATCTAGTTCACTGTTGTTGTTGCTGCTTGCTGTGGTGTTTAATTCAGCTATTGTCTTTGCTGTTGTCAGTTGGGTATAATTCTTCATATACTATGCTACGCTAAATCACAGGAAGAAATAATACCATTAATGTGATGCCAATTCATACTCTCTCTCTACTTGACTGACATCATACAAATGCCATATTGTTTTTATTCAATGAGAGTAGGATCTATTTATGGTATATATGAGGTAAATATATATAGATGCCTTTGTCACCTGATTAACAGGGAGAAAGTGAAGTAGATGTAGAGGTTTCCACCATGAAAAGTGAAGATGATAGAGAATTATTAAAGATCCAGAAATATTAGGAAATATTTTAGGGTTGCAGGGTGGTTGGAGTATACAGTATTTCAGTAATTAGTGCTTAGGGATGGATATGATATGTGTGTGTGTGTGTGCGTGTGCATGTGTGTGTGTGCATGCGTGTGTGCGCGCGTGTGTGTGTGCATGCGTGTGTGCGTGCGTGCAAGAGAGAGAGAGAGAGATTCTGAGGTGAGTAGTATGAACCAACACGGGTAAACTGGGTGGATAATTTCGGGCTTTGTTGAGGAATTGTAACTTCATTTTATAAAAGACCTGGGAAAGCATTTGAAGATGGAGTGAATGATGGTGAATGCAGGAATTAGAGCTTCATAATTAGATAACAGAACTGGGAAGCTGTTTAGAATGAGTGACAGTGAATGAAGAGAGAATATGTATTGATCTTGATTCAGGTTACTCTCTCTGATAAGACTTGACTTGTGGGGAAAAAAAAATTATGGCTGACTTCATTTTCCTCCCTCTTGTCATCTGCACTTAAATATTATTACAGTACAAAACTAAAATAGTGTTCCCTCTTGGCTCCAATGTTTTTCCTGTGGTAATGATATCTCTTACACCGTGGGCTTCTCTGATGTATTGCTGTTATGTTGCCTATTGGGGAGTTTATTTTGCTTTTCTGTGGATGGGGCTCTTGCATATGTTTTTAATTTGATGTGTTTGTAAAATTTTATATACAGAACTCTCACTTTGGTTGGGATTACATTAACTGATTATTTTTTTATTTTTAGTTATTTCAGCTTAAACTTTAATTATCACGGTTCCAGTAGACTTATAAGTTGCAATCATTAGTAGTACTGTATATATATCCCTTGCATGGTGTAGAGATTAATTTTGATTTATGTTGTCTGGCCACTTACGGTGTCTTAGTACTAACTTTCTTGTAACCTCCTTCGTTCTTGTGCTTTTGCTGCGTGTTGGTGTTCCCTGCTTGTCCTCTTACGTAGCTGGAAGATGCAAATGATGAACTTCACAAGATAATTGATCCTGCAACTGATGTTAACTCTGTCCTCTTCCAGCGGCACTTACAGAGCCTCTACAGTGACAGGTTGGTACAGTATTTCTCTTTTGTTAAAATATTTAGATTTAATTTGAATATAGTCAGCAATCAAAATTCATGGATTTGTAGTTAGGAGTAATTACATAAAGCATTTTATATATGTTCATAGATTCATTCTAAGATTTTATTTTTACCTTAAGAACTTATATGGTATTATCTACTGTGTCTCAGGGACTGGTACAAGAAAACAGTTGGTCTCCTGTCCCATGTAACACTGCAGCTGCTGCACTACTACAGTGTAGCAGAAAGCTACACTAACAAGCCTCAAGATCACAAAGTGATTAATGAAATTATTGAAGATCAATCTGCAATGCATCAGCCAGAGTTGTTTAGTGGAAGGGTTTTGGATCTCTCATTCTTGTCTGATTCTATGCCAGACGATAGTTATACTAGTCAGCTGAATATGTTTGCAGAGGACACTGCCCTGTCAACAGGACTTATTTCCAAAACTATTTATACTGATCAAGGTGATGAGCCAGAACTAGTAAGCAACTCTGGATCAGTGTTAGATAGCACAGCCATGAGTGAAGGAATGTTAGATGATGTAGACAAGGATGAACAAGTTCGCTCTATACTCACAAAGTCATATCCTCAGTTAATGTCGATTCTCAAGGGTCGTTGGGACCGTGTTGTTGTGGAGAATCTAGAGAAGGAGGTTCAGGAGTTAACAATTTCACTTCAAGCATCAGCAGGAATGTTGAAAATATTTTTGCATTCTGTATCATCAGAAAATCAAGATCTTTCATCTCATACTATTAGAGAAGTAACACAAGATGACAGTGTGAAAGAAACAGTCTCTGATCTGAGTCAGCATCACCTTAGTGAAACTATTGAGGCACTGAGTAAAACTCCAGGAGATGAAGTGCAACCTAATAAGTCTATAAGGGAAAGTGAATCAAGTTGCTCTACAGTTTCACTTAAAATTCATAATGTTAGAAAGAAATTTATGAAGAATCTGAAAGACACTGAAGTGGATCTACCCTTAAAAGAAGATGCTTTAGATGTGACAAGCCAGTCATCACAGTCAGAATTATTTAAAGAGTTGACTCAGCTGGATCTTGTCAATCTGTCAGAGAGCCTCACCATTCTATTGAGCCAAGATGAATCATTCATTAACTTCACTAAACTTAAGCACCAGGAACTTATAGATGAGGAAAAACTAAAGGAAGTCCTGAAACAATTATGTCAAAATGTCCAGTTTACAGCGTGTCTTCAAATGAAGCTTCATCATGTAGAGGGCTTATTAAAAGGCCTTGAAGAGGAGAAGAAAACATTAGAGGATGAAAATTGTCGTCTTAATCACTACAGCAAGAATCTCGCTATGGAGCTCCAGGTGAGTCTTGTTAGAAGTGTTTGTGTAATGTCTTCATTACTGTAACTGTACCATATTAAGTCTTATTCACCCAGTCTGTCAATTGTCTTGCTGTTACTGTACATCTTTCTTCGTACAGTATGAGTGCATAGACCATATCTCTCAGGTTAGTCATGGAGAAAATTGGGAATACAGTACGGTATATAATCTTTATAATTGAACACTGAATTAGATGATCGATACAAGGTATTCATAAAGTTTTTGTGCACCATTAAATCATATTAACTTTGGATATACACATGATATAAGGAAACTGTAAACTGCATATAAAAGCTTCATACTTACTGTTTTAACACAATGCCATTAAAATTTTCAGGTTTCAACATATAACTACTGGGACCCTGGGAACCTTGGGTTGTCTAATTGTAAAAAATGCTGACCATAAATAAGTCCTACAGTTCATGATTGGTTATAAAATTGGATTTCAGAATCATTCCTTCACACATTATACACTTGAAATGAATTCTACAACTCTTTTTCATCCATTAAATAACAGGTTGTGAAAGACCAGATAGAAGAATTGGAGGCAGTTCAACAGGACCAAGAGGGAGGGACTGCTTGTACCCAGTATGCAGCAAAAATGGAAGCTTCAAAGGATATTAAAGAAAGAGGTATTTTTTTTCTTTACAATTTGGTTAATGTAAAGTCACGTGCATTTATTATACCTGGTGTAGTGGCTGGCATGTTTTGTTAGATGTGACAACTCTGTGGAATGCTTATCTAGTAGTCTGGCTACTATTGCAAGGTTCCTCAGGGCCATTCCGGGAGTTATAATATGTAATATACTGTAATTCATATATGCACATATACACATATATAATGTATGTATGAAGTCACTGAGTGCTTCATGTCTTGATATATTTATATTTCCATTGCAGTACGAGCCACTCTGTCTGCCAAAAATAAATCACTAATGGATCACACTGAGCTGGTTGCTCGTGTTGGAGACCTTGAAGGAATCCTTGAGACACTAGTGAGAGAGAATGATGCCACTGTTGAAGCTCTCAAGTCTCGGGTCTCAGATCTTTCCCAGCAGGTATGAAGCAAGCTCTGTTTATATATGCAGTAATACAGTGATATGCCCGTTAGCAAGAACAATTGGTGCAGAGCACTCCCGGGAATGAGAGATTTCTGACTAACGAGAAGACTCACTGAAAACCGGAAAAAAATCCCTCATTCCCTGAATTTTTCGGGTATCGGGAAAACTTTCTCTGAATTTCCAGAAATTGTGCCCTTTGGAAAATTGTTCCCAAAGCCGGATTTTCCGGAAAATTCCAGCTTTGGGAATGATTTTCCAAGAAAATTTCAATTCCGGCTAGCGGAGACTTCCGGTTTTAAGAGATTTCAGCTAACGGAGATATTACTGTATCTCCATAAGCCGGAATCCCTCAAACCAGGAACTCTCCAATAGCCGGAATTGAAATTTTCTCAGGAAATCGTTCCCAAAGCTGGAATTTTCCAAAAATTCTGGCTTTGGGGATGATTTTCCGATGGGGCACATTTTCTGGAAAAATCCAAGAAAATTTCCCAAGTACCCGGAAAATTCCGGGGATGGGGAAGGTTTTATATCCGGATTTGAGAGATGAAAAACAGGTCTATTTTCCGGAAATTCCGAGAAAAATCTTCCGGTCCCGAAAATTTCCAAAAAATTCTAGGAATTGGGGATATTTTTCTGGGTTTGAGATCATGATGTGATGCTCAATTTTTGGAACTTCCAAGAATATTTTTCCATTACCCGGAAAATTCTGGAAAATTCCAGGGATGAGGAATTTTTTCCAGCTTTGAAAGATGAAATAATGCATCATTCTGGAACTTCCGAGAACATTTTAACATTACTTGAAAAATTCTGGAGAAGAGGGATTTTTCTGGTTTTCAAAGAGTCGTCTTGTTACCCAGAAATCTCTCATTCCCTGAAGTGCTCTGTACCAATTGTTCTGGCTAACGGAGATATCACTCTACAGTATATGTATGTATACAAAGTGCCATACTGCCTTGATAACTTTTTGAATTGAAGGGGTTCACGAGTCAGACATATATATTTGAGCATTGTAAGTGTCATTCAGCTCAAGAAGTCACTCTTAATTTGTATTAGGTGAGATGGTGCTCTGCTTTCTAATCCTGTCATGAGTGTAATGGTTTTTGTACCAAGTTGCTTACTAGCTTAAAAGGAAAACCTAATGTTACCATAAGAATATATGTATTATGATTGTAATTGTGCATAAGGCTGTGCCCATACTAGTGAGAATTGCATTTATTCTTAATACCACTAGAAATTTTAATTCCTTCATAAACTTACAGCTAGAAGTGGCAGATCGACAGCTTCGATCATCTCGCCAGTTCCTAGAGGAGCATGCCAGTGAAAGAGACCAGGAGATGGAGGACTTAATGCACACCAAAGACAAACTTGCCAGTCAGCTGCGAGAGAAAGATGCCTTGCTCGTACAACATGCTAATTTAGAGAAGGAGGTACTGTATTGTATGACACTCTTTTTTCATATTAGTACTACAGAAGATAGTTCATGAGAGAGTTTTCTGGTTCAAGGCTGAATTAGAGTCAGAATAGAAATGATTTTGTTCGTCTTAATGAGTTTTGGAGTCTTACGTAGGTATCAGTCTATCCCTAAGCTGAGTCGATAAACTAAAATGTTTTAGTTTTGCTTCATATATATTTTACTAAACTTGCTCCTGGTATTCTGTGTATATGTTTTGAAAAGTAATGGCAGAGATGTTTTAAACTAGAATAATGTTTCAATGTACATTAATCGGATACATACAGTAGGGTTGAGTTTTCTGATCATTCAAAACCCAGGAAACAGTTAAGCTGAGACAGAATCTTTTCAAAATACCAGACTAGTGTGCATCAGCGACTTTATTGCTGATATAAAATGTTATCAGACCACCAACATACTCGGATAAATTTGCTTCTTGGTACACAGGAATTATAATATAAACTACAGGTATCTCTTGAGCGACGGAAGCTAGAGTTATGGACATTTATGTTAACGGAATCTGAAAAATGTGGTATTAGTTTTGAGATAAGTAATATAGATTTGCTTAAATGGAAAATCCTTAGGAAATTTCTAGAGTTAGACATATAAATCTCATTAACCTCCAAGATGTCACTAGGGTGTTTTTTAGAGGAAGTTTGTGTCTGAAGAAATGCATCTCCAGTTATGTGATGGAAGTCGACGGGAAAATAGATTTTGAGTTCTGGACAACTTTTCACGAACATAACCCTTCCAGATCTTCAGGGATGCCTGTAATAACAACAGAACAGAACACAAAAGTATGAAATATTGTTCTCTTCAGGCGAGACATCTTCACTTGACATTAATGTTCTTGAACCATTTTTGTGTTAACCAGGACATGTAAATACATGGAGAATTTAAAACTGTACAGTGCATGCAAAAGATTTTATGAGTACTGTATGTAGAGAGAGAAATGCAGATATATACAGGAAGAATATATCAGAGGGAAGTGAATGAGAACAGATAGAGGACATAATTAGGAAAGACCTTTGCCACAGTAGTATGTGTTGTTGATCAAGTATAAGTTAAACAAATATGAGATTATACTCCACTAAAGACATTCTTCTCACATCAGCCTCTCTTGAAATAAGGAATGCCATGTGTAATACAAATGAAAATTTTGGCAATTTCTAAGAACAGCACATTTTATTTTTATTTTTAATTTAACAGGTGATGTTGTTTTATGAAACATGGAGTTATGTTCTCAGATATAAGGAGGGGGTTACTTGCAGACTATTATTATCGTTGAGTTGTAGACATATAGGGAAATTATTTATGAACCTGGTAAGTAGTGTCATGGGATCCGCAGCTACTGGAAGTCACAACTGAATGACAGGTACACCAAGCATCTGGCCTTGGGGATGATTTAGGAATTTTGTCTTGTGTTTGAGAATGTCTGAAAAAAAACAATCTCATTTATGCATGATCTTGATGTACTGTATCTATTTTGTGTTTCATGTTCAAGAAGACATTTGAATTTATGTTCCCCCTTCCACATATTAATAGAAATACAGTACTTAATCCCTTGTGTATGTGGTTTTCACTGAGCAGATTAAATCATCTAGCATTAACTAAATAAAGTATTAATGTCATTTCCATAGTGCAGGGGTTAATGTGTTACCATTCATAAATTAACTTAGAAATATGAAGCCAATGAAGCTCACACTATACTGATAAAAAGTATGCATAACTCACCTTGTAAATAGTGTGGAGGCAACGGTGAACACAGGGATGATGATGGTGGCTCATGGTGGTGTGCAGCAGGCAGGTGGTTAACCATATTAATTTCTAACTCATCTCATTTACTTACTCCTGCACCATCACCATGAGACTGCATAGGGCACGTGAGAGACCATTATGATACAATACATTCCAAACTATTACCCAGATGGTACAAGCACAATATGGAAGTAACAACAAATATTTGCACGGAATTTGTGTTTCGTCCATAACAAAATAAATTAATGGAACACTGTGGACAAGAGAACTCATAAGGCAATTTATATATGTTAGTAGCATTTTCTTCTTACACAGTAAATGTTTGGTGCTTTTATTTACTCACTAGTATGCTTTAGGATATTTTACATGTATTAACTCTTTTATATGCCATTTTACTATCTCTTTAATGGGATCTTCACACAGATGAGGAGACAGAGAAGGGAGTTATGGTATTTCAGAATTATATTTCCAAATTTATTATGTATTTTAATTGTTGTAAAGAAATAGTGACATCTATTGTCTATTGTACAGTTTGTATTGCCTCTGTTCCTCTAGACCTTTCCTGTGTTTCTGGACTGTATTGCCTGACTGTGTTTGGTTGATTTGGGAATTGATTGATGAAATATTGCACATACGCATGCATGACTATACAGTACAATATTTTGCATGATAGGAGTTTTGTCTACATACTTTACATGTATTGGTAAAGGTAATCAGTAATGTAACAAACTTGGTGTATATAAATTATTTCACTAATCAGAAGACGACCGTCAAATTTATTCCTCTGCAACAATTGTCATATTGTGTCATAGGTGGAGAATTTAGAGCGACAGTTGCGGGAAAAATCCCAAGAACTCCAGGATGCTCTTGCCAGTAAAGAGGAAATTCAAGTCGAACATAAAGCTGCTGTTGATAAGGTAATGATTTGTAATGTAGTGTGAACCTCTGCTACTGGAGACTAATATTTCAATAGCTTATTATTTTTATGTTGTAGATATTTGTTTGTTTTGTTTGTAATGCACTCACCAGCGATATGTACACACTCATGAGATAATAGACCAATTAGAGCAGTCATGCATGAATGTGTAAACATTTCTTAGTATATCTATCCTTTTACTATTTAATCTTCTCTTGTTATAAAGTTCACCTTCTTTACGTTTGTAGTTTAGTGCCAATAAAGTCGTTTTTAATTATCATGATTATAATACCTTTGAATAATAGTTGTTCTTTGAATTTGTTCATGCATGCGTACAATTGTGTATGCATGTATGCTTACATGCATTTGCCTCTGCATATATGCATACATGTGTGTGTATATGTGTGTAGTGACTTTCCATATCTATGCAGTGATTGAATGTACATATATGTACTGTACTTACATATTTATTTGTATATTTGTGTGTATTGTGTTTCCTTTTTACCTTTGCTCCTATTTATTTGCACTTGCTTTTGTCTGAGTTCTTTTGGAGTTGTGTATTTTAGGCAGTTTTTGTCTTTATGGTTGAATGTATGAATATGTTATCCCATTTTATTATGAATGTATTGTATGCTTTCATGAATATGTGTTTGTTCTTTAACCGACTTGTTGATTATGTAATTTTAAATTATGTTGTTATTTCTGTCTCTCTGTTCATTATTAATGTATGATGAATTACTTCGTTCAGTAAAGAAGTAATTTTTATGCTAGATTTGGGATCTGCGTGAAATTATCCAGTCCCTTGAGGCTCAGGTGGATGGGAAGTGTGTTGAGGAAAGTAACCTCAACACCCAGGTTGAAACACTGACAGCAGCACTCAGCCTGGCTCATCAGGACTCCCAAGATCTCACTTCTAAGGTACAGTAATTATCATTTTACATTGAGTGTTGAAACTCACTAACATCTGTTTGTCATTACAGTTGAGCTACAAGTGCATGCCTAACATAGCCTTTTTCTTGAGAAAGTTTGGTATATATGACTAATTTTATGAACTGTGGTTGATAGAGAATACTGTAATGTGTTTTGATGCATGTTGGCTGTTACTTTGATGATAACTACAGTAGTTGCAGCAAAATGATGCTTTGTACAAAATAATATTAATAAGTGATATTAATATTCTCTCACATGTTCAGTAAACGACTTGGTAATTCCTATACCAGTACTGTACTTTGCACAGATTTACCATTCATGGATATACCTTCCATGGGTAGTATAATTGCACCTTTACTATCATTCCTATCATCTCATACCTTATTTGATCTGGCCTCCAGCTATGGCTATTTAGAAAAGTTTGGATCTTAAAAAAAATCTAGTTATTAGTAAAATATATTATTGCACATCACAGCTGGAGAGTCTTCCAAAGGTTAATACTTTACACACTAGTATGCTGAAGTAAATATCTTAGGGGTGATTCATAAATCCAGATTGAGATGTATTTATGTAGGTCTTAGACCTGACTATACCACTTTGCACCCCCAGAATATGACATCAGAATATCACAAATAGTATCATTTGCTCTACAATAAGGAACACCAGCTTGGAAATACTTTGGAGATGCATTATTAGTTCATAACTTGTTCTCACTGCAGCTGCTATTGCTTCACACTACCCTCCTTACCAGCTGAGGGTTACATCGTGCTCTGCAAGTTACTTTTATCATCAGGATTAATCTCAGCAATATGGCTGATGATCTTGGTTTTCTGGATTTTGGCAGTACACTGTTGCATCCTCTTGATTCTATCAGAAATTTGGGTGTTCGTTTTGACCCAACTTTAAGTTTCAGAAAATATGATAACTTGCTGGTAAAACTTTGTAAGTATTTCATCTGAACTATTTATTCTGTAAAGAGGTTTTTGGACAGGCAAGGTCTCTTGATACTTGTACATCCATTGGTAGTTTCTATTGAAGAAGGTCCAGTTTGTCGTGAACAGTGACGAGGCTTATCTGTTTACTTCCATGAAGAACTCCCTCTATTTCATTTCTAATCGAATTGCATTGGCTCTCAGTTAAAGAAAGAATTAAATTAAAACTGTACTTGATGTTTTTTTTTAATTTATAAAATTTCAGGAGCCAAAATATTTAGTCACTCTTCTATTACCTCTGATTGTTGACTCATATACTGTATGGCATAGCTTAGTTGTGATGATCCAAGTCACCTGGAATTTAAATTCTTGTGTGAATTTCTTTTACAACTTGATCTTTTTTCCACACAGCACCTCCCTTATACCCTCAATTACCTCTCTTCCTAAAGCAGCTGGAATCGGTTGAGACTTTTAAAAGTAACTTAAGATTTTCCTCTTGTAAATCATGTAGCAAATGATGATAATAGACTCAGACGATGAATTTTTAGAATAACTGTTGCTGTTATAATTGTAATATTTACTAATTTTCTTTCTTGTTAATCTCTTAAATTTTCTGTATGTTCAACACTAGTAAATAAAAAAAAATTGTGTTTGATAAATGAAGCGCTAAATATTATTATTTTTGTTACTGTTGTTACTATTATTATCAAATGCATTATGTTTCTTAACAGTAACAGTTGTTACTCTCTTGAAAGATTTTATCTCTGAAGTACAGTAGTTTGTAATTGGAGAGTTTGGCATGGCAATTTAATATAGTGTTGGAGTTGTTTTTCCTTAGCCACCCTTGGAGTGTTGTTTTTCTGCTGTTTAACTAAAGCCTTATAACATAAACCTACCAGTTAGAGGCTCTTCAGTGTGGAGGAAGTATACAAGGTGGTGGTCACAGCAGAGAACAGTTGCCCACCCAAGGCCCACGAACAGTTGAGCCTGAAGAGGAGGAGAATGATGCTCAACTTACTGGTACTTCTCTGTTTATGGAACTGAGAGATGAGTACAGGCAGGGCACAAGAAATGTGTCTGGTCAAACACTGGTAATTTATTATTATTATATAAGATTTGAATGTACAGGTATCCTTCGTTATCCGAATGATTGCTATCTGAAAATTCTTTTATCTGAAAATTCTATTCTTGCACCTCTTTTTTGCTATCTGAAATAGTCAGCTGGGCTCTACCTTTCCTCTCACATCCCCCTCATCCTGCATTGTTTCATGGGCCTTTTGCCAAGTGTTCAGTGGAAGTGAAGTGATCCTTTTGTGAATCTGTTCACAGTGGCATCAAAGCATTGTATTTATTCCTTGGCTATGCCCACCATTGCCAAGAGACTGTGTAAACTTGTGATAATTGAAAACAAGCTTGAAATAATTATGTAATAATACCATGAAAGTGGGAAGGCCCGAGACAATTTCGATATTTTTTTGTATGATATTGGGGTTTTCTTGTAGTTACGGTTTTTTAGTTATGTTATTGGGGTTTTCTAGTAGTTAAGTACAGTACTAAATTACAGTGCAGTAAAAAAAATTAAGGTGTATTATTGGGGTTTTTTGTCATTGGAAACCAACCCCATTTTTCCCTTTTATGTTATTTCCTATTAGAAAATTTTATATCCGCATGGTTTTCAAAGAACCTAACCCATTTGCATAGCAAGGGATACCTGTAGCAGTAATACAATAATAATATTATAATCATTATAGTCAAATGGAATAATTAATGTAATTTCCCTCTATATTTGTATTTATATATTACCACTAGCATTAGTGTTGGTAGAGTTTAAGTGAAATAGTTTTATTCTAGAGGTATATATATATATATATATATATATATATATATATATATATATATATATATATATATATATATATATATATATATATATATATATATATATATATATATATATATATATATATATATATATATATATATATATATATATATATATATATATATATATATATATATATATATATATATATATATATATATTTTTTTTTTACATTAGTATTTTTCATTATATTTTTTTACCACAGCTGCAAATAATTGAAGAAACTGTTGAGCGGACCACTAGTGGCCTGGAGGCTCTGCAGCTGTCAGTGTCATCTGCCTCACAGTCTGCTGAAGATCTCTCAATCCAGTAAGTATACCATTGTGTCATATTTATCAAGGTGCTAAGGGGAAGAACCCATACTATTCTTCCCCTTATAATAACTCTGCTATATGTTGTGCCATATATTCTCCACAGTCTTATTCTTCTCATGGTTCTTTACTTTCATTCTTCTCACATTTTGCATTATACATAGGAATTATATTTGCTCTCTACCATTCCTTTAGTATCCTTCTCTCTGTTTTACATCACTGTGCACACTTTTAATCCATTCTAAAACTATCTGTCTCCTGTCCTTAACATCTCGAGGCTTCTTCCATTCACTCTTGGTGCCTTACTATTTTTGAGCTTCTTTACAGGCAGTCTCACATTCTGTTGATTGTACACCTTTACTGCCCTGTTATTTCTTCATCTTTTTGTATTGTAAATTTTAATTCATGAAGTCCCTTTGCTATCATTGTCATGTTGTTTTAATAAATGTATTTTAGACCTGAGAATATATATTATACTGTATGTTCATTCCACATTTATATTGTTATCGTAACTGATATGAATCTACTCCTTTTGCAGAGATCACTTAGATGTGCCATCTTTACAAGAGCGAGAGAATAACCGTGCCTTATCACCAGCATCTGTTGACCGTCGCTTGGAAGACAAACTACTTACACTTGAACGTACAACAGAAGCTGCGGTGAAACGTACTCGAGATCTAGAAATGACTTTGAAAAATCTAAGAGTTGATCATGAGGTTTGAACCACTTTTTATATCTCTTTCATTCTTTATATCCCAATTTTCTATGAAATTACTGGACTTTAATTCTTAGCACTTGAATTGGATTTTGTCCCTCAAATCTCCTTGGTGTTAAGATTATTAATCATTTATATTCTTTTATCTTATTAATGCAGGAAGTGACTGCAGAGAGAGATGTCCTTCAAGAGCACTCAAAGGAGCAACTTGTTCAGATCTCTAGTCTTGAAGCTCGTCTAGATGAGATACGCCGTTCAGAACATCCCATGACTGCTGAACTTAGACAGAGGCTTAATTTTGTTCAAGAAAATCTTGAAAAGAAGAGAAATGAGATAACCAAAAAGGGAAGAGAAGTGAGTGTGATAAATTTTCATATGTAGATATTTTTGGGGTGAAGAAAAGTTAAATTTGCTTGTAGTTACTGGAAAATTTAAGACAAAGAATGAATTGTATAAGGTTTGAATTGGAAGGTAAATAATTAGTGAGGGTGTTTGAAAGAAGAGTTGAAAAGGGTTTTAGTAATAGAATGAATGAAAACTGAATGGAAATTGTAGTCTGTTATAAAAGATAAAGAAATGTAAAGGCAAGGGGAGGAAGTATTTTGTGTAAGAGGGGATAATGCTGATGAAAAAGGTGAAAAATTTATTCACCTGTGGTATTCCTCATCCACAGTTAGGCCTCAGATCTGGTTTACCCTTCTTATTTCTCAAAAGTAAGTGTCACCCATTAGCTGCACATCCATCCCCAAAAATCAATCAACTCAACACCATGCTCTCCACTAGTTTACACCCACTGCTGCCTCCCAGGTGTCCAATCCCACCACTTCTTATGTGTCCCTCACCCCATCTTTCCATGTCCTCTTTGACCTTCCACTCTTCCTTTTATCAACCACCTCTTAATTATAGCTACATTCTTTTTAGTCTATTGTTTATGTCAGATAATTTCAATTAATATGCAAGGCATTTTAGTGATGTTTAACTAAGTTTCTTGCACTAATTTATTTTGGTGGTGCTGTTGAGGGTAGTTCGTGGGATTTACAGGAGTTCTACAGTAGGTGTTATCATTAGGGTAGGCAGGTCAGATATAGATGTGTAAATATATCTTGATAAAATATTTTTTTTGTACAGATAGAGGAGCTTAAACATAATTTAACAAGTACTCGAGGAAAGTTGATGTCACGAGAGGAGGAACTTGAACGCATGCAGTGTGTGTCCCAGCCTCACAGTCTTCCCCTGAGCACTGCTGATCAACTCCTTACAAAACAAAGACATTTGGAAGATGAATTGGCAACCAAATATATTATCATTGAAAAATTAAAGGTTAGTTATGATTTAGGTATCAGATAGGATGTATTGAATTTGTAGTTATGATAATATGTATGTTTTGTTGTTGTTGTTTTTCTGGCATTCATGCACAGCCTATCAGCTCTCCAAACACTGGGTGATTTACCAGAGGGTCCTTCATTCCATCAGACAGGAAATCTCAGTGTCATCCTAGGTTGACCTGTTAATCCCTTAGTTAAACTGTTTTCAGCCTCAGATGACAGGAAATTACAGACTGCTTATACTGAAGCAATAGCACTCAGTCACCAAAGTGATCAGTTCCACCTTCTATGAACCCAAAAGAATTCAACTCGACTTGAAAAAATTTGGGTCAACGCAGAAAATGAGGGAGTTTGTGTAGCTCTTGATTTCTATCACATTTTGCCATACTGAAAAAAAAAAATAAAAAATGCAAGAGAAAAAAGGAAATGACAAACATGTATATTTTTATGACACAGCACAAGCCTTCTGTGCATATAGCCAAATTGCTTGAGAGTAACTGCTCCCAAGCATATTGCATAAAAGGAACTCTATACTGGCGAGATATATCAAATCAGTGTTTAAGAAATTTTAATCACCTGTAGTTAATCATTTTTCTTTCAGAAGGAACTTGTAGATGCAAGTAAGTCAGACACCATCCCACCATTACTGGCCCAGAGTCTAATTGAAGATAAGAATGCTGAGATCAGTGAATTGTATCAGCAACTTAGGAATATGAAGTCCCGAGTCCATGAAGTGGTCACGTTTATTGCTAATGGCACAAGTCTCGCTGAATGTAAAAATATGGTCAGTAGAATTTATTGTTTTTTGTGTAACTACAATTCCTGTATCCACATATTATAAATTGTGCAAAAATTCATCTGAACTTGGGAGGTAATGCTGTGTCTTGATTCCTGGAGGCATTACTCCTTGAATGTCTTCCAAACTCAGGTGATTTTTTTGTTAAGAAATATGTGCAGTGTTTGGGCAATAATGACCACAATTAATAAAAATATCATAAAGATACTATCTAGTCCCAGTTAATCAGCACTCTGTCTATAGTAGGTTTTTAATTAAATTGCATCCACTGCAGATTCACACATTATCACACCTGAATTGACTCCAAACAGCAGGAACTTCATTAAAAATTCTCATTAAAAATTTGTAGCCAGCTCCATCTTTCACACTGATGTTGGAATACTAACAGTAGCCAGGCATTACCTTAATCTTTTTACTTGTTTTGAGAGATAAGTTTTCTGAAATGAATTAATGGTTTTATAAAAAAAAAAATTATATATTGTAAACCATTATTACAAAACTTGATCATAACTATTTATTGGTCTGCTAATGAGCCTACTTGGTGGCTCATTAAGCAGTAAGTTTGCTCATTCCTCACCTACAACATTAGTTTTTCTTTTAATTTTCTTGGTCTTGCTTGTATTTAGTTCAGCAGTGTAAAGAGCTGTATTTTCTTATTTATTTATTTTTTATTTTGTGCTCTTGATGTTTGATAAGAAATAATAACAGACTAGAAAATTATGTGGCTGCTGTGTGTTGGTTGGCTAGATTTACAAACAACCAGATCTTTGAGAGTAATTTATATCTTGAAAAGTTAATGATTAAATATTCAGTGTTTTAATCATATCTTGAATTGGAAATACTGTATTGATATATTTTAAAACAAATGTATCTTTGTAATTCATAAAACTTCAAAAAGTAAATATGTATTGAAATTTGGAGCTGTATCTATAGGAATAAATGAATACAGTATAGACATTGTCATTTAATAAGAACAGCTCTCATAATTTTAAACACAAGAAGTGATAATAGGGGAATACTAGCAGCTTCTTTTATTTGATAATTCTACTTTCTCTGCAATGTTGATTTAGTTATTAATATATGGTCCATATATTAATCTTTGATATTTGTGAATAAGTAAGGCCACTGTAACACTACCTTATGGCTCATTTTAGATAAAAAGATATAAAAGTTACAGTAGAGCAAACTTCTGCACAGGCAGGGAGGGAGGAAAAAGCCTCATTACATCAGAATTTCTGCTGTTCTTGATGGTCCTGTGTATCAGTCAGTTTGTTATTATATAATTTATCCTATTTACCTCCTAGCTGCAAAAAATCATTGGAGATGATAAATTCAGTCCCAGATTAAGTGATGCAGAAGCTCCTGAGGTGTTGAGAAAAACATTGGTACAAGATTCAGATTTGACTTCATATTCAAGCTTGACTTCACATGTGGTAAGTTGTACTAGTTGTACATATAAAGCTATGGAGTTAGCTGTTTTATGATAGGGTTTAAGTGAATGGTTATGTAATGGTTCTTAACCTCCCAAAGTCGATGATATCCAACCCATGGTGTCTTGACCTTACCAGTTAGAGACAACAAAATTATAATTTGGTCAGATTTTGAGCAGACTAAAAAATTTGAAACAATTGCAAATAATTATTTTATTTTAGATATTGTAATGGTTTAGATTTGAGGATTAATGCACTCTACTGCATTTGTACTACAGTTCAATCATATGAAGACAAAAGATCAGTTTAAAAGACTTCCTGATAGAGGGTAAGTTTTCTTGAGTTTGTAATAACTGCATTTTTTGCTCAGGAATTTAAATCAGCAGCTTTAAAAGCATGGGTAGTAAGATTTTCAGCAAATTAAACATAAAATCAATACTGTAGTGTTTGTCTTTGATGTTATTTTAGTGGAAAAACTTATTCTTGAATTTGAAATTCAGTCGTTGTCAAGGTAATAATCAGTGTTCTGTGTACAGTAAGCTCTTGTTAACTCGGCATATGATATCTCAGAATTTCATGTGATTTGGCACGTATATGGTCTCGGAATTTATTATAAGAAAACTCTGGAAATGCCAAGTTATATAAAATTTTCTTGGAAAATCTCGGCATATTTGGCCCCGTGGGTAACACTCTCCCCACTGCACTCCACGCTTAGTCAGTCTGGTGTTTGTTATTGTTGTGGTTGGGTGTGTGCTGGCTCACTCCACCCAGTACATGAACGTGGGAAGGGAGGTTACTGTAGCACCCCAATATTTTGGGTATAAAGTACTATACTATACATTACATCACAGAGTATCTAGGGCACCAGAATTAATATTCAGCACTCCCTGGTAAAATTTGGTTCCTGCCTTACTAACCCAGTAACACCCAACAATCTTCCCCATTCATGTCAGGCCAGCCACTGTATGCAGAACGTCTCCACTATTACGGTAAATCCAATGTCGTAGATTTTATTTAATTTACAGTGCATTTCATTTAATCTGAATTCCAGCTATCTGAATCTTCCAGGTATCCCAACTTTGTCCCATTTGGTAAAAATTCTAATTTAGTCCAACAATCTGAAAGCAACTGAAGTCATTTATTTGTGTGTCCGACACCTGTAGCGCTACAGTCGCTTTTAAAAAAAATTGCTGTAATAAACAATAAAATTGATACATAGCTTATGCTAAAATGCAATAGCACATATTTTATGTACCAAAAATAGCTCCTTCCACACTCAAACCATTATCTTAGTGATGCCACAGTTCAGCTGAGAAGTGTGTGTGCCGTGACATCACATGGGATGGAGGGAGGCTGGTGAGTCAACCACACAGTACAGCTCACTGAGTGGCCTTCACATACGTTAACCTCACACACACACACACACACACACACACACACTTTTGTTAAACCACCAATGTTTGTAATAAGTCATTTATGTCCAATGTATATTTTCAGCCTTTGGGCTGCCGAACTTTTTCAATTAACCATTAATTATTATTATTATTATTACACACACACACTACCTATGCTCTTCATTTTTCTTATTTTATAGTTTTCTATTATATTTTCTTTATTTCTAAGTTACATTATAGCATTTTAATTTTTACTCATTTTGCTCTTTAATAAAGAAAATAGTTTTACAAGGGTGGACTATAATATCCTTAGTGATGTAAGTTACTTGCTTATTTACATACTCAGACTTGAATTATACATTGAGAAAACAGTTATTTTGTTCAAATTTGTTCTTTATTTTGTATAAGTGACCAAATTACAGTAGTATACATAAATGCCTCACTGTTTACTGTTTATGTAGTGTTCCCCTCCATCACCTGCATCACCTACAATTCCCCTGCGTCACCTACCATTCTCCTGCGTCACCTACCATTCTCCTTTGTCACCTACCATTCTCCTGTGTCACCTACCATTCCCCTGTGTCACCTACCATTCCTCCCTGTCACCGACCATGCCTCTCACCTACTACAATGCTTCATTTTTCACCTGCAGTGCTGGTAAGTGTTACTTTTTGAAAATTAGTAATCACATGTATACGTATATGGGCCAATAATATTGTTATTGTTGTATTTTTGTAGGGGAAAGAGGTTGATTGCCTTGATTAGTCGAAATATGGGATAATTCCGCAAGGCTAGAGCCCCATACGTGCCGAGTTATCAAAGTTTTACTGTATTAATATGATTTATACAGAGCAGTCTTTTCATGATGATGGAATTTGACTTTACAGATAAGTAGTCTGAAGGAAGGACCTTGCCCTTTCATAATATCAAATAGTAAAAGTGAGGATGGAGTGTCTTTCATTACTCAGCCCTCAAGTGGTAACTTGACTCTGATGTCTCTACAACATGAAGCTCCTCATGAAATATCAAAGACATCTTCATCTCATACGTCAATGACGTTCAAGGTAAGATTGAAGAAGGATGTTGAGCTTATGTGAAAATAAAATAATACCAGTAATAATAATTTGGTTTATTTGTTGTGATTGTGTTATGTTATTATGTTCTGTTCAGCTTTATGTACAATATTAAAAACTCGGAATTTTTGTTGTACGTATTTACACTTTATCCTTTGTGTATGGTGTCGCTTCTGAGCTGAATATAATTGTCTGTCATTAAACATATGAAATACTGTACTGCATTAAAAGTGGCATCTCCATAGTGAAGGGATTAAAATTATGAATGTATTTATTAATGTAAATTTATTTTATGCAGATACCACCTCTACACAAAGATGACAGACTTGAAACATCATCTCCATCTGTGGGAGGTGCTGGTACTTCTGCTGACGAGGTTGGTTTTTCAAAGAATTGCTTACATTGGACGAGTTACTGTTCAACAGCATTCTGGTTTGTTCTAGTTTATCCTCACTATTTTTTATCAATTATTTTTTTGAAGTTCTTATGTTCTTTGTTTTTTTTATATTATAGATACTGTACATCTATTGTCTGTGGATTCTTCTCTCTATCCTATGGCTGTATATTTGTTTTACTTTTGTGTTATGAAGGAGATCAAAGAAATGGTTGAAGAAGAGAAAGCAGCTCCTCATACTTCACCATTTGAGGAAGGAATACCTTTTACCAAGGAGGAGTATGAAAGCCTGTGTTCTGCTAGTGGTGAAGTGACTGTCCTTAGGGCTCAAATAGAACTTATGCAGAAGGAAATAGACAACTTAAATAAATATCAGGTAGATGAGTATAAGTTATGAGCAGAGTGCTGCTGAATGTGCCCAGTCTGCTTTTAACAATAACTGCCTCAGTGCATTTGATTGAATTTTATTGTAATAGTTTGAACTAGAGTTTGCCTCAATAATTACTAACTCATTAACTGGACCAGAGTCCTTGCAACCTTCTGTGATCACCTTCACCCAGAAATGTGTATCTTTCTACATATTGTGTTGGTCATCTCATAACTTCAGATTGGGTTGGGTTATGCAGACCCCTCTTTTAAGTATCACCATCTTGTCATAGTTTTGTAAATTCTCTCAAGAGGACCAACTTATAGAAGAATGTTTCTGCTTTGTGCTTAAATTTACTTTCAAAAGTATTGTTGCTCTTCCTGCAATCTACTCAGTCACATTGTTTTAGTTAATCTTTCTGCATGTCCATACCTCATAAGTATTTTTCTGTTATTTTATTATTCAGTCATTCTTAATTATTATTATTATTTTTTTCATAATTGAATCCTCTCCATATCCACTTCCCTGTCAATTTCTCTCAACTTCTTGCACTCTGATAAAAACAGCACATTGCAGACTTTATTTCATCAGCATAAATTCAAATCATTCATTTTCAGATGAATTTGGAATGAATAAGACAAAACTAAAGGTTAAATGCCTTGCTCTATTACTAACTCCTGTTAACCTTTGCAGTGCCATAGTGATAAAACTTGTGCCGACACACTGTGCACAAAATCATAGGCCTGAGAAATTATTAAAACTTAATGTGGTATGTTTCACTGGTCCTTTGTCCTAACCAAACTCGACTCTAGTGAAACCTGAAGGATAAACCCAAAACTAAATAATATGCCATCAAGGTTAGGACCTATTAAAACTAACCCATTAAGATCTGGTTCCAATAGGACTGGGGGTGCAGATATAAATAATACAGGGTCTTTTTGTGTTATTGCTATTTGAGAACCCTAAATAATTAGTGAAGTATATTTTAAGATGTACAGTAATCATTTACGGTTCTTCAATAAAGAAATGACCATGTATTTATATTGCAGGTTTATGTAAATTTTAGAAGAATTTGAGACTAAAATATTCCCCCACATCTTCATATAGAAGCTGTTAATATAAAGTTTGTGATGTTTACAATCTGTGGGTGAGTAGGAACATAGCCTTGTGGAATGGTAGTGACTGTTAGACTTGTCATAAAGGGGAAGAATGTTGAAGGTGAAGGGTGAGTTGTTGATAAAACCTTCACATAGTCATGCTCAGGAGGGCTTGGAAGCTAGTTGACAATACTTCGCACATTTCAGTCCACCGCCAATTGTGATTTAAGGATTTGTGAGTTATATACTTTTCAAAATTCAGTTTTACTTGAGCTTAATTACTATTTATGCAGATATAGCTTATTCCTTAAGAAGAACATCGTATTGTGATTGAATTACAGGTGATCACAATAGTGACATTGCAATTTTTTTTATTAAACAGGTAATATATTAATTTCTAGATGTTTTCTCTGATGTGTATAACTAATAGTTTGTGTGGTTTATTTGTTACTTATAAAATACTATGAATTTTTCTCAAGTAATTTCACTTTATAGTAATTAGTCTTGCACGTAAATATTTTCCAAATTGTTTATGGTTAAATTAATATCTGCATCTTGTGCAATTTGATGTGACACTGCATGTTCTTGTTTTAAACTGTAAACCTTAAATAAAGTAGAAATTAACAACAAGGAACAGTACTGTGCTGCAATTCTTTTTTATCACAACTTTTTTATGTTTCAATTCATGTGTATTTGATGATCAAGACAGTTATTGGCAGTTGTTTGTCTTTCACTTTATTCGATGTAAAACTATTGGTGATAAGTGAATGAAACAAGAGTATGGTATTAGGAGCAACCATACAGTTTGATACATTTTAAAGTATTGACATTATTGCTGTGTGTTATGGTACAGTCTCACACATATGAATAATATCTAAGAGAGTAGGAACACTTGTGATTAAGGTTACAGATATAGAATTAAAAACTACATGTTTCCTGAATGTTATGAAGAGGTTTATAAAATGGTTTCAAAATTCAATAGGCAAAACTGGAGGAGGATTACAAAGTTGCTCAAGAAATGTTGGAAGCACGAGAAGAAGAGATCACACAGTTGTCGGAGGAAATCGAGGACACTGGGTCTTTGCCTCTGCCCTCACAGACTCTTCACATGCAAGACATGTGTTTCAGGCTTGAAGAACAGGTATGAAGTTTCACATCTTTATATGCTATAACACGTTACCTAACAGTGCTATGATTTGGGTCTTTAAATATTCTCAACACTTTATTTTCTTTTTCAAGCTCACCAGGGGAAGTATGTGATGAAATTATTGATGAAAGTACCGTACTGTTATAAACTTGAGATTGTATAAGAGAAAAAGTAATGTGGGTTCAGGAAAGGAAGAGGGTATGTGAGTCAAGTGTTTGCTGTGAAGAAAGTTAACCCCTTGGGTATGATTGAGGTCTCTGTGCTGAATAAATTTATCTAGCATTAGCCAATTAAAATATTAAAAGTATTGTATAGAAGTGAAGGGGTTAATAAAAGGTTTCCAGTGTAGGGGAAGATTATTTTTGTGACCTTTATTGATCTAGAGAAGTATATTATGATGAAGTAGGAAGCACTGAAAACACATGGAGTAAATTTAAAATTTTTAGATACTGATCTGAGTCTTTATAGGGAGAGTGAAGTATGTACTGTAGTAGAGTTTATCAGGTAGAGGAAAACTGGTTCCCAGTGTCAGTAGGATTATGTCACAGATGTACAGTAGCACTTTGGTTGTTAGGTGTCCTGGTGAGTGAACTCACAGGCCACTTGTATTTTTGCTTCATCCATGAAATCATCCACCTTACTTCACCTTTGCAGTTTATAATTATTTTGTATCCTCTTAGGTTGTAGAACTACAAGAACGGTTCAATGAGGCAGCTGCCATGAACAGAGAATATGAAGAAGAAATTGAGAAGCTTAATCTCAGAACTAGTCAATATGAACAAGAGATAAAAGAACTTCAAGAAGGCATTGAATTACTCAGAAAAGAAGATAAGCAGAAAGAAGTTCTTCTTCTTGAGAAAGAAACATCATTACAAGAGACAAGACGTGAGATTGACAAAAATGTTGATCAACATAAACAGAAACAGGTTGGTACTTTTATTAATACTGTATTTTGAATGGAAAGACAGAGAAAAACCTACATGATATATGAATTATCTGCATCTTAGTAGTCATTGTTTAAAGGTTACTGCTATGTAGCTGTTGATGTTTTATATTAATCCATTTCTTCTTTTGTCATCATCTCCATCATCATTGTTTTATGGCAAGTTTCCATGCTGTGCTCTCTCTTGTAGCCTCTCTTGTCAGGTTCTTAACTCAAGGGTCATTTCATACATCATCCTGTCATTCTTGGCCTACCCCTGGCTCTCCTCCCCTCAACATTCAGAATCCTGCACCTCTTGACCCAATTAATCTCTTCTGTTTTCTCCACATGCTCGAAACCATCTCATCCTGCCTCTATGCAAAGCTTCATCAATATTCTCAACAACAAATACATAATCTTATACCGAACTTTTTTAGGAATTAACTAAAAAAATATTCTTTGAAAAATTTTGTTTGCACAAGATAAACTTGACCTTTTTACTACTGGTGAAATACAACAGCCCATTTTAAGTATATGAGAGGAACTCTTTGTTAAGACAACCTAAGTTGAAAGTAATAAAGAGTTAGTTAAAATTTGTGTTGGAGGAAATTTAGAGAAATGTGACTTTGTGGTGATGTTCAATGACTGTGGCATTTACAAGACCATCTTCTTGAAGAACCATCGTGCAGGTGCTTGGAACTACAGTGCATTATACAGGTATTGTATAAATGGCAGGAGTGGTTATTCTATGGCATATTCTTTGGAGTTCACTTATCGGTGATTCTCAACTTGTTTTCTCATCATTAATTTTACAGAAACTTTGCCCTATCCTGTGTTTATACTGTACAGTAGTTATTTAAATTAATGTATCAATATTTAAAACAGATGGAGCTTTGTAGAGAAATGAAAGTTTTACATGAACAAATGGAGCAGCTAAAACAGCAACATGAAGAACAATCTGCAGCTCTACAGAGGAAGACTGAGGAAGTTGCTCAGCTGTCTGCCCAACTGGATTTGGTGCATTCAGAAATGAAGGAGAGATTATCCCACACCAACAAAGAGATGGCACAGCTGGAGGAACAATATCAGCAGGAAATTTCAGGTATATTTAAGGGATATAGAATCTATCCTGCTAGTGAATATTCAAGGCTTATTTTGAAAATTTTACACGAAAAATACATTTTTGTAATTTCTATGTGATAGTCAGATTTTGCACAAACATATGTCACTAAGGAGGAGTAACCTTGTTCAGAAAACCAATAATTAAAACAAAATTGACAGTCTCTCGGTTCACTAGTAACAGATTGCCGAGGTTATACAGTACAGTATTTGTGTATATTTGTAAGACAAGGCTGAATGACTGAAATTTTTGTTTTATATGAAGTTAGAAGTGCTGTATGTAATTAGTCTTGATGAGAAAATAGTAACTCAAGATAATAATGTAATAATATGTTGTGACAGTTTTTCCTAATTTCAGACATGAAAGAAGAACAGATACTAAGAGAAAAGCAGTTGTGTAGTGACTATGAGGAGCGAATGGCTGCCCAGGTTAGCATTTCTATTTTTTTTATACTGTAGGTCCTCTGTTTTCATTGCTCCTACTTACTTTGAAAAGAGAAAAATTAAAAATCTAAAGAAAACAACATCTGCAGACTACATTGGACAACATTTATAATACATCAATGCACGTCACTTATCACTGTGCCGCATACTTCAGTACAGTACAAGTGTTAAGGTTCAGTTGTGTCGTGCATTTATCATAAATTTTCACCTGTTAAACCTTAGCAAAACCCTGCTAACATGAGTGTAAAATGGCCAGTGAGTGTTATTGTTGGCTCTGCAGTGAAGAAGACTAGCAAAACCATTGATTTTGAGGTGAAAATGGACATGCCTATTCAGTTTGATAATGGAGAAAGTGCTTTGGACAGTGGCAGATTGCTTGGCCTGCCTGTTACAATGGTGCAAACATTATGTGCTACCATTGATAAAATAAGAGAATGTACTCAAAGTGTGACCCCAATTTCTAGGGTAAAAAAAGGTATCTTTTTTGGCAAGTAGATATCCATACAGACCCTGCTACAATATGAAGATGAAGAATAGTCTAAATATCAAATTTAATCAGTGTAGATCCCACTCGCAACTTGGGGACTTGGGGTTATGACCTTCAAATTTTTTTTATTATACAGAATTACTTGACCAAGACTCGGTTATGACATACGAAATTGGATTTTAGGACCAAATCCTCATTTTGTAATTTTAATACTTAATAATATTGTTATTGTTTAAGGTGAGTGACTTATCAGTGAAACTTGGGAGAGACAAGGAAGAGGCAGTAGCACGCCAGCAGCGTTTTTATAAATCTGCTCTTCACGAGGCAAACAGGGAAAAGGAGCGAGTCCAGATGGAGTTACAAGAACAACGTAGGGCGGTGGATTTCCATAATAGAAGCCAACAAACATGTTAGTAATGATGTATTTATGTATGTACAAAATACATAATAAGGTTCCCCAAACTATCATATCAGTCTTCTTTATCTTCCAATATACTGTAATTGAATTTTATGTTTCTGTTTACAGCTCACCTCTTTGACTCAGTTGATGCACTGAATGCAGGAGTAAAACTGGAGTTGGACAAATCAGGTCAGCTGGACAACAGTTTAGTATCATTTGTCAAGCATGGCCATACTAGGGGTGATCCTGGAGACCTTTCTACAAGAGCTTCAAGTGCTGTCAGTGACATAAGTGATGGTGATGGACCCAGTGATATTGCAGTCAAAGTCCAAAGGCTGATGAATAAGGTTGATAAGGAAGGCATAGAGGTAATTTAATAATTATATGGTTGATAGTGGCAAAACTTTGGAAAATGACCACCACTTTAATTGATGTTCCTTCTAGTACTGTCGGGACTTATGGCATGTCAGATTTATTAATTTTCCACTTTGGAAGAAATGTATAGAAAGAAAAGGAATTCATGATTTTTGTCAGGAAACTATGCTTAGAAGCTATACACCACAAAATAAATGTGTACAATTCATTCCCATAAAGAAATTGCACTGACATATAGGTGATAAATCCAACCCTTAAAATTATTATCCATTTCCCATGCCTTAACAGTTAATTAATTAATTAATTAATATTCATATTCTCAAACTCACTGAAATTAGTAACAGACTCAGTGATCAACACTATGGCTTCTCTAGAGTTGCTCTACCACCAATTTCCTGTCATTCTTCACCCATTTGATCCACAAATCAATAAGCAACATTTGTGAAACCCATCCAGGAGTTCTTGGTATTTTCAAAGCATCTGTAAGAGTTTAACATCAATTCTTATTTGCAGAATTGCCCTCCCATGGCCTGTTCTCTATAGTTCCAGGAATATCTTCTTTTTTAATTGGACACAGAGTATGCATAATTCTGGAACGTATTTTGTCAAAGTATTCCCAGTTCTTAAAGAATACATGTTAGCACCATTTCTTTTCTTATCAAACATAGTAATATGCTTTCAGTGATAAACAACTCTGTTTACTCCTATGACTTGCTCATTTGTTTATAGATCCTTCACTATTTCCTTTCTGTTATAAATTTTGCCAATTAATATATGTTTTTGAAGTAAGAATAATTCATGTAGTTATGTGGTTTTAAGAGTTACTGATATAATTGTTTTTGTTTTACCAGATGCTGACTTTGATAGAATTAATGTTCCTGCAAAAACATCAGACACATTTAGACAATAGTCAGAGGACTCTTATAAGTCAGAGTGGATTTATCGCCACGGGCTCAACTGAAAGTTCCATTGCTGACATACAGGAAAGGTCAGCCCAGTCTGTACAAGGTAAAACAGAAGATGGTGTCACTGTCGGGGAGAGAACACAACTACTTCGTCACATGGCAGCCCTGGAGGAAGAACTCAGTAAGAAAGATCAAGAAATTAAGAGAAAAGGTTAGTTTTTTTTTTTTTCTCCCAACAGTTATCCAGCATCCTTTGTCTGGCTGGAAATTTATTAGGGCCATTCCCAGAGTCTTAATTCAATGTAAACAAATAAAGAGTTGCCACATCTCTCAGCACTCACCAGCCACTGTACCAGGTGTAAGTGCAGTTGACTGTAAATATTAGCTTTAAGTGTAATATGCTCATCTTTAATCCGTGGTTGGTTCAGAAATAAGACATAAAGAAACAAGTCCTAAGCTCATTATGGTCCATCTCCTCCTGTCTCCCTTTCCAGACCCCTTCATTTCTTGCCCTCCCTTGCTTTGCTTCATGGTTTATATTTGTATTATATCACGATGCTTTGTCACGTTTCATTATTTTCTCTGTTTTGAAAGATTTGCTTTGTAAGTTGAATATTCTTCATTTTACAGTTAATCTGTTAGAGTTTCGATTAGAACAAGAGAAGAAGTTGGGAATCGAATGGAAATTGTCCTTTGAGTCTGAAAAGAAGAGGGCACGAGAACTTATAGAGCAGCTGAGAGAGGAGAAACTTGCCTCAGCGGATCGGGTCTCAGAATTAAAAATTTTACGCTCGCAGTTCTTTGTCCAGAGGCTCGAGCTGCAGAAAATTCAAGGAGAAAGTAGCAGTGTAAAGTAAGTTTTTTATTTTTTTTTTTGTGTGTGTGTATATGGAATAAGAACAAAGTATAAAAGGGGAGAGGCAGGATGAGAAAGTGTTTGAAAATGGAAAGATGAATTAAAGAAAATGATGATTAAGTGGACATACGTATGAGAGGAATACCAAGGTGGACGTGCATGTAACACAGGTATGGATGAATAAAGCGTATGACCTGAAGTAATTAAAGATTTATAATACACTACTACAGCTGTTTTCTACTGTTGAAATTAAGTGGGGATCATTAGTCACTGAAAGATGTGATTGGAATTACCTGTTAATTTGTTAAAGCATTACATAATATTGAAATTCATGTGTGATAAACAAGGACTGATTTGAGAACCTATAAACATTGTAATTATCATGAATTAAATTAATGGGCTTCGCAAGTATTTTAATTCTAATGTTTGTACAGGTATTGTTATCCATTCACATATTAAATTGTTTTGTTTATGATTTATTATTTAAACCTGCAGACGTACTTGACTACAAACAGATGAATTTTAGGCCTCTTTAAGTCAACTTTGGGTTACTTTTACCAACTGAAAATGGAAGCAGTCATCCTTGGTTTCATAAGCCTCTAGTACTACCTAGGTGCTCTAAGATTCAATTTTCCTACAAGCATTATATCAAAGTCAATTAATTAGCCACTTTTTTCCTAATGAAAGCATTCATTGATGAAACATGGTGTTCTTCATCAGTTAAAACTTTTTGAATATAAATATATGTTTGCAGCTGTAGAATTAAAATCAAAGTATAAAGTCCACAAATCCTTTAGTGTTTTTTTTGTCCTTAGTACATTTGCTTGTTTAATTGTATACACTAGTAGATACTCTTACACATAGCTACACACAGCAGACCCAGTGAGTAACATTAAGTTCTCATTTCAGTGAAACTTTAGAAACTAATGAAAAAGAAGTCGAGATGCTGAAGGACGCTCTGCAGGCGGAGCGTAACAACTTCAGCCGCGTCTCAAAAGCTCTCAACCAGCAGCGACACTTGGCAGCTGTGACACGTTCTCAACAAGATGGTGTCATCAAGGTACTGTCAAGATACTGTAAGATATGGTTATGTGGCAACTGCTTTATTTGACTGCCACACAGGGATAGGTTAATGATCACGTAAAGAAATACTAAAGTATTTGTAAATCATAAACTCTTGAACCATCCTATGCACTTGGGTGCCTCCAGGGAGAATCAAACCCTTTGCATCTGGTTCACTACTGTATATGACTGTGTAAAAGAGGAATATTAAATGATAAAGCACCATGAATCTACATCCAAGAATAGTTTTCTTTATGAATTTATTTGCTTTATGTCTATTTGTTAAGTATAAGATGAGTGAATTATTATATTATTATTATTATTATTTTTATTTTTACCTCAAGGATCTCCGTTGTACTCTGGACAGTGAACGGGAAAGAATTATGGATCTTTACACTCAGCTGGCTGAGCTTACTAATCAACAAGCAAATAAACAATGTGATCGAAGAGGCATTATAACAAGAAGAATGGAGTCTGAGAGAATTACGTCTGGAGTTAAAGAGACCACCACAGCCATCACCCCAACTGTTGAGGATCTCCAGGTTAAAAATTGTCTCTTTAGTTTTCTGCTCAGGACTTTTGCCTTTAGCATTTTTTGTTTTTTTGTTTTTTAGTTTAACACTAAATTACATACAAGAAACCCCATGAAGCTGTTTTGACCTACTCTCCCATACATAACCCTCACCCTTATCCTCATTAATTTTCTCTTATATCTACATACCCCTCTATGCTCCTTCTTTTGCTTAATGAACCATTTCTTTTTCCAGTTTCCTCATTTCTTAGTCTTTCTTTGATATTTGTATTTAGTTGTCAGAAAATTCATCTTGTCACTGTGCGCACATTACTAATTTTTTTAATACCCCTGTAGTTCTCTATTTTTAATTGGTCATTGTATGTTTCCACAATCTATTGTTAAAAATATCAGATAAGAATACAAACATAACCCAATCTTGACATTGTCAGGTTAATCAAACGAATGTCATTTTTGTACAGATGCAGTTGGCTGTAGAAAAGGAGCGTTTTACTGAATTACAAAGGTCATATGAAAGGGAGCGCCGAAAAGTTGTAACCCAAAATGAGCAGGCACATGCTGAAAGAGCATGTGCTAAAGTTGAGCTAATGGAAGAGCAAGGAAAATGTGCAGAATTGACCAAAACGATTAGGAATATGGAAATGGAAAAGGACACCTTATTGAGACAGGTAAAAAAATATTTGTTGAAGTATACTCTATATAGTCACACCCGAGGAGGTAATATTGGTGTATGTGTCAAGGAGATGGGTGTGATGAGATATGTATCCAATATTTATATTACTGTGTAAAGGTAAGTTTGTACAGACTGTGTTTAAAATATATAATTGTTTCTGAGTAGAATGAGGCACCTAAAATTGTTGTACTGTAGTGCTGGGAATTAAGAAGATACAAAACCAGTGGATTTTCAGTAACGGAATGATAGTTTATAGGTATTTGGAACAAGATTGTGAAATATTTGTATACGTAGTTTTATAACCATGCACTCAGATCAGACAACTCTTTTTAGCCAGCAAGTGTATGGGGTTGAATCCATAGGCCTATGGTCCTCGAATTATCGAACATCATTAGTGTTTCACTGCCAATTTCCACTCTTGCTTGGGTTGAAAATTAGATTACCCTTCACTCTCATGCCATATTCTCCCTAAAGAATTAGCAGATTAACAAATCATTTATATTTAGAGGGTTCATAAAAAAAATAGGTTGCTTTTAACACTGCTTTTTAGATTCAGCTTCACTATCAATAGCCAGGCTAAACCTGAATGTTTCCTTGTATGTACACTAATTCACCCAAGAGACCTTCATAACTAGAAATGGCCAGTGTCTATTGTTAATGTTACTGCACAAGCTTTGGGGACCTAATGTAATTTTCAGTTATGCATAATGTAAAATCAGCTGAAAGTTGTGTGTAAATAAGTTTTTTGTCCAAAATTTTGAATACACCCGACTTGTTTACCGTGGCATACTCCTGTGTGGTGTGTTTAGTCTTGCCTTACACAATGTTCTGGTGTGTTGAACAATAGAGGTACAGTATTAATTTGTAGATACAGTAATTATGAAAACATCCTGTCTTTGTTTAACTTTTATCACTTACTTAGGGGCTGGCTTTAAAAAACACAAGGTGATGTAAATGGTATGAAAATAATTGTGTTTGTACTGCTTGTAAAAGATACATTCATTCGGGGCAAACTTTTTGAAAATATGGGAATTACTGTATTTTGGTGTATTGATGATTTGGAGTTGCAGTGTCTTTGCACTGGGTTCATATGTACATCTGCACGGCGAATGGTGTGTCAGCTGTGTCGATTGATTGGGTACCAAACTTCAGAGTTGGGGAAGTGAAAGTCGTCAAGTGCAGAGTTGGCCAGTCTCCTTCCTTGTGTAGCAATGACATGGTTCTCATTATACTGTACCCATACTTCCCCTAATGTACTGTCAGGCCATTGGGACCCAAAATAATTTTTTCATGTGGTTGATTAGAAAGGCTTCAGTGTACAGTATTTGGAATATATTTTTCATAAATGTTATACATTGAAATATTACCTGTCAGAACTTGAGTAACATGTACATTTTAACTTAAAAGTATAGTGCACAAATATTTTCTTTTCATTATTAATAGATGAGCCAAAACCGGGAGCGTTTGCAACACCAAGAATCACGAATTCGAGAAATGGAAGCAGAAATAAGGAAATTGGAGGGTGATTTAAGAGCCCAAGCAGATGGACATCAAGCAGCATCTCACAGAGTTCGGGAAGAAGATGCACAGCTTCATATTAACTATACACGCTCTTTAAATAAATTGGTTAGTATCTTTTAACAAGTAACATTTAAGGGTGGTGGCTAGCCTAAAATAAAGCATGGGAACTCCATATGCATTTAAGGGGAGCGTTAATAATTGATCAATCAATATCAATTTCCTGTCAGTAATTAAGGACACCAGATACATTGTTACTATACCCATGAATTGGTTCTGCTTAATCCCTAATCCTTGATATCTGATTTTTCCCTTATATTCTTATCAATTTTCAAAATCCTACCTCTCCATAACTTCTCGCTAAATTACGTTGAAATTCGCGTGTAATAAAGGTAATTTACTCTTCTTGAGCGTAACATAGAGACATTTCAAATTATCGCTTTCGAATTGAGTCCATGAATTTTTTTCCTAACTTACCATTTTCTCCTCCAAATATTTATAAAGAAAAATCAGTAAATAGTAAACCAAGCCAAATGTAACAAAAAAAATATATATGCTACGCCATGCGCAGTATGTTATTCTACTACTTAGCTTTTGTTTTATTAGAATCGGCCCATAAATGGCCAAGCCTTAGGGATTTGAAGGTTAGAAAAACTTGTTCTGAGATAATGGCCGATAAAGGTGGCGTGAGAGCAACTCACGATCGTACCTCACTCTCGCATGTTTGATGAGTAACTGGTTCTCATGACGGCAGTCTCCCGTGGGTAGCGAGCTGAGAAGTGATTGATATTACTTCACATCAAAATATTATAAATACTTTTCTGCAGCCTTTCCTATGTAAACAGAAGGGCCCTCTAAATGAAGGAGGGGTAGAACAATCATGCAGAGCTACATAAATATTACGAATTCTGCAATAAAAATACGTCAGCATATAGCCATAGGCAACAGCTTTCCTCAGGAATTTTTCTGAATATTTTTGTAATTTTCCAATTTTCAGCCAGACGTTCCCCTTAAATGTCTTGGCAGGAATTGACAGTATATATTGTTGTTGGCTGCAATTGCTGACATAAATATAAACTTAACTCATAATATAAGTATAAAAAAGTGTAATAGACATTTTTATGAAGACTAGAATGCCATGTTTGATTACAAATTGTGTTACTTTTCACAGGGAGAAGCAGAAGCTGAGCTTTGTACACTACGTCACAAACTAAGAACTGTCACCAAAGACTTAGAATTGTCCAAAGAGAAAGAAGAACAACTTCAGCAAGAATTAACCACAGAAAAGATGGCCATTAACAGGCTTGGCCTCCCTGCATTAGCAAGGATTAATGTACGTTTTACCCTTTTATTCTTTTACCGTGTTCAGCTACAGCAATTTAGGTGATAGAAATTGTAATTAGGATTGTAGATGCTATGCATTTAGGACATTAATCTTGTAATTTTACTAATAACTTTTTTCTTTCTTTTTCCTTATAGAATTTGGATGAGTATTTTGAGCTGCAGCTTAAAGAAAATTTGGAACTTTGCAAATCTGTGTTACGGTTAACTGATGATCGCCAGGCCATGAGACAGAAAATTGATACCCTTGAGAATACTGTCACGGATCTCACAGAACAACTTATTAAAACAAAAGCTGTAAGTCAGCCAAACATTAATATAAAAAATTTTTAGTTTTAAAACTAAAGATATTTTTCAAAGTATTTTAAAACATTAACGCTTGGATCAAGCAACCCTGTATAGTCAGCAAGTCTGTGGGTCAGAACCCCAGACCAGGGTTCTGATCTGTGACTGGGATCTAGCATTGAATAAATCAAGAAATCCATTATCAATCACCTTCATACCAGGCTCCCTAAGGATAACCACTTGGTAATAAGGTAACCAAAAACAAGAAAATAATTGAGAATTTGGCTGTTGAGCGTGAAACATGTGACACTCCAATCCCTTCATATATTGTTGATAGATGCTTTTGCCAAAATAAGATACTACACGGCTGCATGTCATTGGTGCTACAGCATAAGAAGCTGCATTGATTGTTAATAACATTTTATGGGCAGAAATCATGTTTAAACAGAAAACCGTGGAACAGTATGAAACTCAAACTTTTGTTCAGTGTGTTGATGCAGATGGTTGCTTTAGAGATCATGCATTCACAGGGGTGTCCTGTACAGTGCATGTAGTGTTATTTATATTACAGCATGTTAGTGTTATTTTAGCCATGTGGTTGATAGTAACAAACATATATTAGCTGTCTGGTTGGTTCATTATCATCATTACTGGTGTTATGGTGGACTGTCCACTCAGTACTCAGTGTATCCCCCAAAAGACTGCTCACCTGACACATGCTCAGCCCTGACCATGAGTGGAAGTGCTCATGCAGAATTTATCGCATATTTTAATTTGATTATTCTATAATTTGTTTCCACAGGCTGCCAGCAACCACGTAGATTTTGAAAAAATGCTCCAGATGGAACGTTCAGCATGGGAAAAAGAACGGACATCACTACAAAATATCATATCTCGGAAAGATATTGAAATGACAAGATTGCAGATAGAAGCAGGATCCAGAAATACTCTTCAAAATGTCAACAATGCTCAGCTAGATGATGAGAGGGTAAGGAACACTAACACATCCTAAGTGTAGTTGTTTATTAATCTATCTGATCAAATGAAGGTAAATAAATAAATAGAATATACTGTACTGTATATTCATTGTGTAGCCTGTTTTACAATTTTAGTTCTAAGTGATACTACATGTATTACAATACAGTGACATAATAGTATAATTGTTTTCGTCACTTGTTCATCTTCATATCTGATTATTTCACGAGAGGTGTCTTTATTTATGTTTATGTTATATGAAGCCCATTTAAAAACACTTACCAAAAAAATAAACAGAAATAGAAAGATGGAGAATTGATCTTGAAAACCCATTTTATAACTGTCCTTAGGATTGAACAACTCTTTGCAACCAGAAAGGCTAAGGAATGAATCCTATGGCTGCAAGGCCCTGTCAGGTAGGACATGGAGAAAAAACAAAAAACATGAATTAGAAATATGATAATCCCTCTTTTTCATTTGTGATTCCCAAAGGGTATCCCTTGACATGAAGACACTCTAAAACAAAGAGAAGACTGAAAATTTTTTGTTGCCAAGCGTAACATAATATCAGCTCATCAGCTATAAAATGCCAATGTCAGGATATACCCTCCAGATCCTTCTCACTTGCTCTCAACTTGGTAATTTAATGAGATTTTAGAATCATTTCACCATTTATTACCATACATCTGGGGCTGAGCAACTCTATATACTATAGCCAGCTAGAAAGTGAGGTACCAGTGGGCTTCATACACATTGGTTAGCTTGCATTCAAATAGGAGTTGTCCAACTAAACCAGTTTGAATTGGGTTGTAGGGTAAGACATAAAGGTACAAAGCACAATGCAACACAGTCCTGAAGAATCAATCTAGTAATTACCAACAAAAGTAGTAGCAACTCAAGTCCTCTCTGAAGGATAGGTTACCATAAAGCTATCATCCAGGTCTTGCAACAAGGAGGCATGGTCCCTTAGAACTCATCACCATCAATGTTTCAGGTCATTTTCCATGCTGAATGGTTAGCTATAATTTCCTTATGACAGCCCTTCAGGCATTATGGTCTCTTGCAGCCTTACTTGTCAGGTGCCCTTTATTATTATCAGTAATTTAGAAATAATTAATTATAAATTATTAAAACTATTTTGGTTCTATTCTGTCAGGTGCAGTACATGTATGGAAAATATGTACGAAGTGAACATTGGCGCAAGGCCCTTATTTGGCAAAAACGATACTTGCTTGTAGTTATAAAGGGATACAGGGACGATGAACAAGCTACTTTGTCCCGACTACGCAACATGGCAAGTCAGGTTCATGGTGCAGTCAGAAATGAAGCAGTAGAAGCAGCTGATAATGCAGTGCATCCCAAACATAGATTCAGGCAAGTGTCATAAATTTTTTTTGTGTGTTTTTGTGATATTAAACATAAAGTGAATGTAAGCTGTTTTGTTTAAAAAATTGAATAAAGCCCTAATATTGGTTTGTGAAATGTAATTTTTTTTTTTATAACCTTTCAGGGTTGGAGCTTTGGCAATGGTTGCAATCTGTCGAATGAAGAATATGGTTATAAAGCATCAGCGGAGAAAACGACTTGGGTCACAGATTCTCCTCCCATATCCACACACAGCCTTAACCATTCCCTCTACTCCAGGTAACTGATACATTTATTGAGCATGCTAGCATACTAAAATAGGAATGAAAAACAAGAAGAGATGGAGAAGATGAGAAGTTCTCAGACCTAATTAATGACAATAGGAAGACAAAATAGTGCCATGCACAGTAGGGTGCAATGAAGCAAGGGCTGAGTAAAGGAATATTAACAGGAATATATGAAGAATATTGAATGAGTGTAAAAGTAGAGCTGAAGAAAAAAGATATGCATGCTTTTATACATAAGTAAGACCTTCCTAAGTCGAACTATATGGGTCTTGAGGCTATCCGACTTATATATAATTCCAAATAGGCATAACCTCTCCCCTGGGTGCTTTCAACCATAATTTTGTAGAAAAATCCCTTCCAGAAACAAAATTAAAGTCAACAGTATACATTTACACAGCACTAACTTTTACTGCAGCAGATGAATCTTGAAGTGGAGGACGATGGAGTGCTGCTTACACTTACAATGTGTACCATATTCACACTTTTATTTAATTATACTTTATATTTAGTCTGCACTTAAACCTGGCTGGTGTCATAAAAAGTACTCCACTTCAGCCCAAACTCCTCACAGATAATGTTCAGGGAGACCCCAGTATCGATTATGTTTTATATCTTCAGTTTCTCTTCAATTGGTATAGCTTTGGGCACCATTCCTTTTCTCCCAGTGGTGTTGGTTTGCCTTTACTATCTTTAGAAACCATATTAATACTTCAAGGAAACCCTGAATACAAAAAAAAAAAATTCAATGATCACAGCAACAAACGTGCATGAATTAACTACTCTCCCAGCTGTCGCCTCAGACAACTCCCCGTAAGCCAGAGCTCATTTGAGTTATGGGGGGTTTTCTACTTACAGGGGTTTTACTTTGCAATCTTACACATACCATATATAATAATAATAATGGTTGCTCCTCGTGTTTGAGGATGGCCGGCCCTAGGGCCACCTAGGCATGAATTTGTTTTAGCGTAGTAGCTGTCGCCAACACCACAACCACACCCTAAATTAACGAGTTGCATGACTTGGTGTCAAGGTGTAATCCGAGAAAACCGGACAACTCACCAGCTGCCCTAGCTAACCATTACCCCAGAACCTGATCCAGGTCCCCAATTATTGCTGGGTAGACACATACAAACATCTTGCCCTCACGACTATAGTTTATACAAGGTGGGACTCGGCAGCCTTGTGAGTATCAGTTAATTCTTGCCCACCCTATAATAGGTACTTGCTGACTATGAAAAAATACAGTTATTTCCCTTTCTTAACTATGACTCATTGTCAGGATGATTAGTTTCTCTTATCTCTCAGATTTTCACCATACCTAATAAAAAGAAAGTTTTTGGTGAAATATTCAGATTAAAGTGTTCTTAATTCTCGCTTGATCACTAGATGCTTCAGAGAGCAGTAGACCAGGATCAGCTAACCAAGGTGTACTTGGAGGAGGAATGAGTTATGTTACTCTTCAGACTCCCCCAACCAAAGGCCCATCAAATAATATATGGCCACGACCTTCCTCCTCACGCAGGTATGTGGGAAGAATTGCTGTCTCTTGATATGTTACTGTTCACTTGTAGGCATATTTTATCCATTGTCTGTTAAAAACTTCATTGTTGTTGATACTTACTGATGTTATTACAGTACAGTAAAAGGATTTTTTCCTCATAAAATTCTGTTAATGTTTAGCATCAATTATATTATAAAAGCTATTACCAACACGCCAATGAAACCCTCCCATATGTCTCTTACAATAAATAACCGTGTCTGAAATATATGGTGTAATGATCCCTTTTAACAGCACACTTTCATTAAGCTCTCACATTTCCAGGAACACATCCTGAGTGCTGAGTGAGGTTTAAGTGTAATATATTAATGCTGTAACTGACTAAAAAATAACTTACTAGTCAAAACAAATTTACGAACTCAATGAAATCTTCATTACGTATAATGTTATTAAACATCTTTTATTTCTGGTGTTATACAGGTACATGTAATCTTGTATAGTTTAAAGCATTTTAACAGAATTCATATCATATAAATACATGAGTTTTCTATTTACAGGAATCTGTTTCTTGAGGAGGAATCCCCAAGACTAAATGAATATATTGAAAGGCTTGATAACATCCATTCAGCACTGGGTTTGAATCCAAAGAACATTTAAACTTGCTTTAGTGTTTTATATGAACGGGGTTAAATCAAAATTAAATTATCATCGACATGATACTTATATAAAGCGAGTCATTAAACAGGATACTGTTTCAGTAATCTGTCTGTTATTGTGATCTGTGCCATTAATTAGGATTACTTTAGCCATTACAAAATAAAACCAAAGTCATAAACAGTAATATATAATTTTTTGTGAATGTGATGACAGGTGGTAAAAGCTGTATCAGGTTGACCACTTTTATATGTTTTTTCTTAGATCTTAACTAATATAGATTCCTTACTTTTCATTTACAGAAGTACAGTATCAGAAATATATTCTTGATTTCTAGCTTTCCTTGTAGCCTCATTGAATAGAAAAATCTTAGTCCATATAAAATTCATGACTGCACAGTTATTGTCTTCAGTTCTGTGCTAAGTAACTTTTAAGTTCATGATAATTTGGTGTAGGAAAAGCTATCAAGTTTTATATTTTTTGCTTCATTGAAATATTGGAATATCTATATAAATTTTATTAATGATAATTTTAAAGAGTAAGGAAAGCTCGCACTTGCTGAAGGCAAGAAGCTTTATATAATATTGTCACAGAGTTGCGAGGAAAAGGACATATTATATAATTCCAAGATCATAGGTTTAGTAAACAACATCCATGCTAGATGTTGAAGCTGTGGAAGGTGTCTAGGCTTTTCCTCCCTTTTGATAAATATTTAATATTGTTGGGAATTTTAAAGTGGTTACTGAAGAATCACTTAGTTGTGATAATTTTTATAAAACTTGTAGGATTTAAATAAGAAATTTCATTATTGCAACACTTGCACTTTATAGAAATTGATTACACCTGTTTACCAGTAATTAATATATACCAAACTTATGTAAACTTTATGTAGACTACTTTGAACGGTTTACCTTCATATATATACTTTAATAATACGTCAATAGGAACATGAAAAATAGTACATTTTCAAGGTACAGTATAATGTTTAATGCTGTTTACAAAGGAGGAGAAAACTAATGTTAGTGCAGTAGTTGAAAAGGTTTGATTTAGTCCCTGAAAGGGGAACATATTTATGTAATTTTATCAGTGAAAGTGCTAATTGCTTCACTCATGTCACTGGCATATTAGTGTTGCTTTTGAGATCTTCCAGTTGATACTTGTACATTTTAACAGAGGTTTTGCTTACTATTATATAACTTTTTATAATGGACATGTTATATATATATATATATATATATATATATATATATATATATATATATATATATATATATATATATATATATATATATATATATATATATATATATATATATATATATATATATATATATATATATATATATATATATATATATATATATATATATATATATATATATATATATATATATATATATATATATATATATATATATATATATATATATATATATATATATAATGTGCATCACTAGTCTTCAAAAGTTATGAAGTATTTTTTTATGTACAATATATTGTATTAAAGATAGCCCAAATTATGTTATACTCTCTCATTACTAAACGGTAATTTTTATAATCCTCTATTTAAAAATGTTTTAAATAAAATTTATGGAGATACTAGCTTTAATAATCCTACAATTCAAAAGAAATGTCATTAGACAAGTTACCGGTACTACCTGAAAAGTGCAGAAGTTTTTGTTTAGCAAGTCCTGAGAATAATGTTTGAAAAGGAATCTTACAGGAGTGAAGCAAATACAGTGCAAGTACTCACCTGCTGACTACACCCAAGGCTGCCTTATTTTTGGAAACCTTAAAAGCAGATATCTCTCCTGTCCCAAGCATTTCTTTTTTGGAGCTGCCTGGCAAGATTACCTCTCCAATGTCCCACTACTCCAGCACTGCCTTGTCGATGTCCTACAAATTCGCTGTGGCTTCCTCATCTCCTCTTTGGATTTCTCTCAAAACACCAGGTACTCAACACTGTCTCACTGAGCATCAACTCCAGCATTCCTTCTTTTGATATCCTACAGCTCTTGCACTGCCTCACTGACATCCCATCACACAGACTGTACTACCTTGCTGTTTTTCCACAACTCCAGTACTGCCCTGCTGATTTTCCACAACTCCGGTATTGCCCTGCTGATTTTGTACAACTTCAGTACTGCCTTGCTGATTTTCCACAAGTCAAGTATGTACTGCCCTGCTGATTTTCCACAACTCCAGTACTGTCCTGCTGATTTTCTACAACTCCAGTATTGTGCCTTGCTGATTTTCCACAAGTCAAGTACTGCCCTGCTGATTTTCCTACTATTACTCAAGTAACTTCAGACACACAAACTTGTAAACTATTTGCCTCATTTGCTTTCACTCCTTGAGTTGCACTACTTATACATTTGCATGTTCGTGCTCTGCCAATCTATTATCTAAAGAGAAAGTAGACTGTCACTGCTTCTACAACTTATGTAGGACTACTGAGAGCCTAGAATCTAAGCCCCTACTTCCTATAAGCCCGAGGTTGTTGGTTTTTTTTTCAAGGATTTACTTAGTGTGATGTTTTCCTGAAATATAACTGCAGCGTAAGTCATTAGTTTTGCCAAAATGTTTAGGTAAATATTTTGGCTGAAAACACTTTTTTACTCGAAATTGGGAATAAACATGTACATCTAGAATAAAAGAAAATCAGCATGAACAATTACAGGAGGCCAATGCTTACAATTACAAAACATAAAATTATTCAAGTCTTTACCAAAATGTCAACAGTTTGACCCCATTTCTTTAACCTTTAACCCCTCTTTGTCTCAGTACTGAATAAAATCGTCTGGCATTAGCCAAGTAAAATATTAACAGTGGCATCCCCGAAGTGAAAGGGTTAAACTGCAGCCGAGGAAAAAATGGATACTGTACTCTATGTGCAATAAAAAAATTTTCTTTATAAATCCTACAAAAATAGTATACAGTAAGTCAGCGCTTAACGTTAGTCCCGCTTAACGTTGTTTCGGTACTACGTCGCTAAACTTTAGAGACCAAAAATTCGTTTAACGTCCCGGTGATCTGATACTACGTCATTTTGCATCGTCACAGACTACTTTCTACGGTGCATCACCATCTCTCGTCTGGCCATGCTACGCTCTCTCAGCTCGTCGCAGAGTCTCAGTGACTCGCCACCCTCCTCCTCCGCTCCCGCCATACTCCTTCCCTCCCGCCATCCGCCTCCTCTGCTTCACTACCCACCACACACTCTACCACCTTCGCCCATCGGTGAGTACCAATACAAACGTAGTAGTTGTATATGTATGCATTATTTTCTATAGAAATGGCAATGAGTTTCTGTATATCTAATGTATTTCATGGGGCAAAGGGCGGCTCAGGAACGTAACTCCCGTATTTTATCTATCTCTTATGGGGAAAATTGATCCGCTTAACGTTGTTTCGTACAACGTCACATTTTTAGGAACGTAACCCCGACATTAAGCAAGGACTTACTGTACTGTATTTTATTTAATAATTGAAGATAATCATGCAGAATAACAGACTGTACAGTATATTTGGGTGTTGGTAAGTGCCAGTTTTATCACAAGTAGTGAGTAGGTTGTGTTTACTTATTGACTTAATTTACTCAATTTATTTTACCATGAAATTTATAACTTTTATAAATTCTTTGTATGATTTGTCTTAGCTTGCATTTGATACTGTTCTGGCAGTGTGTTTAATGTGAACACATAGTCATCTTGGGTTGTTTTAACCCTTTGGCTGCAGGAGTTTACCCTAAGCTAAATAAAATTATCTGGCGGTAGCCAGAATAAAATGGCGAGTGCGGGAAACTTAGCAAAAGGGTTAAATAGGATCACATTTTACTTGCAAATGTATCTCTTTCGTAATGAGAGTGATTACCGGTGCTGTGCCGTAATGCAGTAGTTTAATTTTTCAGAGTTATTGTATCCCCATCCCATACCACTTATCACTATCTTAGACAAGCAAGTGTGGATGTTAGATTACTGAGATCATATTTTTTATCAGACCCAATATACAGTGATCCCTCGGTTAACGAGCGCCTCAGTTAACGAAATCTCGGTTAATGAATTACCTTCCATAAGATTCTAACTTCGGTTAACGAGCATTCCCTCGATTAACGAATTCCTTACGAATTTTTCCCAACATGTTTTCGCCTGCATTTGGCTGCCCACCAGCTGTAGTATTAGTCCGCCAATACAGTAATCAGTTCTAGGGCTTAAATTCCTTACTATTTTAGTAAATATCAAGAAGTTTGTACTATTCAATTATTTTAAAAGTCTTATATTAAATTATTTAGTCATTTTAACAATTATTTAACATAATTTAAGTACAGGGAAACTATTTTTTAGCACGCCAAACAGCCTGTCAACACACCATACAGGCGTCAGTCTCTGTGTCTTTTCAGTGGAGGTAACATCTTGCTTCATACTCTCTTCAACATAAATGCTTTGTTTCTGTGTTTCCAGTCAAATTATTGGTTATTTTGAAATTTATTTTACATATTGACAATATATAATGCAGTGCAGTGTTGATTTAAAGAAAATAATCTTGAATTACACCAAGTGAACTAAAATTTTATGGGTGAAATGGCACCATGGGGTGACTTCTCTTCCACCCCAATGCCTTCTCTTCTCCCTTCTCCTTCACCCCCATTCTAATTCCCATCATCATCATCCAGGAGCCTTCTACATACACACCTCAAAGTAAGTGTACTTTACTACCTTTTTTGTTGACTTTAAGCAATTTCCGGTGAGCTGGAACCAATTACCCAAAAACCCATTGAAACAATGGTTTCGGTTAACGAGCAACCTTCTAGAACGGATTGTGCTCGTTAACCGAGGGACCACTGTATATGTCATCATGCATTGTTCTTTTCTCATGTTCCTGCCTATTTCACTCAGTTACAAATAACTATTAAAACTTATTTATACCATGATCATTCATACTGCCTCTTTCCAATCTTATATTACTACATATTTAACCTTTCTCTCGTATATTTTCAGTTTACAGGGATACAAAAAAAACACTCTTCCAACCACTCTCTTTAATCCAAGCTGCTTATCACAGTTGAAAAATCAGTACCAAGCTGTAAGTAAGCTATCTGGAAAATGTATAGCTTGCCTATGGAAAAGTACAGTACTCTTATGTTTTAGGCACAAGAAAAAAAATTACAAGCTTAAAAATTTTTACTGTACATTAATATAATTTTCCTGATTAAATGAAATATGATGAAACTTTGTACAAAACAATGATGCAAAATGAAACACTGAAATGCTTTCCCAATACAACACTAATGGTCCATCTACAATTTATCAATCAACTGGGTGAGAACATTAGGGTAGGTACTAGAATCTGATGAACAGTATTTATCACTGCTAGGGAGGCTGGACCTAAGAAAATTACAACTGTGCCTTGATATGCGACTAACAAAATCTCAAATTTACCCAATTTTAGCATCAATAAAAATAAGAAGTAACCGAATCAAGAGTTATCATAAAAAAATAATGTTTACTGATGAACTATAGCACAAAAACTACAAATTTAGCAAGTTTATTCACATAGCGTAGGCCAGAAAAATGCTCCTTTGGGTTCTCTGTAAACCTACAATAACTATTTTCAAGTACTGTACAGTACTGTATTGTATTATATGGATCAATTCCCATTAGAATAGATGGATTTTTGTAAAGTGAATGTGATTAAAATAAAACCAAGATCTGAGTGGAACCTAGAGAAGATTTTGATATTTACCCAACATTTAAAACAATGATGTTATTTACAAGGAACAAGAACATGACATTAATTGTACAGTTATAGTGAAAATTAATACATTCAATAGCAGACTTGATGATAATACGATTCAGTTCAAGAGGTTTTACCAGTTAAAATGCTGTGGCACTTTTGTTTTAGTAGAGCTGTAGCAGAGATGGCTGATACACTTGGACTCTCTTCCTCTATAATGTTTGGGTGTAAAACAAGTTTTTGGTTACTTAAAACTTTAAAAGATTACAAAAATCTGTCCACTTTAAATTCTTATTTTGAATTTACTAATCGTCTAGAATTTTTTTTAAAGATATTACAGGAATTTTATAAACTGATTTCGAGAAATTCAGATGAAAATGAGTCGGTTGCTAAAACTGATTCACAGCCAGTATAGTGGTAAAATACTGATGCACGCTGCTTTGTTGCACTCCAGACCCATCACATGAGTATGTTAAATATATAAATTTTTGGCCCAATATTAATTTGTAACTCAGCTGTTTCAGATCTCAACTAGTTGATGTGCTTTTGGGCTTCGTAATTTGAGTGTTTTTAATTCATTTACATCCTGACTGGGATTACAGTGAAAAGCAAACATTCTTCAGATTGTTACTTGACAAAAAAAATAAGAAAGATACATGGCTATTTTAGTTCTACTACCCAGCTAGTCAGTGTACAGTATTATTATTATTATTATTATTATTATGAACTATCTTCAAAGGATTGAAAAAGATTAATATAACAAATCTCTGAAGGTTATCATTAACCTTTTATGCTATATTTACAACACAGCTCATCTTACTCACAGCTTGAGCTTCAAGAACCTTAAATAGTATAGCAGTAGAATATACTCTACTCCCACATGAATTATATATATTTAACAATTTGATCATTAAGTGAAATATAAAGTGCAGGACCAGGAAAGAGGGGTCACAAAACTGGGGATCCTCAACTTTGTACTTCTGAACACTTCTGACACCCTTGTTGGATAATGAGATAGAAATGGCAGTTTTAGCTTCAATTAAATTATCTGAAGTTTCATAAAGCTATGTATGGGCCTTAAAACTGATGAACTTTAATTAGAATAATCCTTTATCTATTTGGTATTGATATACTGTACTGTAATACATCATTACCATGGCTGAGAAGTGAATCTAAATACAAGTTAAGTGACCCTGATATTTGGCCCGCTCTTCATATATCCTGTTGTAATTTTACACTTGTTTTGCTGACTTGCTGGTTCATTAACTATAATATGCAGCCTTCAGCATTATTCTGTACAATATAAAAAAAATGTATAAAACATCTTGTGCTACATTAATGATCAAAAATTATGTTTCACAGGTACTTCAGTGTTGAAAATGCATGACATACTGTATGTATTTCATTACCGTTTTCAGGTGCATTAACCCAACCTTATCCATTCATCAGATAAACTGTATTTTCACAAAAAGCCTCTGAGAGCTCAAGTTCACTGACCGCAGAGATTTAAGATACAGTATACAGTATATACTCTCATAGCAGTTAATATCTAAAATAAAGTCAGGTAAATAAAGATGGCACAAAGACCTATGGTATATGATTGATCCATGATGACAAATAGATTTAATGGGTGGGATGGAAACACAGGGAAGAGCTAAGTTTCTTTATCACTCTAATGTTTTGGGCTACACAGAACCCATCTGCAGAGAAACTTAGTTCTTTCCTGTGTTTCCCTCCCACCTATCAAATCCACCTATGGTATACTGTAACTGGCATTCCCTTAGCAATGTCTGAAAATAATACAGATTTATTTGTAGTCTCATCATGGTCTATTTCAAAATAAAGTAAGAACTTGGGCTTTTCTTTCTCTCTCTACTGTATTATTGGTTGCCGAGTTAGACTTTGGCATACCTCCACCTTCTCCTCCCAAACAACCTGTAATTATCATGATCAAATTTTCTCTGTACATTGAATCATCTCAACCATATTTGATTTGATATTTAACAATGTGTGTACCCAGGAAGTTGTGATTCCAATTATATCGTAAGTATAAACTCAATGATACTGGCCTTGTTTCAACAATTGACATCATATCAAATATTAATGATTGTTTTTAAAATAGACAAATCACATTATGGCAAAAAGTTTATATACAAAAAATTTCTTCCATAATACACCTACTGCTGTGTATACCTCAAGTAGTGTTTATAAAGCTGTGCCCTAAACATTTGCTGGACAATCACTTTCATTAGGATAATTAATACTTTTACCACTTAAATCAGTTTAAGAGCTGACAACACAAAGGAGCAGTGGTTGATAAGAGCATAATAAAATGTGATTAAGGAAGTAGATGTAACTGATTATAATGCACAATTACAAAGCATTTTAGTCATATCAACTAAAACAGACAATTAATGTCTCGTGTATGCTCCCAATTTTTAGGCAATAATGAAAGAGTGCAGTTATTGTGATATATGAACAGCAGAAATTCTTACATTATTAACCTCATTCAAGAAATATATTCATTATCAAAGAATATGCTGTTTACTTCATGCATAACTCAGAATAAGAAAATAAATATTGATCAGCTGGAAGAGAAATTATTTTTATTTATTGATCTGGATTCAAGTATCTGCACCATCATTGTAGAGATACAGTATTAATCCAACAGAACATACTGGTAATGCATAATCAACTCCGTGTATCTAACAAGTATGATTAAAAGTCAACTGTGATGGATACACTCATCATGGATCTGTATGACACATTACTGTTATCATAGTATTGTATTCATGTTTTGCACTCAGTTTCACTTTAGATAAAAATGCAAATACATTAGTTTATTGGCAGTGTGCGTGTCTGATGAATGTTTCCCAGATAAAATAGAATCATACTGTAGTACTGTAGACACTTGAGTTCATCATTTACTGACCTTGAATAGTTTGTGTTCTACTTGGTTTGACTGTAACTTCTGAAATCATCTTAAAGTAATTGTACCTTGATTGTGACTGCCAAGTAAAGAGCGTATATTCAACATACACTATAAGATTCTTCAAGTTTTGGAAGAGAAAAATTGTCCTCTGATGTGACCTTAACACCAGATAGAGTCTGCCTTCACAATATACATCACAGTACACTATACTGTATAACTACACAAGGCAAACAAATGACAACCTTCTTAATGACTAGAATATAGATAGAATTACCTTTAACTTCTTGTAATTTTGATGCCCAGCCATTAGTTTCTTAAATATCTACATAAAGGAAGTTCTTTTAAAATTATGTTTATCTTAAAATAATTGTAAAGGGTGTTACACTTCATTAACAATATGTAGGTTTTATACTGATGACATTTTATAAATGATGTACATTTAAATATAAGATTTCATACCTGGTTGTCTCTGCTCACATTCATGCATTTTTTTTTTTAACAAATTTCTAACCGCATATACAGTATTAACCCTTAAACCCCGGGTGACGTTCCTGAACATTCTTAATTTTCACAGCTTATTTTGAATGTCCAGGCAGGAGGAAATACTTTGTATGGGATATTTGTGTAATTGGCAACTCAACTAGTGTGCCTTTGTCAAAAGACACGTGCCTCAGGGTCAGTTACCCGCCAGATATTGTGAGAGATGTAAGTCCTTCGACCTCTCTTATGACCCACCTTACTCCTCACACAAAAGTGCAAGCGAAGGCATATGGTTGACAGTAGTGTTGTTCATCAAGAGTTGCTTAATTTAAGTGGCACTGATGTAGTATCAGCGATGGTGCTGCCTACCCTTCCCCAACCCGCCAGCCTTTGAGAACCACGGCGCAAAGATATGATGACTTGGTGCAAGGAGTGTGGAGTTGCCTTGTGCATTCCATGTTACAAAGACTTCTACGGTACATGACCATGAAAACAGTTACAGTGATAAGAAAATAGTGATAAAATTTGTGCTGCCTGAATAATCCTACTGTTCAGTATTTTATAGTTCTTTTGAGAAAATAGAACTATTTTGTCTTTTGTAATAACTCTAAGACAGAAATATGATATAAAAGTGCCTTCAAGTACGAATTGTGTGTTGCAGTTGCGTGTGAACATCACTTCCCGTTCGCTGTGGGCTGTGCGCAGTAGCTTCAATCAAGAAATCTTTCATCACTCCACACTGCTCATCAACACTCCAAACAACTCTCCAACCATGCTACAACGAAAGTTGAATGTAAGTAAATTCTTCTGGCATTTTTCTTATATTGATTAACCCATTTATAAGGTGACAATGGATTTTGAAAAAAAAAAATGTTTTTTACCAAAATATGTCCGTTCAGCGGGTCCTACGACGCCCGGAGTCTAAGGGTTAATTTGATTTCAAAACAGTTAAGCCTGAGTGTATTTTTCCCATGCTATTATTGTATAGCTAAACCTACTTAATGCCCTAATTAACTGTCAGGAGTTACTGATCTACTTGGATGACAACTATCCAAATAAATTCAAAGCACGTGTACGCTTTACAGACAGCCATTTGATTTATCAAAATCTGGACGTAACATGGCACTTACCATCTGGCGGATTCTCAGTTAGCTTTCCAGGGATTATTGTTGCTAATTTTTTTTTATTACAGTATACAATATTTTAAATGTAATACAGCATACCTCTACAAAAACCATTTGTAAAAATTCATTCAATATCAGAGTATATTTTTCTTACATTGACACCTCTACATGACATCAACATTTTCATGTAGATATTCTCTTTCATACTGACCTCATCAATACTTTCATTCCCCATTCAGCATATTCATCATTTATACAGTAAATCGTGGCACAAAGCCAAGTTCTGGAGCATTAGTGTTAAATACTGAAAAGTGTAGTGGGACTTATTATCCTTATTACTACAAGATCATGATTATCTTAACATGACAAAAACATCTTGGTTATCTCCACGTTATATTTCTTACTCACGACCTATGATACCAATACAGATTATGTAAGAAAATATGAAGAGTTTCATGTACAGTAATCAAAAAAATGTGAGGTAATAAAAAATATGCATGGTGTAAAATAAGTACACTACAGTAAAACCTCACTAATTAATTTTTTAATTAATTTGAATTTTTTTTATTGAGGACAATATATTTTCATTGCATCATGCCACTAGTCTGTCAATCAGGTGGTGAACTAATCAGCTGGCATGTGGAATACTGTATGTATTGAATTGTCATTCTAATGGTGCATAAAAATATGTACTCGTCTTGTTATTCAACATTATTTCATCAACTGTACATGTACAAGTTTGTACATAAATACACTATACTTAAATTATTTTTACTGGTGTAAGTTTCCCGGGTGTTTTATTATGTCAAAATTACTGGGATAGGGAGGCCACAGTTGGTCAGGTAAGCTAGACTGTACCTGTACTGGAATTAGTAACATTTATAGTCACTCAGTATAAAAAAACGGTATAGAATTCATCAGGGTTTTTTTTTCAGTTGTACTATATATGAAGAAATATGTTACTGGGCACAGGAATCTACTACTGACCCCCCCCCCCCCCGGGGGGGGTATTAGTTGTACAATAAAATCTTACTTGCCCACATTTTTCTTAATGTTAAAAATAAATCTTCTCAAGTTCACATACCTTTGGGACTGACATATACTGTATATACAACCCTTGTATAAGGACCCAGGGTCCCTTAACCCACATTCTCATGCATATAAAATACTGTGTGATATGAAAAAGGTACTACTGACCCTAAATAACACATTAAATATACATTAAAAGAAATAGGAAACCAAAACTTAAGACCTACCCAGGAGAAGACTGTAGGTTAGACCATGCATGAGTACAGTCAGGCCAAAATCCAAGAAATTAAAATGGTAAATGCATATGAAGTGAAATGGGATCTAGGGAAACTGAATATAGAGGCAATGGTAAATTCTGAACTTAAAACCCCAACCATCTTTGTGGTATTGTTGTACAGATCAGAAGTGTGGACAGTAGACATGATGGTTTGAACTGAAGATAGAAAGGTCAGGGGAAACCAAAGACTAAGACGAATGAATGAAATTAAATGCTGGTTCCCTAGAGAGATACAAACTTTGGAAGGATTACCAGATAACCTGAATACCTTTATCGAGTTGAAGGCCATGGTCCTTATCCCTTAAGACATGAGATGGTACCTTGATTGACTGACTAAAAGAAAGAGTATAAACTAAAATACAACATGCAGTACTGTAGTGTAATCTGTATTCACCATTCCAAGGCCAAACATATTTCCATTATGGGTCATTGTTATTAAAATTTAATCAAATCTTGGTTGTACATATCAGTACACTTATACCTTTCTGGAAGGTGGTGGATGGTGTGATGACTACCAAGAGATAAGTGGAAAATTTCATAATTTCATTTTTCAAATCTCCCAAGGTGAGTTTAGTGTTCTATCATACACATGGCATGTGTATACTGACTGTACTGTATTATGATGGATCTATACAGGAAAGTATTTATTCATCTTGTTATTTTGTTCAGCTGTTGGTAAAAATTTTAGAAGTTTAAGCTCATCAACAATAGTATGTCAGTGATGTGGCTGATGCATCTCAAAAAGTCAGTCATTATTTAGCAACTGAACAGAACAGGTGCATTCTCTGCACTGTCGCTGCACACCAACTGTTATTTTTTGTACAGTACATGTACGTACAAGGGATTTTCTATTACGATACTAATTTTTAAATGTTTTTATGCCCTGTATTAATTGATAACAGATATCTAAATTAATCTCTCTGAAAAAGTTTTATCCACTGGTTTTGTACTGGATCACCTTCGATAGTCTGTCTCATTCCTGTATACTCAAGTATATTTAAAACCTATTGGTCTATAATTTGGGTGGTGATGTGAGTAAAAATGCGTTTTCAGTAGTTTTTAACAGGGAAAGAAACAAGATAATTGTACTTCACAAAGAGTGCTTACTATATTTACCCCTGATTAACTTAAGAAATATTAATGAGGTTTTACTGTATTCACTATAGGAGATGTCATATACAGAGTACACAAACATTGCATTTGTGATCAACTCATTTCTTGTGACACGATAAACATGTTTTTCCAAAAATGATTATGATTAACATCCGAAATCTAGTGCAATCACTTTACTTCTTACTGTTTAATAATAAAAAGATGAAAATTTAATACGTATAAACACTTAAAAAGTCATCGTCATCATCACTAAGTCTCGTTATTTCAAAAATATTTGTTCAAGTACAGTAATGGTATATTCTCAAGACAAAGAGTTCTTAAATATGTAGCAAGATTTATATACTGTAGACTCTGAATCATCTATTACTGATCAGATCTTGTTAGTGCGAGCAGAGAAGCATATCTAGTCAAATTTTAATAGAAACCTGAAGTTGGAGCAATGTGGAAATGCCTTCACATATGTGATTAAAAATATCACACATGTCATTATAAGGAATAGGCTGATGTGAATATGAACATTTAGTAATGGTATTCTTCTACAGCTACCATTACCACATAACACCACTTTAACACACAGTTCTCAGTTTTTTTACCAAAGTAGTCTTCCAAGTTCAAGATCATTCTTTACCTTTCTCAAGCCTTGCTGTATATTCTCCTCTGATCTACATATACATCATCCCTTCTTCAAAAATTACTGTCTCAAGCCATTTATTATCCAATGTGACACACATTTCATTAGGCAAAGAAGACCACTCTTCTAGCAGCCCTGTTACTGGAAGACATCCATAACAAAACTAATGTGGTTTGTAGAAAATACATTGTATTTAAGATGAATGATGATTTTCCATACCACTTACAGAGAACACTGCATATGGAAACTGGAAATCAGATACAAGGGAAAAAACAAAGGATGTGGAGTGTTTGAGTGGGTCTGGAGAAAAACACCGAGAGGTTTAGATGAGAAGAGGATAATGGATGATAGAATTTGAAGAGTAATAGTAGTGTTAAAAAATAAAAAATTAAGTTTTAGTTATGTATAAAACCTAATTTATAATATTTGTTTAACCTATATTTATATGTCAGACAAACAAAATATAGATGCCCCCCCCAAAAAATGGTAAACTTGTACTGTATCATGACTTTACTGAAAAAATATCTATCTTCCCTTCAGTCCCCTTCTTAATATTTATATAATTTCAACTCGCTTGATATTCCTGTTTTCAGTCAACCTTATATCCCCCAACTCCTCCAAGTTCAATATCTCCAGGCTTCCATACCCTCAAACTTTCATATCAACCTCCCACATCCTGAAGTTTCTGTGCCTCCAAACTTTCATGTACTCAAGCTTCCCTCACCCAAAGTTTCCACATCACCAAGCTTTAAAATCTCCAGCTGTCATGCCCCCAGCTTTCATATCCCTGACATTTAGTTCCCAAGCTTTCACAGCCAAAGCTTTTACATCCCAAACTTTCAAATCTCCACATTTTACATGCCAAGCTTTTCACCTCAATTTTTCACATTTCCAGCTTTCACTATCCACAGCTAACTTCCACTGATGATGGCCACTGCTTAAAGGTTAACATTACTTATCTAGATTTAGCCTTCCTATTCATCCTGTTCATTTCATTTAACACCATATACAGTAACACTTTACTCATACACACTTTATAAGTTGTATCCCCAATTAATATCTTAATAGCATATATTTCCTCTTTCAATACATTTGGTGTCGTACAGCTGATAAGGCGAACAAATCAATGGATTATTTGACTGGCTGATCAATCAGGCAGTCAAGACATTCACTGGTATACTTACACAGAGCTAACCCTTCATGGGGAAGGCATGAATGCTTTTAAGACTCTGTCTAAGAGCTTAAATTACTGATGTATGCCACCAACTACTCAGCCTGAAGAGATATATAAAAATACATGTAAAATAAATAATACGGTTCAGGTAACAACACTGAAGTGTAGTGTACAGTAGCGTATTAGAAAATAAATGGCAACAGAGCTATAGATGATCGTTGATGTACAGAAAATTTAGGAATTAAATAAATTTGTGTCAGTAATACAAAGTAAGAAATGAAATGAGTTAACATGAAAATATTTAAGAATAGGATGAGAAAAGGACACCTAAGGAATTATACGTCAGATACAAGGGCTACATGCTTAAGACATTGGTAAACATGACTGGAATGAGCTTGGACATATCATATTTGGTGATGATGATTATCAGGGATGTTGTGTACAATTTACACAGCACAGAGCATACAGCAATATTATCACGGTATAAGGTTCTAGTTTTCTTCATTAGTAACATTGTCTCAAAAGTTTGTACAATATCAATCATATTATCCTTCTTTTCCATATATTGTCTGATTTGTAATGGGCATTGAGCATAAATGGAAAAATAAAGAATTGTCTACTCTTCGTCTGGATGTACTTGATGTCCTGAGATTACTTATGAAACCAAGTTTAGTTTTGTAACTTCGTGATAAAGTACAGTATAAAACTGCTGTTCCAAAATAATAACAATTATCTGTTAAAGACATCCTTGGGTAGTCATTGTATACAGGTGGAGACTTTTCAGATACACCTCACATGAACAGTATTTGAAGTACAAGGTGAGAGATACCACCCACCAAGGCCAGGTCCACAGGTCCACCACACAGGTGCTAGAAGGTGAGAATGGGACCAGTCCGATGATCAAGTATATCTGGAATGTAACAATAAAAAATAATCTTTGAGGTACAGTACACATGAATAATACAAGTACTGTACATATTTATTTATTTTCTTTACTGTTACATACAGTACAAATACAATCCCTCAAACAGAATGTGCAAAAAATATAAAATGAAAATAATTATCATAAGGTCAAAAACATAAAAAGAGAATGAATATTTCTTACATGTGCAGTTGTTAGCTCGCACAGTGGGGGAAACTCTCAGCTGTTCTCTGCCTCGTGTCCCATGTGGAGTGAAACGATTACCAAATGGCAACGCAGTATTTTATTATTACTAGTATTTATTCATCACATTTACACATGACACAGTTTAGCCTGGCAGTCACCAAGCTGGCTCAAGAGATGTGTGTGGCTGCTGCCTCTATACCGTGACTTCATATAAGGGGTAGGGGAGAGAAAGTGCGAATGGCCATAGTTACAGCTCACTGCCTCAATATATACATTCACTTCCACATATACACACACATACTCTTCAATTTTCTTATTTTATAGTTTTATATTATATTTTCTTTATTTAAAGCCACATTAAAGTACTATTGTAATGATGCTCACTTGAAGCACAGAATCTTCATTTTTTCCGACTACTCTCCCAAATTCTTCTCAGTGAGTCGAGCATCGATAAACCGAATATTGACCATTGTTGAATAAGAAAGGGTGTTAAAAATTTCTCTCGCAAAACTGAAATATCATGAAGTGAATTATCATTAAACGAGGGATACCTGTACGTACTAGTCTTGGCTGATTGCCTAAGAGAATTTTGATTTGCCCTTACTAATGTAGGTTATGATTAGTTCTTGGTCATTTGGTTATATAACTTATGACTGTCAGCAGGGAAGCCGGGATAAATCCCCAGCGCCCGGATAAAGGGGGGATATAAATATTAAATATATCTGTAAAGTAGTTAATTGATTTAAATGGAATGCTAAAAATAGGTATGTAGAACAAGTGTTATAGATAGATTTTATTAACCATTCAAGGCCAAAAGGGGGCCCCTAAAAATTTTCTTTCCCTGCAGCCCTGGTTGTATCTGCACCAGTTGCACTGTACCAAAATTAACCACAGGTCAAGAATCCTACTGATCCTATTGTTGATGTCAAAACAGAAACCAATGTGGATGTAGTGTGATAACTCATTTATTCACAGAGGCAAACTAAATACAGTACTACTCATCACAATTGTCAGAACACTGTATATATTGTGTTGAATAAGACTCGTGGTACTGTACCAGGTGCTCATATATTGCTAACTTTGGATTGAATATCATTTTTAAGTTGTCCACATCACTAAGACAGCTCCAGTAAATCTATGCTGCAGAACAGTACTTATTTGTACCAATAATTCTGTATTTAAAGAAATATATTCATCTTGGTTCCTTAGCAATTTGTGTTGATTGTAGTGAGTACCACAAGTTTTAGTACAGGTACATCCAAAAACTAAATCAAATGACTGAAGAACAATAAAAGCAGTACAGTATAGTGTACAGAAAGACACAATAGTTACCTGTGATGATGGTGAACCATGGCAGTGTGACGTAAGTGAGATAGGCATTTAATGGAACAGATTGGGCTCGCCGGGACTCCTTCCAAAAGTGGAATGTCTGAGTGAAGCCTTTTGTTGTCCACAGGGGGTTATATGCTCCATCATCCAGTTCTAAAAAAATTATAAAAACATGCATATAGAGTACAGTATTCATATATTATGTTTCAATTACTGTGAATATTTAAGTTATATCTTTTATTAATATTAAAAATAAATGTAAATCAATTGTTATAACTTGATACAACTTGATATAAATCCACATATCAATACTGTGTAACCATAAAAACTTCAGAAAATAATATAAAAATTACCAAGGTCTGTAAAACATGCTTTGAGAGATTTAATTACAAATTTCAGATTTCTGTTTCATTACATTTTCCTCTGCACTAAACACTTCTTGGTCTGGTATGATCGCTATGGACGTATGTATGTTAAGACAATGATATTTGATATGAAACATGCAGGGGTGATCACTTATTCATATCACACACATAATAGTGGCTTGGTGGTCCAGAAGGATTGTGCCCAGGGCCTCACGCTATGGTGGATAATGTCATTACTATATTAGTACTGTATTTTGAATCAACAATAAAACACCCATAATTCAAAATAATAGGGACTCTAGCCCTTATGAATTATGAGGGACACCTTCTCCCAAGGGAAAAACAAACAAAGCAATGGTACTTTTCTGTTATTTGCTTCAATAATAATTTAAACTTTTTTAAATAATGTACAGTACCAGATTTAGGGTTATGAGACACAATGGCTCAAATACTGAGCAATAATGGAAAAACAAGTGGAAAAAGCTTGTACGGTAGACCGTAGACTGTGATCAACTGTTCAACACGTATACCTGTAGTACTTGTTTACAGTGAGGCAGGCGGTCGCATCCCATGGCAAAATGTGCGTCATAAATATTCGTAAATGTCTCTCATAATTCAAAATTTTACCAAATATTACATATATACAGTATATATACTGTATATTATAATATTTCAAAATGTCTCGTATATCAAAATTTTATCAAATACTGTACCTGTACAGTATGACAAAATTTTTCATATTTTGTAAACGCAAAACATTATGAATTATACATTATTTTTAATTAGTGGAGTATGAATTATAGGGTTTTTACTGTACTCAGCTGGCAAGCTATCAGTCACTGGCACATTTGGTCACTATTGAAGATGAAATTTTCCTCCGTGCACCAAAATGCACATGCTTACTGAAACAACAATACTAACATGATACCGGAGTCTAAATCTAATAACTAGTGTACTGGGCCTATGTCTTTTTATATTTCATTTGGCATCATATATTAAAATTCACATCCCTAAAGTTCCATTATACAGTTCAGTCTCTCCTCGACTTACGACAACCCGGACATACGACGGCCATGGTCGTATAAAATATTTTTCACATTACGTATTTTCGAGTCCCAACGTTAGTGATGGCGCCGTGTAATGACACAATTTTTGTTTGTAACAACCTTCGAAATGGCTGGCAAGCTTAAAAGTGAAAGTTCTCGTGGTGCCGAGAAGAAAGAGACACCCATTTTAGAATTTCTATGTATTATTTACGCCTTTTTGACTTACAACCAATTCGACTTACGACCTGGTCGTCGGGACGGAACCCCGTCGTAAGTCGAGGAGAATATATATATATATATATATATATATATATATATATATATATATATATATATATATATATATATATATATATATATATATATATATATATATATATATATATATATATTCTTACATACAGTTTAGGTACAAGATGTCAAGGATTTAAATGGCAAAGCCCACACCCGCAACATGCACAGAATAAACCCCATTTAAACAGACCAATTGCAGGAAGAGAAATACAAATTTATGGATTTTCTGCAGTATTTCCTGGGGTACTAAATGCAGTACACTCTTCCATTAATAAATCAATTGGTGGGTGGCCACTCTGGTTCAGAGAGAATTCTGGTTACTCACACAATTTTCATGGTTCTAATTATGTAACCCAAAGTCTGAGAAAGATCCAATTTCAATAGGAAATAAAGATTAAACCCTAATCTCAATGTGCCAAAAAGTTGGGGCCTGTTAGGACATAAGGCTCGCTTGACCCAAATCTTAATAACATATTCATATAAATCATATACTGCATCATCAAAATCAATTAAATCCTTGTTGGAAAGGTTAACAAAAAATCCAATAGGATCTCACTTCTTGTAGCCAGCTAGAATCTGGTTCCTCCACATTTCTGGTTCAGTGAAATCCATACTGTATATATTGTACAGTATATAATTTCTCTTTTTTTTTTTTTTTATGTACTGTACAGTACTGGTAGCTGCTTTGTAGGATTCATTCTTTGAGCACTCAGTTGTTTAGTTGTAATTGCTCTGTAAACATGGCCACACCATTTTGACTTGTACTAAAGAATAGCAGTGGCTTGGTGTTTGTGTTTATGTACTGAGGGTTTTAAAGGGGGCTGAAATTCAGATTATCTGGACAATATGTTGATTAAGTTTTGCCAAAGCAGAGTGTGTACAAATGGATTGAAAAAATAAATAAATAAGTATTGCCAATGTAGATCATTCATGGCAGCCATCCACATTGATCACTGATGTCAAATAATGATTAATCAAGTTACAAGACATCCTAAAGAAAGCCACCATTTCCAGCCTGAAAGCATACGGCAGATCATGCAACGGAAACACACCTCCTCCTTCAAGGAAGTTCAGAATTCAGCCATAAGCTGGTATAGCTGTGCAGCAGCTGAACTTTCAGGTCCTTCATCACCCACCATACAGCTCTGACCTTGGAATTCCCAATGATGATGAAGTGACGGGGGCAGTGCATGTGTGGCTTCATACACAGCCACCCCCCTCCCCCCACCCAAAAAAAAATCTGTGGATCGGTAAATAAAACATGTTGGAAATAAAAGCGATTATGTGGGAAAACAAGACTTATCCAATCTTGTAACATGTGAGTGAGATATAGAAATTGTACTCAGTGTGTTTGTATATAATGAACTGTAGTACTGTACTATATACTGTTTGTATGCAGTACAAGGAACAGCATGACTTAAGTTAATAAGAACATCATCTTTATTGTTAACATTTCAGACTACCCAAGGGAAAGAAACACCTAAAGTAGGACCAATAGAATTAAGTAAAGTAATGAAAGAGGAGAAAGTTTAGGTAACGTTTACACACAAAATCTAATACAGTACAGTACTGTAATACACAAAAATGAACATTGTCCATGAAATTAGATGCTAACTTTTGCAGTGCTCTGGATAACATACAGAAGAATATAAAATTACAATACAGTGTTGAAGGGTGGATGTATTGTGCATTACTACAAGAGAAACAGAAAGATGCCCACAAAATAATGATTTTGATTCTGGTACCAATGATGCTAACTAATCCTGGCACTGTGGCACCAAGACCAAAACAACAACAGTATCTACTTCTGTAATGAAGTATGAGCAGTAATTAAATTCGTTATCAAAATATTTTCTAATTAAAAACAAAATTCTGAAGAAGCTGATAAATACCTCTACAAAACTATATTATTAGATAAATGTAAATATCAGTGAATTTACTATTTTATTTCGTACATTTTGATACTGTATCAGTTTTCAATTTATGTAAGATATAAGTGTAAAGTACTGTAATATGAATTCACACAGAACTCCATCCAACCAGGTACTGTACTGTAATCATTTTAAAAGCACCCACTTGTTAATAATTATTTCTAATATACTGTAGTACAGTACTGTAAACACTTGAATTACTATTTTCTCTGTGAATACAGTACTGTACAGTACAGTACTATGGTACTGCAAGAAACTTAAGTGCAGCATAAGAAATATTCCAGTACAGTAAATGGTTTTGCCTCAACTATACGGAAAAAAAATAATGGGAAAAATGTCAAACATTCATGTTTCAACAGACACACTCATACCATACCTACTCCCACCCCCTGTCAATGTACTTATTTACTTAACTATCTATACACTTTTACCCTCCCTAAAAATACGCCCTTTTACCCACCTGTATGTACAGTACAGTACACTTCTGCACCAACCTACCAATATTTTCATCTTTCTTTACTTTATCCGCTTCACTGGTGAGTAGGCAGGTAGTCTTAAATTACTTCAGGGAGTTGCGACACTGCCTTGCTAGCTGTTCTCACCCTGTGGGCTGGCATTAGAAAGGGCATCCATCCATAAAAGTTTGCTTTAACATGTCTGATGGCATGGTCACTGCTGGTCTCTGGGCTGGCACCCTGGGTTTGTGGTGGTGAGCAGGGGGACATGTTCTGGTTTATTCAACAGCTGCCATCAGATAATCATGGCTAACCTATGCAAGCATGGAAAATAGCCATAAAACATTGATAATAATGATGACCACTAGTCAGCTCACGTACTGTACATATCAAAATCATTTTTGTTCTTCCTAAAAATGCACTCCTTTACCTACTGATAAACTTAGTATAACCTCAGATATCTGGCATTTAACCATCTGAAACTCTCAAGCAACTGTCATTTTTTTGGGTGGGGTAAATTTCCAGTAAGTAATGTCTTATCACAATTAAAAAAAATCAATAAAATCTGTTTGAATTTGGTACCGCTTTGCCCATGGTTCCAATTTTTGCCACTAGAGGCAGTGTGTGCATCATTATGTTCGCCAAATACACTGGGCACTGCCATTACAGTTCCGTTTACTTGAATGTTTGTGCTGTTTTAACCGCTATCACTGCCTCATCCACCCAGCATGCCTAAGACATGAGCTACAGCCAATTGCAAATGTGTTGTGCTTACTCTAATGCAGAAGATGGATATATGTAAGAGACTGCAGAAGGGTGAGAGTCGTCATATGTTGATGGAAGTATATAAAATTTGTTCGTCTACCCTGTACGACATCAAAGCTCAGAGTGGGAAGCTGAAGGAGTGATTACTGTACTACCCGTATTTACTCAAGCTCAACAAGTAACTGTCTCTGCTACTGTACAACAGGATTACACACACCACTGCAGTGCTACATAATGAGTGAGTACAGCCTTTTATTCCTTTTAAAATATATTTACTATGTCCTCTTATGCCTTACCGTATATCGTATATTTACTATGTTCTTTTATGCCTTTTATAATATATTTACTATGTTCTTTTATGCCTTTTATAATTTATTTACTATGTTCTTTTATGCCTTTTATTGTATATTTATTATGTTCTTTTATGCCTTTTATAATATTTACTATGACAATGTTTTTGAGTTTGAGATGCGTATTTATAAAAGTAACTCAAACATCCGGAAAAAACGATTATCCTGCACACTCATTTCCCCGTGCATTCCAGATATCTGAGGTTTCACTGTACAGTATATCATTACAATCCTTTACTTACCTATCAAGGCACTTTTACAATAAGATTCTATTTTTGATCCTCTCTACCTTTCAAATTACAATGTGTCTTTAATTTTCACTTTGTTATTAGGTAGCGCTCTGTACTGTGTAATACAATTCCTACCTTAAATACTAAAACTAAAAACTTTAACGTGAATATACAGTATAAGAATCAATCTTTTTTTTACTCTCACCCATCGTTCATCTTGAGTTCAACAGCTTTTGCAACATAGTCATCATATCTTGAGCCACATCTCACACCTTGGCTTGCATCCCAAAAAATTTCCTGGTCCCACATCGTTGTTTCTCATGAATTGTTTAACCCCTTGGGTACTAAGGGTCTCTGTGCTGAATAAAATTGTCTGGCATCAGCCAAATAAAATATTAAAAGTGAAAGGATTAATCAGTGGTAAAGGATTTCCCCCCCCCCCCCTCCTATGCACAAAATACAGAATGAAAGGGACATGAAATTTCTATCAGTGGTGGCTGCTGTTTAAGGGTTAACCAGAGCTTCAAAATAAGTTGGTACTTAAGTATTCCAGTGCCTCTCATGACATCTTTGTTTTCCTTCATGGCTGGAAAAGTTGAGACATTAAGTGCAGTGCCCACTACACTGCCTCCGTAGAAAAAAAAAATGCATTCTCTTCAAGAGGTCATCGGGTCTATGGGACCCACTATATTAAATTTTCCTGTTTATATTATACCAGAGGCAATCTTATTCATATTATGTACAGTCGGCCACAAGAATAAGTATACACCTACGGTTCGTGTTCAAGACAAAATATCTGGTAACACTGTCCTGAACAGAAGACAAAATTACAAAAATGACCTGTAATTTATGTTTTATTCCTACATATATGTTATAAAAACATTTGTTGTGAATGTTTTACTAGTGTATTGTGTTTATATTACAAGTAATATATTGTATCCAATGGTAGTAAACTTGTTGCCGAATGGGATTCCAGTTATTGTACAGCTCCCTCCTCCTCCTCCCCCACTTTTCCTCTTACCCTACTTTTTTTTTACTGATGTTTGGATTAGTAAAGGAAGGAAGAGGAGTAAATAGAAGAATAAAGAAGGGGAAACAGAAAATAGTTAGAGAAAACAGGTGGGGGGAGCCGAGTTTCATCATGCGTTTAGATGCAGTTTCAACATTACCAAACTATTTTCGGACCTTACAGCTACAGTGTGTATACTTATTCCTGTGGCCGACTGTACAACAAAAAAATATTATTTAAGCTACACACAAATGATATTGTATACTGTATACAGTATTCCATTTTGGCAACATTATCTAATGTGCCACAATGTATAAAAAGAACAAGGGCACAAACCATTTTTTTTTTTTAATGCAAGAAGCTTACTTATTTTTTTCTAATATAAGCACATTTTAAGATGCAATGACTAGAGCACCACTACTGGAACAAACACATGCCATGTACAATACAAGTATTTCCTCACTATACCACACGTAACATAAATTTGGGGATTAATTTCAATGATACAAAAAATTAACAGCCATGCAGTGCATTGCTAAAAGATAAGCACACAACTTCTGATCACCTCTACACAAGTAACCACAAATGTGTTAATTTAATTATGATATGTATGAGTGGCTTGTAGTGTGCTGCTGCCTCACTCTCTCACACACCACAACACGGAATCTTAAACGTGTATATCTCTAAAGTATCAGATTCTAATCGATAATATCATTGGTCACAACTTGTATATCACGAGAAAATTAAAAGTTAAAGCTTCATGTTTTCACTGCTGTACTTACAATTAGACACTCGCATACCACTCAAGGTGTCTATATGCATACTGCACTTCATTGTATTTTCTTACAAAGTACAAAGTATCTCATGTCTTTATTAAAATAATTTTTAAACTTGAATATACAGTAATGCTGAATGATGTTCTCTACCTTCAAACATCATGTACAGTACTGTATTTGTGTGCTTGTGTAGCTGTAGAGAAGTGTCATAACATGCAAGACTGAAACCATGTGAAGCAAAAACAGAACTTTAAAATTATTACTACAGTCCACTCTTGACCATCTGTTGCTTGATTTCCTGGCTCTCTTAAGTACCTGGCAATCCTTAAGGGTGGCATTGACACTTATTGGATTATAATGTTTCATCATCAAAACTTAATTGATGATTGTGGTTTTATTACCAAGATGCTCCATCCAAAATGTAAAATACATCTAGAGTCTCCAGCAACAAGTTTCCCTAAAAGGAAGTACATTACTGTACATAGTGCTCGGTACACTATAGGAAAAGCTGGAGATAAAGATGTTGGAAGAAAGCATCACTATGAATCCCAATTAAATAATCTGACACCAAAATATTATACTGTACTGTACCTGTATAGTACAGTACAGTAGATACTTAAATTGTTTAAATGCTGGGAAATTTTTTTATATTTTCTTAGTTTTCAACTGCCATACCTCATAAATCTGAGTACAGTACAGTATAATACCTGTAGTACAGTACCAGGAGAGGGTTATGTCCCAAGCATCCTGGACAGTAAGAGCGTACTGTGTTGGTGTTTTTGTTCAACACAAAAAGTAACTGACTTCAAGTATAAAGCACACTGTTAAAAAAAAAAAAAAAAAAAAAGTGTTAAAATAAGTAAACGAAAAAAAATTACTATTAAGCTTAATTTTTTTCCAGTTTACTGAGAAACATTTTGATATTCTTATTATAATAACTGAATACAGTACAGTATATACACTTTTTTCTTATTTCAACCCAAAGAAATAAAATCATAAAAAAAAATAAATAATGAAAAAATTTAAATAATGAGTATAGAAATCAATTTTGTAAAAGACATAGCAATAACTACTACTCTGAGGAACATTAATTAAAACATAATGAGGAAAAGACTACAGAGGTTGAGACAATTGGAGGGCTTCATCTACAACACAGCTACTAAGTAAATGACACAACTACAGACAAAATGCTTTAAGTTTCAGTGTTGTCTTTCCAACTAAACTGAAAAGAAGCCCAAACTTCCAATACCAGCTAGGACTTAAGCTACAGTACTATTTGTACTCTTAAGTCCCTGAGTATATCAAATCTACTGTAAAATCTAATTTGCTAATTTACATAGAAGGAAAAGAGGTACATACTGACATCGCAGAGAAAGTTAACTTTGGTGCCATCTGGAGTTACTCTATATGGCACTGAGATCTTTCTTTTTCTCTTGACAGGGCTCAGGTTTAGGGCTGTTAAAGACTCAGATGTCGACTGTATGCACTCCAATTTTGATGCCATGGCAGCCATTTTTGCTGAATCAACTGAGAGACTCTTCTCTAGTGGAGGTTTTACTTTAACACTTATTCTTTCTTCTTCATCAAAAGAGTCAAGAGGTAATTTGGAAGTGGACGGGATGGGGTCAACTGCAGCTGGGCTGCCCAAAACTTCAGAATCATTTAAACTGTCACAAGAAGCAGAAATATTTTCTTGTGAATTAACTGTCTTGGATGGTGATGACAGCTGGACTCTATGGGCGCCACCTGGCTTCTTAGTGCGAGACTTTACAGATCTTGTGGGAGACACCGGTGTCTCTGATTCAGTTTTGGTGGAACAAGGAGCAACACATGACTGGTTTGCTTTGGATATCTGATCCTGAATGCTTTTGCTAATAAAAGAGGTTTCACTTACTGCATGATAATCTATATCAGTTCTTGGCTTTGAGTCAATCAATACAAATACCTCCTCTTTGGAGCTGTCATCAACTACCTCTGTATCCTGCCCCCCAGAGTCAAACACCTCAGGTACATCAGATTTTATACTGGTTTCTCTTTGTGTTGTTGCACTGTCATCATTTGGCACACTGATTTCTGATTCACTAAAAGCAGAAGTCTTGGTTTGTACTTCAGCTACAGTCTGGCTACTGAACTGCTTTTCAGTTAAGTTGGGTGATTCTGAGTGAGAAGAGGACAGGAGGGGACTGCCCTCATGAGGAGAATCAGGGGTGGGAGGACGACACAAGGACGGCTCAGGGAGTGGGGAATCACATTCGGGCATTAGACCTGTTAAGTCTAAGCTCTGAGTGGATTTTTTGCTAGCTTCTAGTGGGGGGCCAGACCCCACTGGCTGGTCCCCATGAAAGTGGCGGCATTTGGCACACTGCACTTCCTGCGGCATTTCTTCCTCTTCTCGAATTGTGTTGCATGCTACCACAGAACAACATCTACCACTACACACCGCTAGAAAGAAAAAAGAAAAAAAATAACATAAATCAAATGCAGATTGAAACACTTCCCAAAAACATAGCAATAGCATAACTGGCATAACAGGCAAACGTCAAGCTAGGTGCATATACATAACAGGGCCAAAGGCCATAACATCCACAGAGGGGAGAAGTGCTGCATCTGACAGAAAACAGACAAGAGAAAGTGGGCTTGATGTACACAAAGCTGCAAGCACTGGATACTTTACCGCTTTTAAACACAATGTACGACAAGAGTCACCATGTCTAACTCACCTTTTTGTGTCCTCAACTCATACTTGTAAACTTCTTCAAATTTCTCATATATGAATACATTCCTGAACTCAATACTGTACATGTACTTTGCAATACAGTATTGTTCTTATATACAATTTTAAGGATAACTAAGCAACTTCTTATCATTAAAATGTCTTCCAATCGTCATGGGATGATAAACTCTGGGCAAAAAGGGTGAGGTGTAACTTAGGGCCCCTAGATCACTGTCACTATTAGTCTCCTTCAACCTTAAGTGGCCAGAAATTCCACTCTCATGGACAGGGATTCTAGAGACCAACCATCAATACTGTGATACCACTTTAAAAAGAGCATCGTATACACCACTGCCCAGTCTCTGTGAGAAGGGTTACTAGTCTGGGGTCTTGTACCATAGAGCATATGTACTATCATGCTCCAACAACTGTACCCTGCCAAAAGCACAAACAAATGCCTATCAGTTTCAGTACAGTACAGTATAAAAAAAAATAACACTGTACAACAGTGGTAAGTTCTTAATAATGATTAGAACAGCATAGCCAAGTAAAATTATGGTACGTATGAAATTATTGTATTCATTATAAAAATCACAGGTTTAACTAACCATAAACATAATAAACAATATTTGGTGGAATGATCATAAATATCCCATTTTATGGATGAGTTGGTATTACTGTATATGACTCCTGTATATCCTACCAAGTCCACAGTGTTAAACTCCAGGGAATACCTAGACAACGGCAGCTTGGAATAATTCATTAATAAGTTATACCTTCCTGTTGTAACCCCAGCCTTTAATAAAAGGTATCATAAGCAAAATTTGCTAGGAGGTACAGTACATAATTATTATTACCCCAAAGCTTGTCCAGGTAAGAGGAGGACTAAAGGAAACAATTAGTGATCCTATAAGGGCATGAATTTTTGAGACTTTATACAGTACTCAGACAAATCCAAACGTTCAGACTCAGTTAAACAGACAGGTACATGCATGCATGCTCACATATACATGTAAATACATGCTTACATTGTACATATAAATACACACACAATGGCTGAAACTCATGTATAGAGACGAGCACACCTAAACACGCAGGTGCATAAAGTCACTCTCACAGAGGTATGCACATATATACAGTACACAGAGGAACATACAAAACAATATAAACAAAATAATTCATTTATAAAAGTGATACAGTAAACCCTTCACACAGGGTTACATCCCCTTTATAGATGCAAACCTGTATGAAGAAATTGTGAATATTTTATGTTATCAGAAAATAATTATTAGGATCCAGGAGCCACCAAGATCATCCACAACAGGGTATATTATAGTCCTGATATATCCTCAATTGCTAAAACAAAAAATAAACATAAAAAAGCTTTAGAAGTTAACAGATCAATAATTCATTGATGTCTTCTTGTGACAAGAGCTGGTGTGTACAGTACAGTATGGTGTCTCACAATTTCCATTTCACCCTCTGTTCTGTACAATACAGTAGTTTAAAATTGTATATGAAAAAGAAAAAGTAGAATAAAGTAACAAAGCACAAAAAAATAAACAAAAACACTGGGTCAAATGTAAGATGGGTGTCTTCCAATATGTTCCACCAAACACTGCAGGTTTCTAGTATGTACAGTACAATGAAAGACAAAATTCGTGTCGTGAAATTTGGTGAAAACATATGCCGAAGGGCTAAACCTTTGGTGCGCTCTGCCTTGTGGTAGGGGGCTCTCATAATGTTTCACAAGTTACATTTAATCTTCAGACAAAACTGCGACACGACTTTTGTCTTTCATTGTACACATGACACATGGGACCAGATAATAATTTACGTCACATGAAATGTCCTCTCCATAACTATTGACCACTCATTCCCCCCAAGTACGGTAATCAACTACTACTGTAATATTTGATATTATGTAAATACAATACAGTAATACATAGTGTAAATTAGGCTGCAGTTAACAATAGTAGCAATGAGCACCCCTGATAATGGGACATGTACCCAAGTTTTTGGTGCAGGAAGGAACCATGTTGATTGTTGAGACCCATGGGGGAAAAATCCATTCATTTTATCAATATGAATTGCTTTATGTGATACTACATAATAATACGGGTTTGCTGAATTTGTGAATATAATTAAATCCTATATTTACTAGAACTTAGATACACAGAGCTTATTTATGATGACTGATGATACAGTATATTAAGGTGATGCAGGTGAATAGTACTACAGTATACCACTGAACACAAACAGTGATACAACACACATACTTACAACAATGTGGAAGTGGCCTAAAAAATATGAATTTCAAAATTTTTAAGCCACAAATTGCTAGGATTTACAGTGTACAGTATGTGTAATGATGAACAACTTGGTAGTAGGAAGTAGGCAGCTATCAAACAGGGAGGTACTACCGCCTGGGAAGATATTGGAAGCATTATGTGTTGTCTAATAGTAGACCCTGCTGCCATATGGCATCACAAAAATTATGACCACGTCTCTGGTTACTGATCTGACTGACTTGCCTCATTTACACACAATTGCAGGGTCCCAATATTATTGTTTCTCTTACTTTAACAACACAACATATCAACATATACAGTACAGTATATAATTTCTTACTCTTGATCTGTTTATTTTTTCCATTTCTTTATTTATTTATGTTGCAAATTATTACTTTTTCCCTCAGGCTAATCCCCATTAAAAAAAAAATAATAATAATAATAAATGAAGTTGAAATGTCTATCATGATTAACTGTAACTGCTTAGGTTTCTCTGCCCAGTATCCATTAAGTATTCCATACCTTTGCCAATTCACATTCATCAATATACCTTTCATGAGCATCATCAAATTAAATATTCTTTTACCAGTCACATCACCTTGTACCTTTCATGGTCAGCCCCCCCCCCCTTAAGTGATGAAATTTAAGTCAACCAAAAAGATACAATAAAAAAATGGTTTGATGTTGTCTGTAAAGGAAAACAGATTAAAAACAAATAAATATCTTGCATATTAATGAAACATCCATTATACAACACACCAGGAGCCAAACATAAATAAACACACCACACTAGTGTACTGAGGTAAACAGGCTGACTAATGCTTGGGTGTGTTCATAAATCTGGAGTGAAATGTACTTATGACAGTACCCTGTATTTACATAAACTATGTGGTTGGTGGTAATGATGGTGGTGGTGACTGACGTGTCTGTAGTGGTTAAAATAGGTGGGCAGTATGATCCATTTACTGTATAGAGTCAGGTACAGTAACTATGCTATACTGTGGGGTGATGAGGGGAGGTGCTTCTTAGGCTACATAACATATGGTGGCAATGTAGCAGCTGTCACAAAGAATAAACATACATAGGTCATGCTGTTTGTCTTCCTGGTGCCCATTTGGTCCAAATAGTGATGTAACACAGTGTGGGTTGTTGTAAATGTACAGTCAAAGACAAAAGTCGTGTCGCAGTTTTGACCGAAGATTAAATATAACTCGTGAAACATTATGAGAGCCCCCTACCACAAGACAGAGCGCACCGAAAGTTTTGGCCCTTCGGCATATGTTTTCACCAAATTTCACGACACGACTTTTGTCTTTGACTGTACATAAGTGCAAGTCTGGACATAAACATGTGTGCAAGTGTACCTCTGTATGAAAGTGTGTTTGTGCAGGTATAGGATGTGTGTTTGTGGGTGTATTTGTGCAAAATTTAGTCAGTGTTAATTTTTTAATTAGTATGTGTGTGTGTGTGTGTGTATACAGTATGTGTGTTTGTGCATAAGTATGTGCACATGTCTGTGTAAATGTGTATCTTTATAATATATTTTTAAACTGTAGTGTGTATGATTAAGAGTGAATAGATTGCAACTAGGTCACTGCAAGTGCTTAAGTTTATCTGTGTGTGTATACATGTATAATTATGTTAGAGTATTTGTATAGGAGCATAATACTGTGCAGTTAAGAGTGTCTATATGCAAGACTTTTGTGCATAAGAGTATGTGTAACTGTGCATGATGTGAACTGGTATAATTATGTAATGTGTTTGTGTGTTTTAATATGTGCACATGCATGTCTACACAGCTCTATATTTAATGTTCTTGCAGCTGTATATTTCATATCTATACTGTAAAGCTATATATTCTTACCCTTAAACTGCAATGTGGATAATATGATGATATATGCTGGAGTGTGACATGCTTCATATGATGACAAGATTTTCATGCCACTGTTTTAAAATTGTGCACCAATTGTGCACATTGCATGTCCAAGTAGACCTCTCACACTACCCAAACAGCACTCAGATCCTCAGTACCACCTTAGTGGGCATGGAAGGCATATGTTCATTACCTTCTCCCATAGTCTGCTCCCTGCCACCCACTAACTCCCCCTTAGTGCTCAGCCCCAATGTGTTCAATTCAACACTCCACTACAGCTAAACAAACATAGTTAAAGGATTATTTCTTAATTTTTCATACTTTTTGTTTTTAGAACATAACATGTTTTTAAGAGTTTTCAAGTTTTTATGTACACAGCATAAGTTAAGTTTTCCTGTAGTCACAGTTTTAAGGGTTAATATTGTAGTGTATATAATTGAGTGTAGATTAGGTTGTAACTAATTAATGGGAGATATCAACTGCCAGAGTGAGATGCACCACACACCTGTACCATACAAAACCTCCACACATTCTCTTGAGCTCCACTGTACATGGATTTGCATAAAGCTGCCTCATCAGAGAACTGCAACTACAGTTACTGCACATTAACAAAGGTATATTGTATCAACCTGGGGAATGCCTATGGCAGCCAGCCAAGAACAGCAACCATTGCATATTTGGTGATATTTTTAAGATATTTGTTGGGTATCGGGAGAGTTTGAAGGAAGTTAGGTGATATCTTCCAATTTGGTGTGGCAACCACTAGAGCCAACCTCTTAGAAACAGCCAGTGAGGATTGTAGTTTAGCAGCCTTCTGCTTAATCTCTTGTGTACGAGGACCCCCTTTGAGTTGAGTAAAATCGTTTAGCTTTAGCCAAATAAAATATTAAAAATAGCGTCTCCATATTGAAGGGGTTAAGAATATATTAAACAAACAAAATCTCTTACTAAAACACTCCATTTCTACTCTAAATTTAATATCCACGAGCAGATATAATGCATCATTTACATACAGGGTATTATGACCTGCATATGTAAATAGGTAAACTTTAATTGTGTGAGTGATCTGGCTAAAATGGGAAGTGGCAGGAAATAACTACGCCTTCTCCCACTCATGGATTTAATTTAAAACAATAGGATCACAAGATGTGGTGCAGTACTTCCACTCCTGGAAATAAACTCTAGAATAATTAATGAATATTCTGTTAAATTTTGGTTTTTTAATTATAAGTGATGCTGCTAAACTGTACCATAGTTTTGCACAACTTGAGTGTGAGCCTTGCCAGAGAAAGAAGTTAAAAGTACAATCAACCATTAAACTCTTGACTAGTGAACCAATTTTTAGTACATCTATGCACTGCTGCTTCCTACAGGTTGTATTGTGATACATGGGGATAAAATTGTCACTAATGGATGGTCATGGTGGTTCCTTACATAATAACTCCACAACAGCACAACTTTCTGATGATACAATCTCTTTAGATTCACAACCCTGCATAAAAAAGGGGGTTTACTATACCACTGAGGGTGTGAATTAATACATACAGTATTACTGGGATTCTGTACAGTAAACCTTCCATGTTACAGTATACAATTTGACATACTGTACTGCAATTATTGTCAGTGTGACAAGTGAATACTGTACAGGAGGCTGTTTTTCTAACACAGGTCTCTCTTGTCTCAACACCAGTGTGAAATGAGTGATAGTCTCTTGCAGGCACACCTGAAATCTCATACAAACTGCAATAAACCTGAAAACCACAGAAACTTTTAAAGCAAGTACAGTACTGTCCTGTGCATACTGGTAATTACCTAGTGTCTGCTATTTTACACCAAAAATTGAAGATAAAATTAATAAGTAGAATTTTTTCCACACTCACCATCTCGCACGTCTCCCGACTCAATCTCGTACAATCCATCCGCAAAGTAATCCAATCCTTCATTCTCCGACCGTGACCTGGCTCCCTCTGACCGAGACTTCCAACCAGAGTTAATGAAAGTGTTGAAGTTGGCACTGGGGTCACTGAGGCGGCGCTGGCGAGAATATCATACAGGGAAATCCATATTATGTTTATTTTCAGGTTTATTATCAACTAAATGAACTTTATGAAAACATGCACTAACTACTATGTGAACTGGGGTGGGGATGACTTATGTCACTTCATCCCTTTGAGATGTATTAATGTTTTTTGTATCTCAATAAACGTATCAGTCAACTACTATGCCTAAAAATTATATTGGACTAATTTGACTTGGCATTAAATAAAAATAAATCCATAAGAGAACATAATTATAGAACTTCACCCAAAAGGTTTACAAGGCCCAATAGTGAACACATACATCGCCATCTTCACTAAAACATTTCTAGATAAAGAAATATTTGAACTTAAAAACAGGGTGTACAGTATTAGGTATTCAGTACTCGTAAAATGTCCTTAGCTGAACAAATATGGTTTTGGAGACAAAGTGAAGATCAATATACAACCAGCTGAGCTATCTGATTGTAATGATGCCTGTAACCAGTTTGAAGGACTGTGTGTGTGTATGGGTGCAAGAGGTGACGAATCTACAGATACATGTTAGAGGAAATTCTGGATTAGCTATTGTCCTGTATAGAGGAAGAAGGTCTACAAGGAAAAGATTACAAAATATAGTAGATAGTACCATCATGGCATAACCTTTTCACTATACCGGAATGTCTGTTGTTCCAGACTGTCATAGGCAATAATTAGTCCAGTTAAGAGGCAGAATAGAGAACAGAAAGAAAGTGATTGGTAAGACAAAGTGTGTAACCCAGAGGTGGTAGGAAGGTGAGGGGAATATCAAGGAGATAGAGGGAAGGGATTAAGGATACACTCTAAGTGATGGTATATGGACATCCAGGTCACAATAGTATGTATGAAGGATACAGCTTTCTGGGTTGTACACACACTGCTGAAGGGTGATGTTAAGCTATATGTAATGGCTGGGATCAAATGGAAGGAAAATGCTGTCGTAAAACACATCTATAGAAGCTGTGAAAGTGAATGAAGAGAAGGCCTAGATTTACTCTTGGTGCCAGTCAACCTGCATTATAGTTGGAATTACACTTGAAAAGTTAAAGATATAAGAAATACATAAGTAACTTTTAAGATAAACTACATATGAAATTTAGGAGATACATATAAGAGATAAGGAAGATACATCAAGTGATCTAGAAGAAGTACCTAAGATGGAGGAAGGAAGGAGGTGTGTGTGTGTGTGTGTGTGTGTGTGTGTGTGTGTGTGTGTGTGTGTGTGTGTGTGTGTGTGGTTGGTTGGTTGGTTGGTTGGTTTTGATGAAGCATTAATTAAGCTTGTTATAACTGTCGGTTCATTCCAACAGTTATAACAAGGGCTGTGGGTCAACCAGGGATGTATTCTCACCTGGTGTCGATATATAAACCTGTCTTCTGGCTCATCTTCCCAGTCACAGTCCCACATGTCTGTTAAACTCACACCAGGTTCTGATGTGGGCGTCTCCACACCTGAACCTATATGGGAAATATTAAACATGAGTCAACTACCACAGCTGAAACAATAAATTATATACAGTATAAAATGATTCTGTTGGACACTATATATTATTAGTGATATTAGTTGAATTATAATGTTTAATTCCAAATATGGTACATACTCCTGCTTCTTCTCGAGGTAAACTGACCTACGGTAATTGACACTAGGACTAACTCGTTCTAAACCTAAGTCTACACGCTGAATAAAGACTACACAATTAATTACTAGCACTAATATCTACACTTCTTGTCATCCTAAATTTATGTGAACAGTTTAGGGTAAGCAATGTCTTGTAAAAAGAAAAAAGACAAAAAATATGGAGGACTAAATCACAACACCAGACAGTTATCATACTCTCTACTTTCTTGTTACTGGTATCTTAGTAAAACACAACCATACACAATATCTTCATAACCTTTATTTGTATTTAGTTGGCAATTTACTGACTGGTTGCCTCGACAAATTAAATTGTACATATACAGGTACTTGAATGGCATATATATCCCCTGAAAAATGTGGAAGTAATAATTTTCTTTAACTGTTTCCATGAATTTGCTGCAGTAATTGATTTTCTTTTAATGTTCTCATACATTTTAACCAACCTCACTCAAACAGAAACAGTAGACTTAGAAACTACAGTACTTACATCTGTCAACCCTTTCATCATCTGTTCATTTCAAAAACATCCTGAGAAAAATAACTACCACCCATATAATCATCCTCTTCCACGTCTAACTTATCATCACCGTCTTCAACTCTCGTGCTGATAATTTTGTCTGTAAGTGGATCATCTTCACAGGAATATCCTCAACCATCTGCCCTTCCCAGCACTGTTCAGCATACTCCTCTACTTTTGTTTCCAGTCAAACTTTATTCAGTACATCGTCTATTCATTCAATACAAAAAACATTTGCACATAACAATAAGGTGTACTGGATATAAAACTGAAGGTTGAATACTGAAAACCTATTTCATATTATGTAAGTGAGGAATAGCTCATGTATAAAGCCCACAAAAGCCTATGGTTAACTTCTAGCCTTTAATATTAGCTGGGGCTTCTCACTCCCCCTTTAACCATTTGGGAGATCAGGGTGCTCCTGGAAGTTGGCTATCATTTGAACTATAGTCTTCCCAGCATCCTTCATTACAGGATCTCTGGGCCCAAACCCTCATGCTTTATTGGGCTATACATATGATAAATCCCAAACTTGTATCAGGCCATAAACATATCCTACTTCACCAAAAACTAACCTTTGGGTTTAGTCACAGCCATCTCTGCATGACCCTTCCCTTGTGGTCCCTTCATACGTACAAACTCTATCCGTTGGTTACTATTACCGGCAAAGAGTCCCATCATCATCCTCTGGGCCACCTTGCTGCTTAAACTTGCCTGTTCATCACAAAATAACATCTGTAAATATCATCCTCATCTCATCAACAAAGGTGTTATCATGCGACACATTTACACTATGGCAAGAAAGCTGACAGAATAATATTGGTCATTACCTGTATTAAATAAGTTATTCTCTGATCAGAATGCGACATATGCAAGCTACACTGGTGTGTGTTAGGTCAGTTTAATAATGTTCAATACCTTTTGTTCTTAACAGCACTTTTGTATATAACCTGGTCTTTATTTTCAAAAAGTATTTTCCACAACAACCATCTTTTTTATTTCATGAACATATTCTGTGGTAGTTATCCACTAAGACTTACCCGAGCATCATAGACACGCTTCAGGGCATCGTACCTAATGGAGCCTAAGAAGATGACAGCTTGGCGGGTGCCAGCATGGTCAGAGGCCACAAGCTCCACACACACCATCTCTCCATCACGCACTAGCATATCAGCAAACACCTGATTACAGAAAAACAATATCAAAATTACACTATATTTTTATTATTTTGTAGACCTGTACAGACTACAGTACAGGTAAACTTACTATACAACACACTGCAATCTTACAATACTACTAAAAAACAAAAAAGAATCATCAATAAAAGCAGACACTTGTGATTGAGAGATACACTTCATTTAGGCTAGATTACTAAAATCATTTTTTTTTTCTTTACAGTATTTCTTTCTCTTTTAAGATCATTCATACTACAGTACAGTATGACTTTATTAGTTGTTCTGCTTTATTTCAAACTTTACAACCTAATAACATTTATGAAAATTAAAAAAATATAGGTAATTTCCTGCTTAAAACAACTTATAGGTATTTACCTCATCAAAATTATCTACATGAAAGCAAACATTGGGGTAGGTTATCTCTTCCACTTCTCCTTTTGTGTCCATCCGGCGCCGGCTTGGGCTTGCATAAACTTTCTGCAATAAAAAAAGCATTTAGATACTTCTAGGGTTCACAAAATACAGTCAATCCTCACTTTACGCGGTTAATGTAACCCACAGGGTGCCGCGGAAAGTGAGGAACGTGTAAAGTGAATAACATAACATATGGGATTAATTGAAATAGAGTCCGTGCCGACCCTCAAACTCCACTTTTTGACGACACACAACTATGTTGTAGTAAAAATATTATCTTAACTTTATGATAGTATGCACAAACAATTAATAATTAAGAGAAATATCAATAATATTAGGTTTTCTAACACTTACATTAGTAGAAAAGATGGCTGGGCACACGGGAATGGGCGGTTGGTTCCGAGGCAGAGGGCAGATTATTGGCCCCCACCTGTATCACTTGTATCAATTGTATCACTATCCACCATAGAGGCTTGCAGGGCCTCTTTGTCAAACCCCTCAAAGTCCATATAAGTCCATATCTTCACTATAATTATCACTATCACTGACTTGGGCCGGCTGTGGTGGGTGGCGGTGAAGAACTCGGTAATGTTTTGATGACTGGGCGACCTTGTGCGCACCATGCTCGCGCAGCTTACACAACATGGCGGATGGCGGGAGAGATGGTGGGAGGTTTGAATCCAAAAATGGCGCAGCTCGCCAGCCGCTCTCCGCGTAAAGGGGTACACGCACCGCGGAATGTGAGCATTCCTGTTTTGGCAGGGTACCGCGTAAACGTGGAAACGCGGAATGTGGGACCGCGTAAAGTGAGGGTTGACTGTAATTGTTTTTTTTAAATAAAACATATGTGCAGTAAGATAATCATCATGTCTTGTTAAAAAACAGTACCATGCCTTAGCTCTTCCTTATTTATCATTTTTTACTTTTTCTCTTTGAAACATTTCATTCTTGTACAGCCTATACATAATAACTCCAGATCTCTCTCATTTGTTATATTCATCAGTTCCTTAAAACATTCTTCACATTTGGCTGTAGTGTACAGTAAACCCTCGATAACTCGGCATTTGATAACTTGGAATTTTATATAACTCGGCATGGATGTGATCTCAGAATGTATTATATTATAACTCGGGAAATGCCAAGATATATAAATTTATCTGGGAAAATCTTGGCATATCTGGCCACCTGCATCACCTACCATGCCTCTATGTCACCTACCATGCCTCTGTGTCACTACCATACCTATGTCACCTACCATGCATCTTTGTCACCTACTATGATGCTTCATTCTTCACCTGCAGTTTTGGTAAGTGTTACGTTTTTACATTTAGTAATTATATGTACAGTACACATACTGTATATGGGTCAATATTTTTGTAGGAGGGGGGAAGCACCTCGATAAGTCAGAATTTGGGATAACTCGGCAAGGCCAGAGTCCCATATGCCAAGTCATCGCGAGTTTACTGTATGCCAAATTTTCCCCCTAACTGGGAACATAGACTACAGTACCACATCTAGATGGATTCCATTACTCTCAGACAAGAGAGAGTCAAATGAACAAATTAATGTCCTTCAGGATCTTCACCATTATTACCTCTCCCTCATCATCCAAACAATATTTTGCATCATGGTTTTTTCCTACCCTTTGTCTCTATCTTCCAGGTTTTGGTATTTAACTTTGATGACTTCTGTATCTTTAACACAGTTCAAATAATCTGTTCTGGGTGATGGATCAGCCACTAATGAGGCTACCATAATAGGGAGAACCAATGTAACCAATATAAGTGACTGAAGATGTGTGAAAATCTAAAGCCTCTAATAAAGATCCTCACTACAAGACTGGATTCATGTGAAAAATATTTTTGCACACACCTGTGAATGTCGACGAAGCACCTGAAGGTCTTTTGGACTTGTCCGTGTACAAACAGCCAGTGTAAGGGTGTAGTCAAACTGATGAATGATGAGATTAAGGTAGACAGTTTCTTCCCAGTCAATATCAGGATCTCCAATTGGCAACTTGCGACTGTCTCTCCTATACACTTCTACTTCTGTCTGTAAAGCAAAGAGTCAGGGCCAGGTTAATACACAATCAAGATTAATACATAAGTATTAGGCTCCACAAATATACTGTATGTAGCTTTAAGCAAAGTAAAATTAATCGTTGTACTGTAATGACATCATTCAGTCTTAATGGGTCCTATTTTTCATTTGTCAGGTTGTATAAACCTGGTCCTACTGCACCTGTAACTGGAAAGGATAGGTTTTGTACTACATGACTAAAGGTGTACGAGGTATCGTAGGTTAGATACAAGAAAATACTGTACCGATACAAAAATTCACTGCTTAAGCCTTAAAAATACAAATGCGTATATACAAGTACCCTGTATATTAACAATTAATATTTATGATACTATCTTAAGCTCCTCTGCAGAGTGCAGATACCAATGGGAGATTGAAATGCACTTCCCATGAGGTTGTGGAAGATATACTGAAGAGAACATTACACAGTGCAGTCTTGCAAAAATCCATTGGTGGAAAAGATATGAAAAACAAGAGACACAAATGATAACCCAGTCTATCATTTAAGAGGAATATCACACTTTCATCAATGAGAAATGATTAGCAAACTATATGTGAGAAAAAGGATGGACTGTTCCTGAGATCACATTTCATAAACACACTGAGGAAACTTTATATAGCCACCAAGTCCATAGAATCCCCATTGTATTTGAAAATGATAGTATCCTTCACTTTAATTATATAACTCATAAGGATAGCTATTGTCCAACAATCAATAAATTGCAATTTCAGAACCCATGCAGTAGCCCTTGACATTACCAAAGCATCTGACATAATTTGGGTTTGTTACTTTCTTATAAAATTGACCTATAGCCTCTCTATTTTACACCTTTAATCTCTTTTCTATCCAATTGCAAAATATGATAAGTTGGGAATGGTCTTTTCAAATCAATTCTAGGGTTCTTCAGCATTCTGTACTAACTCCCTTTTTAATACTGTACTGTACATAATAATGATATCCTTTCAGTGACAAACAACTTAGTCTTTATTCACTACAGTATTGTAGATGATTCTACTATTAATGGGTCTTTCATTCTGACTGCCCCAGACAACACATATCCTCATCTCTACAAAATATCCTCCTCTGCATTAGTAAGTGAGATGCATACTTAAGCTTTATGGTGTTGTCACAGGCCATTCATGTCAAAGGGAGAGAGAAAGACAGATTCCGTACGTACCTGATACTTTGGAATGTATCGTGAACCTTTCAGATGTTTCTTTCTGATAAAAAATAAGAGATCATCAGCATCTGTAGAACGATCAGTCTGGAAGAGGAAGTGTCGGACAAAAAGGTCGGTCCAGTAAGTGGTCCCCTGCACCATGACAAACCCCGTATCTGATGAAAAAAAGGGGATTCTATTGAGGATGGTCAGAGAAGAGAACTGTACAGTAGTTTTAAAATTGGAGTTTGTCTACAGCAAATTATAATGATAAACCTGTATACACTCGGTACATCCTCCAAAAAAAGTAACACATACCATACTGCAGTCCATATTGTAAAGTGACTCTATACTGATGTTTTATTTTCTTTCAGATTTTTGCTAAAAATGGCAATTTATCGAGAAACAAATTATTATCCAAAGAGAATAATGAAAACTCGAAATTTTAACATACCTTACCATGAAATCAATTTACCTTACATGCTAGCTGTAGTGAAATTAGAATTTTGAATTTCCATAATTTTCCCCCAATGCACTTATAATTCCTACAATAAAATACTGTACAGTATGTTTTAGTGAAAATCTTAAAGCAGAAAAAATTAAGACTGATGCTTGGCCATTCATGAATACACATAATGAAAAATATATAAAAAATCCGTATTAAGAACAAAATTTAGCCCTTAACCTTATTGTAGCTATACTGTACAAGTACTACTGGTGCAACAGAGAGATGCCCAGCTGAGGGGAAACAAGTGGTACAGTTGTTTTTAATCTTTAAAATACAGCTTGTAAGACGGTTGCTAACACCAGCAACACAGTGTACAGTATATTGTGTAGCCTAGTGCTGTCACACACCACTAACTCGAGGGGACATAACTTCAAGAATACCAAGATGTATAAAGATATCCAGTACTCCTTCATACAGAAGGTGGTACTGGTACATATATTGTATTATACAGTGTAATAAGAATTATTGTTATTATAATTATTAATGTATCATTATTATTACTATTATTATTATTATTATTATTATTATTATTATTATTATTATTATTATTATTATTATTATTGTCTTAATATGTGTAAAAATATACTGTGTAACGGGGAGTTGTACAAGTTACAAAATTAAAATGAATAAATATTAAAACAGCAATAGGAAATAAAACTCACGAGCGAGGAAATTAAGTGGAAATAAGTTGTGAAATTCACATATGATGTATAATACAGTATACAGAAGTCTTTCTTTGCATTATTCAAAGGATAACATGTGTAAAATCTTTAGGCATACCACAAAATATTCACAACTTCACAAACAAATACCGAAATGAAGTTAGTAAATATAAATATCATGATTTATATTAATATGCTTTTCACAATGCTAGAGCAATAGACGGAATGTAAAGTCCATTTAATTGGCGATAATTCAGTACAGTGTAATATTTGTGATACAAAATATTAATGTTCTTTTTAACACAGGTAAGAGATGTTTGAGGTAGAAAATAATGGGTTTCTGACATTGGCTAAGGCACGGTGAATTTTATTTGAGACTATTACAAACTCGAACTGTGGACACCGACCTGTATCTTTGGACATGAGGCACTGCCGCATTTCCTTAGCCCTCTGGAAGTTGATTTCCTCAATTAACTGTTCTAACGCCGTCACATTGCGAAGTATATCCTTAGCGCCCAGACCGGCCATGGTGAGGGAAGTGTAGGGTAGTTTAATTGACAAGTTGAGTATGAGTCATCCCTGCCAACAGCTGGCTAGTGAGTAGCAGACAAGGCTAGTGTACAGGAGGAAGCGGATCTTAAAGCTACTCACTGTAGACCCCCATAGTGCTCGCGCCTGGTCACTAGATGGCACTGATCAAGGGGCGGGAAAAGTTGCGTCGGCTGTTGGGTTTGACTCCTGGCTGCTAGGCATGGTGACTGACATGACAGTGACACAAACATTGCGAGAAGGAGATGGTTTCATTACTTCCCAAAAGACAAAAAAAAAGGTAAGAATATATATATTGAATAAGTTTGACACAAGTTTAAACCCTATTATGAAAGCAAGCAGAGAAAATGTGAGTAAAACTCACGAACCAGGGATCGTTTTCATAAGTACCCAATATGGTAATGTTATAGGATACGGTTAGTACCAAAAGACTTATGGAATTACATCAAATTGTAAGATGTTGTTTGGGTGATACCAAGTAAGAAAATCGAAATTACAATGCACAAAAGTCGAAATTGAAAACGCGAGTAGGAGTATCAGACCTGAGGCTTGAAGATGGTAGTTACGCAGATTCTGACCAGGATAAAGCTGAGGCATTGAACAGCTTCTTTTCCTCAATGTTCACAAGAGAGGATGCAACTAACCTTCCTGCGTTTGAGGACAGACGGTTCGACACAGCACTGACCCACATTGTGTTCACAGAAGAGGGTATTAGAAATAAACTGTCCAGGCTAAAGGTCCATAAGAGTCCCGGCCCTGACATGGTGCATCCTAGAGTGCTAAGAGAGTTGTGCAACGAGCTTGCAGAGCCCCTGAAGATCCTGTTTTGTAAATGCCTGGATGAACAAATGGTCCCCAGTGAATGGAAAGTGGCTTATGTGAGTCCTATCTTCAAGAAGGGCGATCGTCACTCCACGAACAACTATAGACCGGTGAGCCTGACCAGCATAATATGTAAAGTACTTGAGAGTATTATCAGAGATGCCGCGATGGAACATCTACTACGAAACAACCTTGTAAGAGATTGCCAACACGGTTTTATTACGGGGCGCTCTTGCTTAACACAATTGCTCAAGGTATTGGATATTTGGACCCATATTCTGGAACGGGGTGGTAATATCGACAATATTTACTTAGATTTTGCCAAGGCTTTCGACAGCGTATCCCACGAAAGGCTGAAAATCAAACTGGAAGGGTACGGAATTCGGGGAAATGTCCTAGCGTGGATAGAAGACTTTCTACATGACCGCAAGCAGTGTGTGGTGATTAATGGCACGAAATCGTCATCTGTACCTGTAACAAGTGGGGTACCACAGGGCAGTGTATTGGGCCCGCTGTTGTTTGTTTGTTTCATAAATGACATACCTGACGTTGTACACTCCTCCATACAAATCTTTGCCGATGACGCCAAGTTATTTCGGGAAATTAAGAACCAAGCGGACTGTGAAGAGCTGCAGAAGGACCTCTGTGGGCTCCAGGAATGGTCGAAGAAATGGCTGCTGAGATTCAATGTCACGAAGTGTAAGAGGATGCACCTGGGGCGTACCAACGGTAAGGAGGCGTATCATATGTCCCAACGGGATGAAGAAACTGCACTAGTTGAGACTGTGTGTGAGAAGGACCTAGGTGTGTATGTTGACAATGAGCTGAAGTTCTCGGGCCATTGTGAGAAGAAGGTAAATCAGGCAAATAAATTATTGGGTCTTATAAGAAGGTCGTTCAGATATCTAGACGGTCCGTTCCTCGTAACGATCTTCAGGAGTGAAGTGCTTCCCCATCTGGAGTACTGTCACCCCATCTGGTCCCCGAGATATGTTAGGGACTGTCAGTTGGTTGAAAATGTTCAAAGGAGGGCCACCAGACTGGTGCCTGTACTTCGGCACCTCAGCTACCCTGAGAGATTGGAGCGCCTGAACTTGCCTAGCTTATACTGCAGACGGGCAAGGGGGGACCTAGTTGAGGTGTATAAGCATCTCAGGGGGCACTACTCGGTTGAGTGTCCTTACTTGGAGCTGGCGGACGCTCGCCCCACAAGGGGTCACAGCTCAAGATTGAAGAAGCCGCAAGTCCAGAAAACCGCGAGGGCAAACTTTTTCGGAGTGAGGGTTGTAAACTCTTGGAACAATCTACCAGAGAGTGTTGTGACGGCACCGAGTGTGAGCTCTTTCAAGACAAGACTTGACCATCACTGGAGCGGGTTCAGGTACATTCAGGAGCCAGAGCATGCCCAGTATTTGCCAACAGTGCGTGACAGAGACGTGACCGATCGCCCGGGCGGCTAGCGAGCCAATCAGTGGCGAAGAGGATAAAAGTAAAAGTAAAACCTATTAGAACTTGACTTAACCTACCTAACCTGGTAAATTTATAGTCTCGGACATCACGAGTTTTGGAAGTTTAAATTATATTTTTCCAATGTTTTTCGATATGTTTAAAACGATTCTGACCTTCATTTCTATCACAAATCCCCTAACCTAACCTAATCTAACCTAACCTAGGAGACAAAATTGCGTTTGATCATATGAACAGTATTTTGTATTGCCCTAAACATGTTCTTGAATGGCCCAGAAATCTTTTAATAATGTGTTTTTGTGCTTGCCTTATGACAGACAACCAATCTTGTTTTGCATGCGTGATTTTTGCTCTTGCTTACATGTAGTATTTTTTGTCCTCAGCAAGTTATCTATGAATTATTTTTTTATAATTGTGGTATTTAATTAAATTATTAGTACTTGTTGTGCAAGTATTCATATTATGCTTTAATTGTTGCTGTTTCTTGTTATCACGAGCATACTTATATTTTGCATTCTTATAATTTGATAATGTTTTCTGTAAATGGTTTTTACATTTGCTGTCCGAACTAACACAAAATATGTAACAAGTCTATGCAAATGATAGACAGCAAAAGTAGCATAGCTATTCAATTTAATGTATTGTAATTAATTCTTGTAGAACATGCAGTGCATTTAAATACAATTAAAGTGTTTTTTAATCTGTAAGATAATTTGTAAATTGATTTATAAATAAATCTAAACGGAAATATTGAGTCGTAGATATATACAGCTGTGCAGCGTAACTTTCGTTATATACAGTATATATGGATTTTCTTCTATCATAGTATACCCTTAAAAGATAAAGAAAATCGTTTTCTTTCTTAGGGGCGTCTGACCATTGCAATGCAAAGTAAGGGACACACACTTCCTCAATATCTGTATACATTCCTTGGTAGCAGACCATCACGCTCACCCATTCCCTACACTTATAATTGCTTCCTTTATTTCCTATAGCTTTAAAGCCTAATTCAACCTATTACCAAGGTGAGTCACAATCTAGTTGTCACGAATTAATTACAAGTCAATTGCTTTAAGATGTCAAGGATACTTATATCGTATGATTAGAAACCCGATTTGACAGGTCGGACGTACGAGTAATTATTTCAACTGATTACTTGAATAGCAAATAATTTGGATAAACTTACAACACGTACCATATGTACTTATATCTTATTTGAATATAATATTCACTCAAGCAAAATTGGACTAAAATCTGGATGTGATGGAATGCGGTATGACATGATGACCACGTCCATATACACATCTATTTTAAGTTCAGAACCCAGGAGTTAAACCCGATTCCTAAACCCTGAAGTGCTTCTCTAAACTTTGTCCCAAACTCAAACAAATACTCGTGTGTGTGTGTGTGTGTGTGTTTGCCCAGCTATCTTGTCTTTTCATTCAGATTTTTTGTATGCATAGGGTACGAGATTTACTTTCCCAGTCAGACCAAATTCCATGTCACACACACACTCACACAGGCCATAGGTGAACACGGCCGCCAAACATCCTGGTGGCAGCACAGCAATGAGTCAGTAAACAAGAGTCACGAGAAAGATTTACCTTTCATTCACGAGACTATTACTCATCAGACATCTGCCATACAGGGTCTACTTGCTGCCATTGTGTGATACCTGTACTGGAGGTCCATCAGCCACCATGTTCGCTTCAGGACCAAACTATAATAAGTTGAAAACCAACTTGAGACTGGCAATCAACAGACTCAAGCTACTGGAAAAGAAGAAGACAGAACTGGCTCAGAAGGCCAGGAAGGAGATAGCTGACTACCTCACCACAGGAAAGGTTAGTCTCTGTTGCACTAACATTCTAATTACTTTAGGGATTCCTCTCTCAAGTTCAGGTGTCTTGTCATTACAGTATCCTGGTAAATTGACTAATAAATTCAAGGATCTGATAGTAGATTGGGAAAAGTCAAAGGTGTGTTTTAGGGTAACTTTTACAATGTTTATTTTCTTAGTGATTTTCATTGCAACATTTGATGATAATCTACATAACTGATGATGCACGAGACAGTAATTTTAGGAACTAATTTTACAGAAAGAGACTTGTTTCTTGAAATCACGATTATCTAAAAAATGGTTGGGGGGAATGACAAATTTCTGGTATTATCATTTCGTCATCCAGCGAGGTTAGGTTTAGGTTAGGTTAGGTTAGGTTGAAATTATGTTTTTCCAGTGGTTTTTTATGGTTAAACTGTCAACACACTTGCCAGCAAGCATTCCTAATGGAATTCAACCAAATACTTCCGAGCAAACTTTCCATACATCCTGTTAATAACGAAATAACATCATAATAACATGCATAACATGAAGTAATACTGTACACATAAATCCTAGGATAGGTATGTTAGGTTAGGTAAGATTTGGTTGGTTAGTTTCTTATTAAAAGATCAGTGGTCGCTGGCAAGTGTTCTTGGGTTATGATGAAATGCTGTTTAGGTATGAAACATTGTCCCAGATAAACTCACCAAATTAATGGTAAGAAAATTACTGTAAGACCATGTTATTTGTTCATATTGATTTAAGGAAGAATTTTAATTGTCTCGACAAAAAATCACAAACGTTGCTGCTGGTTTTTCATGTGTAAGGAACTGAAGCAATAATGTCTGTGTCACATTTGTCCTTTTAGTGTCCTATAAACAGCTGATAATGATGGTCGCACAGAAGTGTCACATAAGACATAGGCTTACGTACAGAACAAAAAAGTAGTATTGTAGTAGAATATATATATATATATATATATATATATATATATATATATATATATATATATATATATATATATATATATATATATATATATATATATATATATATATATATATATATAGAAAGTATATATATATTTTCATTTGGTAACGTTACTCAATTCAATTTTACTATGGATACGGGTAGTCCCCATTAGAGGTTCTGTTACAAGCTCGCTGAACAGGCTTTGTGTGAAATATAACAAAGTCTAGATCAGTTTTTAGTGGTCCTGGTGGTCCAGCGGTTATGCCCCTGGTCACAGTCATGGGCTCAAATGGGTTTGAATCTGGGCGGGTTGAAGTGCCAGCATACAGTATATTATATATATATATATATATATATATATATATATATATATATATATATATATATATATATATATATATATATATATATATATATATATATATATATATATATATATATATATATATATATATATATATATATATATATATATATATATATATATATATATATATATATATATCAGAGAGGTTAGATATAAGTTTTCTTTTAATTTTTTCTTAAAGTTGATCTCTCTCTAATGAATCATTTCTTTAGACTGTTACCAAACATATAAAACGTATATTACAATGTATGTACAGTATACAGTACAGGGGGTCCCCAACTTATGAATGCCAGCTGATACAAACAGGGTTAAACTTTAAATTTACAGTACGTATTTTATTTTCATGATGACTTAGTTTTTACTTTCATTTACAGTACTGTATTTCTTTCATTCTATTTCATTTTTTATCTTAAATTAAGTGATTTTAGATGTATATAAGGACTTAGGCTATGATATAGTGGGATTTTAAACATTGTTCTGTAACTGTAAGTACGGTATGCACATAGCATGTGTTCCAACATTTCTGACTTAAGAATGTCCTCATGAACGGAACCCATTTGTAACCTGGGAACTCCCTTTATACAGTAAAACACCCATAATTTTATATAATAGGGCCACCTTCTCCCGAAGGAAAAGAAAAGAAAAAAACATTACTTCTACATTTTCTGCCCCAATGAAAATGTAAACATTTCTAAGTAGCTACAGTACAGGATATGTAAAGTATCAGATTTAGGTGCTTGGTGCAGGGCTATCAGACATAATGGCTCAAATATTGGGCAATGATGGAAAAACAAATGCGAAAAAGCTTGCGTGGTAGACTGTTGATGTACACTCCACGAGCAGCATGAACTGACTGTGACCGAAGTACGTGACACATATTATACTGTACATTACTTGTATAGATAAAAGTTATTTCAGTTATTAGTTTGGAAGAAAGTTCCTAAGAATAAAAAATAACCACTTAGAACTACAGTACTGTACTGGGTACTTAAGGGTACAAAGTACTGTACAGTAATGTACCATTAAAAGTCCTTAAGTACTGAAAACACACAGTAACTTTCCTGGAATAATACAGTGCAGGCACTCCTTGACATACGTAACAGTTGCGTTCCTGAAATCATTACTTAACTTGAATTTGACGTAAGTAAAATTTTTCTTGGTAACCTTAAGTGGGGAGCCTACCTACTGAACATAATATATACTGTACAGCATCTAGTGTAATTAATGCAACCTTTAAGATGTAAATAACTACTGTACAGTACCTTTTCATTTGTATTCATTGAATTAAAGTAAACTACTGTATTAATAGATGATATATGATTAATTGAACATTTACAGCAATGTACTCTACCTTATTTCTTATTGTTTACTTGCTAATTTGAAGGTATGGCAATGGATTATAAGAAATAATGACAAAAGTTGACTGTGTTCATTTTGTTTAATTATACATAATGAATAGTGTACCATTGGCAAAACCACACAGTACATTTTAATAATGATTTTTATTCAAAAGTCACTTTGCACTTGCTAGCAATGGTAGCACAGGCATTCGTGGGCTGCTGAAGCATGGCAGTACTGTACTGTAGTGTGTTTCAAGTACAAAGATAACATCATCATGGAGGGGTTGGTTCTGCCAGAAAATGTGATGATCAATCTACCATTTCTTAGCGAGGAAGTTGGCAAATATCCTTTAGTGTACTGTACAGTATTCATGATTTCTCTGAACATTTCAGACAGAACGTGCAAAGATTCGGGTGGAGCACATCATTCGTGAAGACTATCTGGTGGAGGCCATGGAGGTGACGGAGATGTACTGCGACCTCCTCCTCGCTCGTTTCGGTCTTATTCAACAAATGAAGTAAGAACTTATTTTTTTGGTTCATCATTTTTATGACAACTATTCATTTATATGAAGGTTTTAATGATTAGATTAGCAGAGATTTTACCATAGTATATTGGGTGACATTGAATACTGTACTATATTGGAAAATATGTTGAAAAGAGCAAATTTGTGTATCCACTCTGGTGGTGAGCACTTTCAGTACTTCATTAAAGGTAATCAGATACTGTAATAATTTAATAAACATGTACTTGTAACATCAGACTTAATCAAACATATTATTTATGTTTCTATCTAATGCATCTCTAAAGATATAGTAAAAACATTTTTCAGGGTTCTCAAATACAATACAGTACAGTATAGTTAAAAGGCATTGCACTTCTGAAGCAGGTCAATCTTTTCCATTTTTGACATCATGGCATTGTCTGCTTTAATGTGAGGTTCATTGCACCTTTGTTACCAAATTAGTTGTGAGTAATGTTAAGTTGAAAGATAAACAGTTAGATTGTTCAGTCGATATACATTATATAAATATAATAAGACCTTTTGATGTTGCTGTCTACGCATGGTGGGCTTTAAATTGAACTATGTCTCTATGCTGAGATTGTTGCTGGGTTGTTCAGGCTTATATTAGAATTTATAGCAGATTAATTGTCACAATGTTATACACTTCTAATTATCTTCCCAGAGACCTTGATGAAGGTCTTGCTGAAGCCATCTCCTCACTCATATGGGCTGCACCAAGACTTCAGACAGATATAGCAGAACTAAAGATTATTGCTGATCAACTAACATTTAAATATGGCAAACCCTATGGTCAGGTGAGTTATTGTGCATCACTGGTTTGGGTAAATCACTTAATCTTTCTTTGATATCCTGGCATGCCAATTTTGTAGGATAGCAACTCAGAGCCTTGATGTGATGGGTGACTGGCTCATTACACAGCCTTGCACATAACATCCCCACTAACCCTGCTTGGCCAGGAATGACCCCACCAACTCCTGGTTAGAATCCACAATGCTTTCTGAGTGACGAGAGTAATGTGAGCAGTACAAGTAGACGGGTGATACAGGCCAGCACTCAAAAAGCATGTAAGGACACGGTGTCTTCCTCAGCTATGGGAGATGCCTTGCTATCACCTGACCAACCCAGGCTAGGTCAGCTGATGAGATTTGGAAGGAATTTTGAATTTGAAAATACCTCAGGAAATTTATTATTTCTGAAGATTTATATCTGGATTCCTGATACACAAAGTGTAATTTAGTTGCTTTTAATTAATTTTCTTTTTTGGGTGTTTGCACTATAGCAAATGGGGCAATTTCTTTCTCACGCCTCCCAGCATTAGTGTTGCTTTATGTAAATTGAGTCACCCATGGAGGTCATGA